CTTTGCGCTAGGCCTGACTTGTCGCTCTCACGCCACGAAGGAGAGCAAGAGGGAAGAGGCCACATGGGACGTCTGGTACGCTGGTACCTATTGAGGAGCGTCGTCGAGCTTGTGAGCTGCGGGAATAGTAGTTGGTTCAAGTATTGTACGAAGTAGCAGCACTAGGAACTAGCTCAGCTCTTTGAACATCCGAATTCGTACTTGCTCGTTTACAACTCCAAGGGGGAGATGGGGCGTGGTCCTTGGGGCTCGTGGTTGTGGTCGACAGACGGTCAACGTGCCATGCCCTTGTAGATCTGGACTCTTGCCGTCCGTCTCCTTGTTTCTTTCCGTACTTTGAAGCGATATTGTTGATACTGTACTTGAATTATAGCACTGTATCCTCCGTGCTCCGGGATCAAAGTCGGGCTCAACGTTCAACCGCCGCATGCTTCAATGCGTTGGACCCTGAGGCAGAATGGCAACTGGCAAGCATCTTGACTTGTGTTTACACACCAACCTATCAATTGATCCTTCAATTTCAGGGTCAACCAGGGCTCTCTTCGCCTCCTAATCGTCCTCAAGACCCTGACTGCTCTCCTTATCACTCACTGGAGCCGACGGTGGCATCGCATCCGTTGGGCCCAAAAATCGCCGGTACGACTTTCGGGGGGCGTGCGTCTGAATCGGCATACAAGTACATGTACCCTGGTGGACGACGTCGAGGGTTCGAATTTTTAGCTCAGTTGAGCTGTACTCGTACCACAAGCTGCGGCGCCCGTACAAGTACACGGTGCGCCGGAAGCAGCAGCAGCTGCTGCAAGTACTGGTACCGCAAACGACGCCCAGAGGGCCCGCGCCACCCGCAGCTTGGCTCCAGCAGGGCCCGCCTCCGCTGGACGGAGGGCTCACAGTGGCTGTTTTTGGCTCTGGGCTGCCCTGTCCGTGGCCCGTCTAGCGGCCCCGTTAGTGGCCTGCGCTGGCCGATGCGCTCTGCTTGCGCTGCACTCCCCACTGCCCTACATACAAACCCAGCACCACCCTGTCGCCCGCTTCTCTCCCCCGTTTCTTCTCCATTCCAAGCACTTTGCGCCGTTGCCTTTGAGCCCGCGATCCCGCCCGTGGGGAGAGGCTGAGTCTGTGATTGCGAACAGCTGCATCGCACTCGCCAGCTGCTGGACCGCCAGCGTTTGCGCCTCAGATCGCCCGTGGACGCTTTCCTTGGTCTCGAAACCCCTTGCCTCGCTTCACCGCACCCGCCAGAGCCACAACAGAAACCAATATCCACACCGCGGCGACCAGGGAAAAGGGACCCAAAGCCCATTCTCGCGCGCCTCCTCAGTCGCGACGACGTTCGCATCAGTTACTGTACATGAGTGCTTCATACTGCTCGACGAAACTCTTCCTGCTGGATCCGCGCCGCTCCTTCGGGCGCATTCGCAATCAGGGCGCATCAGCTCGACGACGCTTCAGACGGAACAACAACAACAATAACAACAATTGCGTTGCTTTTCGCCCAACGCATTTCGACGCAGTCTATTCGCGCTCCTCAACCACGCCCCGTTGCGCAGGACAATTAAAGGAGGAACAAAAGAAACAGAGACAGAATTAGAAAGAAAACATTGGACAAAACAAAACAAAACAAAACAAAACAAAGCGAAACTTGCAACAAGGCGCCATTCCAACCTTTCAAGACATCACAATTACGCTTCGCAGCATTATTGACTCAGTTGGTGTGCGCGCGGCATCGTACATTTAGCGCTGCCTCTCCTCCCTTTTCAAACGCTCCTCGTGCTCGCATCCCTACACGCCAACTCCCGCAATGCCTCCCTTGCAATCTCTCATGGCGCCCAGGACACGGGGGTCTCGCAAGGCTGCTCGAGGTCCTAAAACCCCAGAGCCCTTCGCGACGACTGACATTCGGCCCCCTTCTCCTCCGCGACCGCGATTTCGACTTAGGCGACGTGCTCCCTCGTCCAACCTTAAGGCTCCCACCCAGCAATTCCTCGCGTCCGTCGCGACAGCAGACGTACCCATTCCAAGCATCGAAGAGCCTCGTCTCCTCGACGAAGACATGGTGGATACGCTCAGCACCAGCTTCCCTCAATTCAACCCTTATCACTTATTCCCCGACGACGGCGACTTGCCTCGCGGAAGGACCTCTTCACCTCCCAAGACTCCCGCTCCTCACGCTATCCCCTCTCTATCACCAAAGCGATTTCCCAACTGGTCGCTTGACCAGGCCTATAGCAGCCTTGAGTCGAGCCCAGAATGCGACAGTCGGCCGTCAACGGCGCAGTCGACACAGACAAGCAGCTCGCTCTTTAGCCGCTATTCGCTGAATTCAGACAACCTGAGTCAGTACAGCATTGATGCCGACGACATCGACCAGCTCGGTCCCTCGTCAATAGAAGACGGCAGCAAAACCATCAAACCCATTCGCGCTCCTACCGCCTCTAGCAGGCGCTCGCGCAAAGCCCCTTGGACCAGATCAATGAGCCAACACCTCTGGTCCGTCTACATGACCTATCTACAAGATCCCCACGTCACTCCGTTTCACATCCCCAAGAGTGGCATTCCTCCTCACGGAGTATGTATGCGCGTCGCCAGGGAAGCAAAGCGGAGTTGGAAAGGCCCCAAGTCGCAGCAGGCCGATCATAGCGGAAGTGCGACACCCACCGTTGAAGCGGCGCCGACGTCTTACGTGCAGTGGCCGCACAGCTGCGCAGCGACTCGTGCTCATCTGCGAGAGCTCTGCAAGGCCAGCGCGACCAGTGCTGCACGCAATCATCGCTACATGGGCCGCAATCCTACGCCTTTCGGCAGGACAGCCAATCGCGTCTGGAACCGCCGAATGGCACCAAGCCGCTCTCAGTCCGCTTTCTCTGGAAATGACATGGCCCTGTCCCTGGCGGTCAGCACGTGCGAATCGATGCAGCCTCATGGACCATTGGCTCAGCTTACCGGATCTCAAGATCAGCCATCCATGGAGCTTTTCGCACCGCCAACATTGATAGACGCCGCTGCCCCTGCGCCAGGCTCGGGAGCTGCCGGTGCGGACATTACCCGGCTGGGTTCCCCTTTCGTCGCTAGAAGCTACGGTCCCAGCGCTTCCAATTCGCTTGCAGACAGCTTTGGCATGAGCTTGGAGCCACAGGGCCCAATAAGCAGTTCTGTGGGGACTCGAAGGCGTAGCCTGGGCTCGCCGGCTAGGCTCAGCAACAGCCGGGGCAGCAATCAGAAGCGCAGATCCAAGCAGTCTGTTGCCGTCGAACCCAGGAGGAAGCGTCCTAGTCTCGGCTCGGACTTTTGGGTTGATCCATCCAACGATGGGGCTTCGACTCAAGCCACGCCCTCGGCCGAGTTCAGCTCCACCGCTTCGACCCAACGGGATGCACTTTTCATTCCCCGGACCAACTTGCAAGAGCTCTTTGAGGCATCTCATCCTCGTGCCGCCTCCCCGCCCCCATCATCTTCCTCTTGTCCCGAAGCTGAGAAACTCGACGCGGCCTCAAATGCACCTCAAGGAGCTCCAAGCCTAGGTCCGAGCCTTGCTCCTCCTCTCGCCGGTGCGCCCGTTAGACTCGGCTCTCCGTTCTCCGCAGCCAAGGCGAGCTTCTCCTTCCCGGGCCGGCGGTCGGCAAGCATCTCCACCATCGACTTTAGCATCATTCGTAGGCCGTTTGCTACTGTTCAGCAGCCCATCGAGTCTGAAAGCACGTCTCCAAAGTCGTCTTTACGAAGCCGTCTCGCATACATTGACGAGCGGCTCAAGGACTTTCGCCGCCGCGACCACCCTCGCCGGCGGTCTCAATCGCCCGCCTAACTTTGTTGCTTCTTCTTCCGGTTCCCCCCTCATATTATATACGGGATATTTAATACCTTGAACGGTCTTCGATTCATCGAATCAAGAATCCTTTTTTGTTTTACGATACTCTCAACGCTATATCAACGACCTATGTCCCGCACAATATACGATTTGCAACTTGGGCCTTTTCGCTCAAGATCACACCGCATGTCCACTTAGACGGCAACGAAATTGCTTTTTCTTCTCTCTTTTCGGACCATCATCTGTCTTTGTCTCTCACTATTCTTTTTTTTTTCCCCCTCTTGGAATACGTCTTTTATTTTCCTTGTGATACCCGATATATATCAACCGGTATATATCAGAGTACCGATATCCCGCAAATCTGTTTTGTTTACATCTCAAGCAACAACCCCCTTTTTCAACAAGGGCGACCATCTACAACGAAAATATACCACACGCTCACTTAACGAACTCACTCCTTGACGAATCAAAATGCTTTCTTTTATTGATATGAAGCCCCCGCCCCATTGGAGGAAGTTGTCCTTTTTCGGATCCGAGCGCCTTTTTTTATTTCTCCGAAATTGCTTCCATGGAATGACGTTATGATTGAATGACGGGATACTGAAACCCGATGTGAAACAGTACGGAGCAGTCTCCCACCCCCACAAAAGTGTTGGAATTTTTTCTTGCTATTTTTGTCCTTTCTTCTTCTTTATTCTTTATTTTGCTGCTGAATTTGAGTTCATTTGCAAAGCGACCGGGGGACGTATTTTGTGTCCCACCTCTTTTCTACTTCGTTTCTTTTGACCTTTTTTTTTTTTTTTTCAACTCATTCCCGGTGTTTAATGTCAAATCTTCATTTACTTGATTTTGATGGAAAAACGGACTAGGGGCGATGAGGATTATCATGTACATGGCAGGTTTATCCCTTCAAGGGGAGGGCTAGCTGGTGTTTACTCTTATTTATTTTCACTGTTTTTTCTCGCGAGGGAGGTTTATACAGCCTTTTGAGCTGAGTCTGGCAATTTTTTTCTCTTCTTCTTTTTAGCTTTCAGGCTTGATGATATATGATATAGCATGTTCCAAAAAAAATGAGAAAAAGTACTTCTTTTTTCAACAAGTACCTAATCGCCATGGTGAAACGCAGTAAACAAAAAAAAAAAAACCGCGATGAAAGTATATAAATAGTACCAATTGTACCAACTTGCGATCATTAAATCTCTCTAAAGCGTCTATAGGATATATAATATTTTCAACATGAAAGCGTAAAAACCCCAAACCCATCATTGTTTCATAAATCCACCCATTATTACTCCCGTGATATATAAAACTCCCCCATATGCTCATAATTCCAGAAATCCCTCCCAAAAAACAAGTCGTTTGAAATCGCCTTTCCCACCCTCGCAGCCTCAAAGCTAGCCCGCATCAAAGTCTCCGATTCGCTAGGCGCATAAAACAAAAATAAACCTCAGCTGAGCCTTGCCTTAATATGACCTGTTCAATGGCACCATGACTGCCGATCCACCCAATCATCTGAAACCTGAAGTGCCGAATTGTTTCAGAGTCAACTCCCCATTGAGCCGGCGCCCTTGTATAGGCGAATGGTACGTTGCACCCCATGCAGAAGGAGGGGAAAAAACAACCCCCAAAAGTCGATGCGAAATAATCCATGTATAGCTAGTACTATTGCTTCACTTTGTGCACGCGTATCAGGAAAACTTTGACATTATCGAGCTCGCTATCGAGTGTGGTATGCTTGGCAATTTCTCCTCGTCGTCTCTGCCGCTGTTTCGTGAGAATAGAGACCTTGGCGCATTGCTGCTGCTATCTTGGCGCTTATGCCTCCATCTAGGCCTTGGGAGATCCGGCGCGCTCATCGCTCTGCTTGGTGCCCTGTCCATGGCATGAGGACAATGGCCTTCGCCAACGGCAGACCTATGCGAATGGAAGGAACACTCCCGAAAGCCAAACAGCCGTCTGTTGTTGCCCAGCTGGTTGGCTGAGATGCGGAGCTGTGGGTTCTTGAGCTGGACGTCGTGGCCGGACTCCTTCATGTTTTCCATGTGTTGAGCGTAGTCGGCGGCGAATTCGGGTAGTGACTGGAAAAGCGCATTGAATTGCTGGGGATAGGATGTTGTCAAATCTTGACCCGAAAACTTGGGCTGCCCGCCTACAGCCAGGCAAAAGGCAACCATAGCAACGGCCCATCGACGAAGGCGTATCGACGGCCCTATTTCGCATTCGGTGTAAAGGTAGGCAACCAACTTTGGGGGGACGTCCCAATCGTATTTGAGATAAAGGTCTTGGATGGCATCTATGGAAGCATCCTGTAGATAGCCGAGAGAGAGCTGTGAGGCAAAGAGGTGGAGATGAATGATTGCCCAGTGAATATCGAGGGACTCCTTCTCACCCTTCTTCTGTGCTGAACCGATGACGTCTTCAAGGTATTCGTGAAAGGTTTCTGGAGAGTGTACCCACTCGACGAACAGACCAAACATGGCAGGCGATTCGCTAGGAAGCCATAATGAGACTGTTTGTGAATGGAAAGGATCTTCAATACGCTCTTGGAAAAACGGAGAGACATCGCAGAGTAGCTGGCAGTTGACTTTGAAACGGCGCTTCTTGGGCCCAATGAGGATAGTGGTCAGTCCAGAATTATCTGGCTCTGGTTCGGGCGTCGGTGGTAATTCCTTGTCGAGGGTCTCCCGGCTTATAGTCGAGATCCGCCGATTGGTCGAATCCGGTCTCAAGGTACCGTACATGATATTTTTTCGGGGTGGCCTCGATGTAACGGGGTCAGGTTGATTAGTAGAAGACTGAATATTGTTGTGGATGGCAGTGCAGATGCCTCAATGCAAAGGCGAAGAGAAAAAAAGAGCGAAAGATCAGAGGTGCTGAAAGGGGGGGGGGTACAATCCAATAAGCAGCAGTAAGCTCGTTCCGAGCTCGCACTGGTGTGGGTGGGAACGTTTTATTAAATATATCGAGTCGAAGCGAGAGGAAGCGATGCAATGCTGCGGCTTGGTGAGGGCGACTATAAACAGATCAGGCGCAAACAAGTCGTCAAACACGAGCATCGACACATGTCTCATGAAAATACGCATCAGATGACAGGCGGATTGTATGAAACACTATATATGCCCAGTGTCGAAAACAGACGACATATTTCGGTGATGGCCGTCAATGCCCTACACCTCCCGAGTATACCAAACGGCAGGGCCATCGTGTAACGGTAACAGTGCTGAGAAGATGGTGACCCCCTCCAGGGGTGGCAGCGAATGTGTATACGAGTACGTGTGTGCGTGCGTGCGCCTGTGTGCGTCCGTGAGCAAGTCGACACAGGCTGGCCTTGTCTGGCCTTGCCCCCGGTTTGGGAATCTCCAGCTTAGGTCGGCGTCAGGCTGACCATTAGTCGCGGCAGTTTGTTAGCAAGGCTTAAACGGCCTTGCTACTGAATCTAGGTAATTACCAGCCGGGCACGATGTATTGCAATATTGGTCACACAGGGCGTGGGTGCCCGATTTGGGGGCGACAAGGCATGGTGAGATCCGCGTGATCCTCCACTGGTCCTAGGAGCTGAGCATCGTCCTTGCGGGCTCCATCTGTTTCAACAGACCTCAAACGCAGAGGGCCGTTGCCGCTAGGGAAGCCAGAGGCACCGGTTGGCGTGTGCGCGGTCTCATCCATGCCGCCCAGTGTCTGGATCGCCGCTCCCACTCTTCAGTGCGTTTGGCAGACTCGACGCGGCATTTCCCACAAGTCGACTCGACTCGACGTTGGCGCCGCGCCGGATTCTATTTGTTCAGTTCGTCTCTCTCTTGCTTCGTATTCCACAAACCCCCCTGCTCCTTGTTTTGCATCAGGGCAGCCCGTTTCGGGTCTCTCTCGAGGCCAAGAACAAGTAGCCTTTCACAAGGCATAAGGCAGAGCCAGGTGCGTGCAACAATGCAATCTTAAACCTGCGCAGCTATTGGTTAACAAATGTCAAGAGACCGTTGGATGGGGGCCAGCCTTGCCGTAGCTCCGTATCCCCCCTCGAATCTATTTTTTGCCTCTGGCCACCATCTCATTTCGTTTTCGCTTGCCTCCGGAGTTATGGAGAGTCGGGCATCCGAAGGCGGCCGATCGTGTGGGCGCCTCCAGAGCGTTCAAGCAGGATGATGTAGCACAGTATGACTGAAAATAAAATGACGGGGGAGAATAAAAGAGGATGCGGAAGAGAAGATACACTGCCTGTCCCTGCAGAGAGCAGGTGATCGGCATCATCGAAACGACAAGGCTTGTACCGGTACATGTATGAGTACTTGACATCATCATAGCGGCTGCATAAGGCTCTGAGCCCGCTAGCTATGGGTCAGCCACCCGCTGAAGAGCTCCGACTTTAGCGCCCTTCTGCCCCGAAGAGGATCAGCCCCAGGACCTTCTAGAGCTCCTCTAGAGGGTTCCAAGCTTCCCCTTCTTACAGCTGAAACCCCCGCAGGCTTCGGCTGCACGACCCCACCACGGCAACCCCGTAGTAGCTTCGAGTTGTTGATACCTGGTGATGCTATTAATGGATTGATTGGCATGGACTTCTTACATCAGATTGATGATGCTTGATGTATTCACGGCCATGATCGAGCCCGTCAGTGCTCACAGATGCAGCCTCCCTCTAGATTTAAACGCATCCGATGCCAAAACAGAAGCCAGCCACAAGCCGTTTGTCCACCTGTCTGTAAGACGTCAACACGGCAAACTCGTGGCATGCATCATGCATCAAGCCGCTAATATTATGCTTAACGCTACGATCAAGTGGGCGTCGCTTATAGTCTGGCATAGAACTTTCTAGCCTCAGTCGAGACCTCGTGCAGGTTGAACTTTGTTTTCATTCAAAATATCATACGCTATGAGCGTTTGGTAGTCTACCTTGCCCTCTAGTCCATAATGGGGTTTTGTCCCAAAATTGCTCTCCAAACCACATTAGTATCTTATGCAGATACGTGTTCGCGTTTCCACCATGAATCCTTCCGCCTCAACTTCTAAAACGCCATGCCGTCCCTTGGTTGTTGAAACGATTTACCGAAACCACATGCCTGAGCAGCAAAGTAACGCAAACCAATGCAAAAGAACCCATGCGCCGCTGCAGATGCCTTATCAAGATGCCAAACTCCCCATATCCGGATGGAGGTATATAAAAAAAGAAAAAGAACAAGAAATAAAAAACGTGATGGGTGATGCTGAAAATGCTTCCAAGCAATGATTGCGAAATGCCAATGATCTGTCTCGGACCCCCTCCTCCCGATTAAGACTCGGGTGAAGCAATATCACACCTATGTAACAAGCCAACAAATGAAAGCGACGTTTTCTCATCACCCATATGATCGGTGCTCTCGGCCAGTGCATTCCCCCTTGTCTCAAACCGGCTTGATTCTGGCTGGGATGTCCACGACGTCAGAATCCGTGCCCGTGCCCGTGCTAGTATCGTCATCAATCTGCATGGGATCATCAGGTGTCCCTTGGTATGTCCCATGTGGAACTCCTTGGACAGGTGCTGCTGTTTGGCCATATGCTGGGGCTGGTGGCCGAGAACCCGTCGACGATGCTGTAGGATCAACCAGTTCCGCAGTAGCCGAGGAGGCCGATAGCCCTCCCATTTCAGAGAGGGGAACTCTCGCACGCGGCGATTCCCCAACTTGATTCGTAGCTTGCCTCGCGTGCCCATCATCCATGCGGGCCTTCTTCGCAGAATGGGCATAATCGGGTGAGCTACCATTCCAAGAGCGCTCCACATCTGCGTTGGCACGCCTCTCACGGAGGCGGATTCCATACTTCTTCCTGGTATTGCTCTGTTTCGTATTGTATCGATTCTTGAGCTTAGCCAACTCCTCTTCACGCTTCCCGGGTCGCAACTGCTCTGCTTCTCGCATTAAGCCAAGATAGTAGTCGTCAACTGATTTCATTTCTGCATTAAACTTTATTCGTTGATCTGGCGAAAGCTTTGCGTAGGGGTCGTTGACTGAGGGGCTTGCATTTGGCACAGAGCTCATCGTTCTCCGATTCGGGGTTACGCTTGACTTGATGATAGCAGGCGCGGGATTGGGTGCCTGGCCGGGCGTCATATGATAATTGGGAGCTCCATGGTTGTTGGGTGGCTGATTTGGGGCCATCTTCTGTAATGCCTCTCTTTGTCTTAATAGCTCCATGACATGCAATCTGGTCTCTTCGCTATGCTGTCCACAGACATTGCTCTTTGTGTGATATGCGAGGCCGCCTGGGCTTTCAAATTGGGAGCCGCAATGAACGCACGTATCTACGCCAATTGTCCCGGATGGCTTGGGGATTTGGCACTTGGCCTTTTTCGAATGCTGATTGATTGTGAATAAAAGCATTTCTTTGGCATATGGTTTGGGGAAAGGAACACACTTACATAGCTAAGGGCATCTGCACTGCTGCAAGGACGATGGCAGGTTGCACAATACATTATCCCGGTTGTTTGGTTTGGAATCGGCTGGCTCGCAGCATTTACAGCTGGGATTGCAGCCGTTGGAGACTGAGAAGGAGTAGAAGGTGACTGGAAAGTGATATTCCCATTTAGCATAATGGGGATAGGGTGTTGACTTTGCGGTGCTCGATGTGGCAGCTCAGGCTGCTGTGGGGGTCCTGGACCTAGATGCGGTGGCATCGGAGGTGGGGGGGCGCCGCCATGCATTTGGTGTGGTGGCATTGGTGGTAGCGAAGTAAGCAGAGCAGATATAGATGGGATAACACTTTCGCCTCCCGAGCCGGGTTTCTTCTTGACGACGTCATTGATGTGGTAGCCAAGGCGCTCAGCTCTGGCTAAGGCGTTGATGAGATCTTGCGCGCCGATGGTTTCCAAGCGCGTGGCCATGACCCTGTCTTGGAACTGTATGCCGAGTTTCGGACCAATGAGGTCTGCTATTTCGTCAAGATCCTCGCCGCGAAAGTGGTTGGCGATCTCCCGTTTTGACGACTTGAGCACCTTTTCTCCAAGCTCTTGCATAGTTCGGCTAAGGACTGTAGGATTGGAGTAGCTGATTGCGGCATTTGCCTGGAGGATTCGTTAGAGCGTGGTTCATCCATAACAGAGTGCAAGAGGAACATAAGAGCAATGTAACATTTGACAAAGAGATCCGCGTGTAGAAGTAGAAAGGCGCAACAGACTCAAGGTTACAGAGAGAGGGAAGGGAGAAAAAGAAGAGAGAGCGGGGTTTCGAATAGCATGAGACGAAAATGACAGCACAGCTGGTGGGCTCAGAAGAAGGCGCACACAACTTACTATAAAGCCACAGTGATAATCTGACCCAACCAGACACTTGTGCCAGTTTTCTCGAACCACCTGTCGAACTACCGAGGCATCCGTGTTCTGCACCATGTCCATGAGTGTCTTGTAGGCCCTGGCCTTTTCCTCGCTGGCAGCAGGCTTTGTCGCCGCAGCACCGGGTCGTCGGCCAGGTTGGCCAGGTTGACCTGCTGCCGGCCCGGACAGCGGTGGTGAGACGACATGCTGCTGATAATGGTGATTCGGGACAGCAACTGAGTCGCCTCGCTCAGCCGCTAACCCGCTGCTGGCACTAGTAGATGCGCTCGTACTGCGCGCAAGGGGCGAAGGCACAACGTTTGGCGACGATCCTGCAGGCCTTCCGAGCACAGGAACTGGCGGGGTGCTGTCCGTCACAGCGTTCGCCACGGCGGGCGGCTGGCTCACGGGCCCCATGGCTCCCGCTGGCTGGTCTGCTATCTGGGCTCTGATGGTTGAAATGACGGACGCGATGCCCTCACGCGTCTCGTTGAAGCGTGCCGCAGCTGAAGCTTCTGGATTGAGAAGATCCGAAGTCACAAGTGGAGGAGAGGCCGCCATGGTTGGCGCGCATGGGGGATAGATAAATGGGGGAGACAAAGAAAAAGAAACTAGAGAAGGGGAGGGAAGAAGGAAGAAGAGGAACTCTTGTTATGCACGTCTTTGGAAAATTCACCCAACCAACGCACAAAAAAACTAGTCGCCTGATACTGTTGTTAAAATAACGAAATCTTGCTCGGAACCTAAAGATAGCTAACTCACCCTATGCATGCAGCTCAAAGAAGCTAACCTTCTGTCAAAGTTCACCTTTAGTTCGGAGCAGGGATGCGCTCGGAATTGCCAGCCCACGAACAGAGCGAGAGAGATCGCGGATTCGCTGGTTCTTGCATTTAATCAAATAAAAGGGAAACAAAGAGGCTTAGAGGAGTGGGCCTTATAAGCTATTAGTGCCTGAGAAACTAGGCCGCAATGTGCATCGACTCTATCTATCACTTTTTTAATGAACTCGGGCCCACTTAGAGCTATGCGCTAAGGCCCCCCTATTGCAGACTCGGTTTACCGTATAGAACGAGAACTTATACGATGGAACCAACAACGAGTGGTATTGCTTTGCTAATGTACCAACTAGCTACCGGACAAACGCGCCATTGCTGGTTAGAGGTAGTGATGAGTACCTGCAGTAGGTACCTGCCTACAGCAAGGCTCAGAGAAGAGGAGAGTTGATGCACAAAACCCGCCTTACTGGAATTAATTACAGTAGTGATTGAACGAGTGAATCCATATGAGTCAAGAATGGGTGGAGGACAAGAAACAAAAAGTCAAATAACCCCTGCTTGTACACTACAGCACCTAGTTGGGTAGGCTGCTTTTTAATACCACCCAAGTACGGAGTACATAATACTACCTACTAAGTATGTATGCCCGCTTTGCTGGGTCGAAATCCTACATCGTATTAATAGTATAATATTACTCAGCTCCACCTCGAACCACACTCAGATAGAATGCTGTCACAGCATCTGCAGGAGACTTGCGGATTACTAATTCATTAATTTATTCTCCACGGGGTTTCCTACTCAACTACTTTATTAATGTTTACCGTCTGACATAAGAAAGCTAAAGTGTATCTGTTTAGGGAATATACCAGCACTATTCCATTCGTCTTCGCTTCCCCAGAGTTGCAGCACGACTCGTCATCGGACAATTACATGTATGGTGGACGAGTCAGCCCGTCCCGTCTACAAGGTACCTACCTGGTACCTATAATACTACCTAGGTAGTATGCACTTGCTGGCAATACTACCTAGGTACCTGGTAGTATGCACTTGCTGGCAATACTACCTAGGTACCTAGTATGCACTTGCTGGCAATACTACCTAGGTACATACCTACTAGGTACGTCAATGGTAATAATGCAGCAAGGTGTACATTAGGTACTATTCCAATACGCTTTTTAGGTATTATAGTTTCGTACTCGTATATACTATGTTGATTGCTCATTCATTGCTGCTGTGTAGAAACCTCTTCATGCTGTATAGGTGCTAACTTGCTATGAATACTTGTGTGCGTGCTTACTCTCAACTCCTCACTCTTGCATAGCTGCAAATGCATGTCATCAGTCAATAATAGACCCTTCTCAGCAAAGTCCCCGACCGCGAGCACAGCCAGAAACCATTCCCCATAGAGCCATCAACCGCGAGCAAAGCACAAAGCTCCAGAAACCAGGTTCGCAGCCAGTCCGACAGCATCCTCAAGCGACTCGATCTTGTCCTTCCGAATGCCTCGCCCAGCTTGGTCTTCTTCCTTGACCGGGTCCTCCCATTCTGGTGCTTGTTTCTTGACGCTGGATGTGTATTCGTCCGCCCAAAAGGTAGCCTTGAGCGCTGCCGCGTCCATTCCCCACCTCAGAGATGCTCTCTCCAGGAGGAAATTCACCGACCTCCACCAGTCGCATCGCAGCTTAAGAGGCCGAGTGTACCGTCCCTTACCGCGTTTGTTGAGCATCGCCCGGTGAGGCGCAGGGTAAGCGCCAAAGAAGTCCTCTCGGGCATATCGAGGCAATGCTCGCAGTCGAGACAGGCGCTCCATGATAATTTGCTGGCGTTGATAGACGAGATAAAAGTACCGCTGCTCCCACACATCATTGTTCCATGAGCGCTTGCCATTTCGGACTCTCTGAAGGTACGGATATGTGGGGATCTCAGCCAGTCCAGCATCCATGGCTTGCTGGTGTCGTTCTCGCCAGGCGCGGAAGCCGGCGTCGCTGTGGTGGATCTGCGTCTCAAAAAGAACTATGACATCGTCCAAGTCGCGTAGGAGTCGACCCTCCTGGATGTGATTGTGGCAAGGCAGATTATCCCATGGCCCAAATAGCTTGGTACAGAGGGTATCCTGCGGACCCCATTTGGGATGGACAGGGGGGAGGTTTTCCGTTGTAACGAGACCCGCAGATGGAATGCTCGCTAGGGGCACCGCGGTGCCTTCAGCCTCTTCCGCTTTCATCTCGACGCAGAACTGATAATGAAAGCTAGTTGAATGAGGGTGCAGATATAACGATGTAGGGATCGGGGCTGAAATGGTGTTTATGGATGAAATATACCTGCATCAACATGCACCGAGTACAAGTACTCTGTCAAAAGAAGAGGAAAAGCTCACGAGCCGCATAAAGATGGTTTATATCTGTTTCTTCCGGAGAGGGGGAGGGAGCGAGGGGGAACATCCGGCAATCGAGCAAGTTCTATTCACTAACTTGACTTCTGAACAGCTTTGGCTGCCAACAGGCTGTGCAACCCAGTCAATCCATGCCGAGATGATATAGATGATGGGACAAGAGCCGGGTGGTTTCTTGCCCTTTCGTTGTCTACAGAGCTATGGAGAAGGAGCAAATACTGGCGGCCCCTCTTTGGCAGGCGAGCTCTGATTCACTGCCAAGGAAATGACCAGATGATGTGACTTTGTTTTTCTTAGTGTTGGGTATATTCAATGATTCACCTTGTACGACCATGCCATGACTAGCTACATGTACCAACGAATGGGGGCTCATTCATCTGTTGGTAAATACCTATTCCGGGATCAAACGCCCTTCACTTGGGAGGCACCAAAGTCTAGATTCATGATTCTTGTTTTGATATTATTGGGTATACTACCTAGCCCAGTAGAATTGGCTACCTACTTTACCACTTCCCTAGGTACTACTTGATACCCCGATAGTACCTCGCCAAAGGTTTGTTGATACAATGTAAAACAGGCCCTCCAAACGCCTCATGCTCTCCAGCCATCATTAAAGAATCTAGGTGTAACTTTCCATTAGGGCGTAATCATGTTACTGTTTCCATTAATGAACCTGCAGGTCTAGGAAACAGTATTTTACTCTCCAACGCAGGCAATCATCAACTTCTGATAATCACCAGATGTCTCTCCTCTGATGCGGGCGGCCAGGGGCTTCTTGTATCGATGCAAATAAGCTCCCTTGACGTTTGCAAGCTCGTTCCGATCCCAGTGGAAACGGATGGTTCGGGAGATGAGGAGGTGATCTTTGGTGCCCAAACCAGCCATGGAGTCCTCCAAAAGCTGTGCAGCGTGCATATATTTGTCAACAGCATGGCGAAGCTGAAACAAGAGCGCATCTTTCATGTGGCCAGAGAATTCCTACGGAATATTAGCTCATGCTCAAAGCAACGGAGAGGTTAATAGAATAAACAAACGCAAAGGGGTACTTACACTCTGAATTACGGTATCCAGGTCACGGTTGAACTTTTGCCTGTAGGTATGGGCGATGGCTCGGATCTGGTTGTCGTTTCTGGTACTCAGAATGCTGCAGACCAGAATCTCGTCAGTGCCGACCTTGCCCTCGGTCGACCTGTAGATGTTCATGACGTCCTCTTCCACCTGCTGTGGATTTACTGGTGCTGAGTCCTCGGCCCTATTGGCAGCCAAGACTATCAAGAAGTGTCTCTCCGTCTTCAAGCTCAATTCGCCCTTGACATCGCTCTCCAAGCTTCGTCGGAATGTGTGCTGATACGCGCTCTTGATAGCCTTCAGATCGGCGTTGGATCTCGACAATAGGATATCATTCATGACGACCTCCTTGGTTCCCGGACCAGCCATGGCATCGAATAGATTATGAATATCAGCCAGCAGCGGACCACGGGCGAGCTGCACCAAACCAAATTCGAACCAACTCCTTGTCTCGCTCTTTATGTCCTCTACCAGCCTGCGCTTGAACGTGCGCTCATAGGTTGATCGGATCAGATCAATCTGCAGAGGGTCTTTCCGTGACAGGACATTAATCAGCGTCTTTTCATCCGTTCCAAAGCCCTTCATGGCACCGCGCAAAGCCTGGGCGTCTGCGTTACCATCCCATTGAATGATCTGCGGGGCACCATAGCCAGGAGACGGCGGCGTAGGCTGTACAGGGGGAGCTCCATATGGAGCCGGGGGAGGGGCACCGTAATGCCCTCCGTGCTGCGGAGGAGGAGCCCCATGTTGGGGAGGAGGCGCTCCATATTGTCCTGGAGGAGGCGCTCCGTAGGGTTGTTGGTGTTGAGGAGGAGGGGCCCCGTATTGCTGAGGCGGCGGCTGTCCGTAAGGCGCTTGTGGTGGGGGATACTGGCCTGGAGGGGGCGGGGGAGACTGGTAATATCCTCCTTGCTGAGGGGGAGGATACTGGCCGTATTGCCCTTGCTGAGCTGGCGGGTATTGTCCATGGGGAGGAGGATATTGGCCCTGTTGAGGAGGAGGATACTGGCCATAACCCTGGGGAGGCGGCGGTTCTGCGATGCGTCAGATTGCGATCATGGTGCGAGGCCAGCAAAGGATTGCGCGTCGCCGCCATCGCGCAAAGGCGTGTGACCGGAGACAGCTGTTTTCCACTTTGCAACCGGGAAAAAAAAAATCCATCGGGGAGGCTACTTACGGCCGTAGGGCTGGCCATATCCTTGATAAGACATATTGCAGTGGTTGGTTCCGCGCGGCGAGTTCTGTGATGAAGGCGGAACGGTGGTGACGTCGTGCGTAACAGATGCTGTTAAAGATCAAGTTCCCAGGCGGACGAAGGAACTGGGTGAAATCGGCTTATGTACCTTTTGTGCCGCCTGCCTACAATATGTGCAGGTCCGATCAACTAGCCGCAAAGTTAGCAGCAAAACGTAACGAGCTTGTCGCGCGAAAGATCTGCCTTGCGTGACAATAAGCAAATAAGGTAGAGCCCACAGTTCATCCCTGGTGAGGCATTAGCCCTTATTGGCGAGGAGGAGGGTCGTGGCTGTGTACTTTGGTTCGTTGGACGTCATGCCGCTGTGAGCCTTGCACATCACCTGCCGCCGCCACAGATGCAGATGAAATTGCCGCTGTGCCGGAAGTCGAGTGTTGCATGTTTTGAAATCAGTTGAAATCATTTCAACTATTGGACGTATTCGCTGCGTTATTCCACACTCTGCATCCACTGATTAGTGTTGGTGCTATAATCTCCGTAGCCTGTACGGAGTAGGAAACATGGATGATTCCACAATCAGCACCACTGCAAGAATATGTCCGACTTGCCTGGTGGACCGTCCATCAGCTTACCGGGCTGGTCCTCGCTGCCCGGCACTTCAAATCATCAATTCGACTCCTTTTTAGCAGACAACAACTGATGCAAGGAGATTTTGATAATAAGCTTCTTTTGGCCCTGGTGGGTCGGTTGCTGTGGCATGCAGTCATCAATCAATGCAAGGGACGAGGAGCTTCTGTTTCGCCGTGTGGCGGGCTTTGTTCGACATCGGGACACCGCCACACATGTTGCGCAATGCACCATGGCTGAAAGACTCAAACGCCACAGCCGTGGCTTGGAGATGAATCAAACGTCGTGTCTTTGATGGACAAAGGACCTGGAATGAGCATGGATGGCGTTGACCTGTAGATGCGCAAGGATAAAGATAGCACAGCCGGGAGCCCCAGAAAGTCGAAGCCACAATGTCGCGTACGTATTGCCTCTCCCTTGGCCTGTTCACGTCATGCGACAAGTAATTCAAAGCTTCTTGTAGAGCGGCAGACCTAGAGCGATGGATGGATCAAATGTCAAGCAGCTCAACAGCACAACAAAGTCAAGTTTATGGTATTACTTGTACTCCGTACAGAATACAGTATTGACTCGTGCCCGACATGGAAGTGACTGGGCCCCACAACCTTTATTTTTTAACAACATCCTTGCAACCATTCAAAGGTTGCGGGGTGGCACCACGTTGCCACAGCCATCATAGATTCCAAGGTTGCTGCTTACACACTTCCAAGGTTGCAGGTGGTGAAGAATGTGTAAGCAACGGGGGACTCACGCTGTAACTGTAACAGTGACAGTGCTATCAATGGATTCAATAGTATTTCGGGAGGGCTATCCAGTACCCCCAGCGACTAAGAGTTCCTAAATGTCGTAACAACGAACGTATCTTGATCTTTTATCACCATTACTTACCTATATGGATGCACGGTTCCTGGAGTGTCTGCTACTATCGCTATGATCTGCTACTATCTATCAATATATTCCTCTACCATCTGCCATCACTACTACCCAGGCCGCTTTAAATTCCATTAAGAATGGATCCATGGGATTTGATGCTAAATAGTCACTCCAAGTCCCTATATTTCCCCAAATCTCCTCTCCTCTACAGCAGAGCACTGCCCCACTCTATGGGCTTACTGCTGTACCCTGGCGCTGTCGATTTGGCGGCCCGATCCCGAGACCAGCCTCCGGATTTCCCAGCCACCAGCCATCGCATTTCCAACTGCCTTTATAGAATTCGGCCAAGGTGGCACCGCCCAACATGCTGCTCTCTCCCTTTCCCCTCCTATCACATTCCTCCATCCAGGCAAACCGCTAAGCGATCAAGTACATCATTTTGCTCTGCATTCCTCGTATCTTAGCCGCGTTCAGCCTCCCTGCATGCCTGCCTTATAACAGCTTAAGAAGAGCCAAGAGAGAAGAGAAGCTTCGTCAAGATGCGCGGCGGTGTCTCTTTGATCCTTGCTCTCTCCACGTGCCTCTCCATAACGACTGCTCTTCCTCAACCCGCTCTGGTTCTCCGAGGCTCGCCAGTCAACGACCACAAGAAGCCCAAATACTCTGTTGTGCCGCTTGAACCAGGAGAGGGAGAGCCAGGCGGTGGGAACGGGGGAGGCGACGGTGGAAATAATGGCGGTGGAGGAGGAGGCGGCGGCGGAGGTGGAGGTGGTGATGGTACCGTCACGGTGATTGAGACTGTCGTCAAGACCAAAACACCTGCTACGACGGTCACCCAGATTAAGGCCTCGACGGTCACCCGCACCGTCCCGACGACGGTGTCGATTGTTGACATTACGGCAGATGTGACCAAGACGATTACCGTCACTCCCTCTCCCGCCTCCACCAAACACTCCACCAAACATCGCACAACCACTGCGTCGACGACAGTCACGACTCGACCGTCATTGACGAGCAAAACATCGAAGAGCGCCTCTACCTCGAAAGCTGCTACTTCCAAGGCCGCTACTACATCATCACGAGGCACCACGAGAACAGCGCCCTCGACTTCAGCGTCCCCGGCTTCAACGTCACAGAGCAGCTCTCATCACGCTACCTCTTCGACGCCTCAAAAGACGAGCACGTCCAGTACAACTTCCACCGCAGTAATATACCCAATCCCAACCCTCTCGGCGCAGACCAGCTCTACGACGTCGTCTTCTTCCTGGGCGACCACGACAGCCCTGTCGAGCACTAGCTCTACCTTTACCACTGCCTACACTCCTTCATCTTCTAGCACAAACGACAATGGCCAGTGGCATACTACATACCCTGCCTGGAACGGGACAACCCTGCATCGTTTCAGGTGAAAGACATGATGAAGCAGCGAGATAAGGCTTGTGTCTAACATACAATAACATACAATCGTACATATTGAAACTTCAAGGGACATATCCAGCTTCTATCAAGAAGCACAAGAAGATACAACAAAAATATTCAGGAGCTTAGATTGCGTGGCGTCAAAGTTTCTGGATTTTTCTGCCTTTTTTTTTTTTTTTTCAATCCTGCACTGTTTTCTGTTTACCGAATAATGATAATGCTGCCAAAGATGAATGAAACCGGATGTTTGCTTGGGGAGCCTCACTTTCGCCAAAGAGCAAACTTTCGAAAGAGGTGGCAGGGGTTCTCTCCCGGCTGCTGCAACGCAAACCAAGAGCTGGGGCGCGTTGCCGCTTAACGTACAACTCATGAGACGCTCGACTACAAGTTGGAAATGAGGATGAATCTAGCTTTACGCAACGAGCGAAAGATGGCTATGTAGCGATGGAATTTATGTTTTAGATTGTCGATATTTCTACTATCTATGATGAAACTCAAGTTATAAGCAATCAATGATACCCATTTTCATGTGAAACACGTGAAGCACGTTCAGCTGCCATGGCGCCGATGAAGTTTGTCCCTTGTCAGATCACGGACACCTGCATGCAATCATTTCTTCGCATGCACCCGCCCGAGACAATATTAAGCGCCTCAGCTGATGCAAGACAACAATCTGAGGCTTCAGGGCGAACAATGACAATCATCTCAGGTCATCCACTTTCTTTTCCTCGATCATATTTTCCTGGAGCTTTAAGTACCTAGGTAGGTCAACAACCTACTTCTCTCTCCCCTCTCTCTCCCTTATCCTGCATCTACATCTACTTCTCTTGGAGACTGATAAACTAGATTCTATCTTGTTGATGTGCTATCACGGAGTGTTTGCGTTGAGTTCCTGAATCATATACAATCTGTACGTCTAACCACCAAACTGGCCATCCATTGTGTGTCTAATATTTTCGACTAGAAACGTTCTATTTCCCGACTTTGATACCGTCATTTCACAATCGATTACACCCTAGCAACACATCTCCACTCTAGAATGATGACTTCTCCCTCGAATGACAGCGATGCAAACCTGGAGACTATAGTGGTGGCGTCTTGTCTAGGGGGAGGCATGCTTCTCGCTACAGTTCTCGTCATCACAGTCATGCTTGTGAAGAGGAGGGCACAACGGAGGAAGCTTCAGGAGAGGGATCTCAAGATGGAGGCCATGGAGGCTTGGGCAAGAGGGGTGTGAAGAAGGGGATCATAGAGCAAGGCAGGGATTTCTTTGTTGCGATGGAAAGGCAATCGAGTGAGGCTTTTCGGTTTGATCTTTACGATATTGCATTATAGAGTTACAACAGTACAGCATTTGGCAGCTTGAACAATTGAAGCCATGATTCACCACTTGCTGAGAGTGCATCACGATCGCCATCGATTTTTCACCAGGTCTTCATGTCGCGACCGTCTCGCCCATTCAGAGACAAACCTGTGAAGCTACATGTATTCAGCACATGTACAGCGCTCCAATAGAATACATCCACGTCTAAGCGGACCCCACAAGGCACCGATTCGCTCAAGATGCCTCCTTTCAGACTTTTTGTTGTAGAAAAGCATAATTCCTTTACTTGTACTCCTCGCTCCCAAGGGCGGCGGTATTGAGGCTTTCTATAACTTTGGTGGGCAGAACCGCTTTACATGCAGTGGGAGATAAGACACTCTCTCCGGTGAACACTGAAACTTGCAACCACTCACATACTCACCCTCAACAAACCCTTGCAAACACCATACGAGTACATCTGACTCAAGCAATCATACTTTCTCCCACCAGCATGAAAGATAGTGGACCTTCGGTGCCTCGCTGGGCACTTTTGGCTCCTGCAGCTGCTCCCCCGATTCTCACATTCGACGAACCCTCGTTGGAGCTATTATCTCGCACCGACTCGCACAACAGCTCAGATCCTCGCTCAAATCCTCCGCTGTTACAGCCCGCAGGCGGGATGTGTTCTCCAGAGGGCCAATGGAATTGCATGACAACTTCGTGGCAGCGATGTGCAAGTGGCATGTGGAGCGCCGCTGTTCCATGCGCGACGGGGACGATTTGCCAGCCTTTTGGATTAACGGATTTCATTACCATTGAGCACGAGGCGAGTGCCAGCGACAGTCAGCCAGATAATGGCCATGCGAGTGATGGCAGGGCTGGCGATGGTCATGATAGGAGCGGAAAGAAGAGCCTTGGCCTCAGAAACTCACCTAGCCTGGTCTTGCTCGTTGGGGCACTGTTAACGGGAGTTTCCTGGGGGTTTCTGGCATGAATCGAGACTGGCAGACTTGATGATAAACGGGCTAAATTTAGCCATGATAAAAGAACGTGAAGACGAACTCAGCTAGCTTCGACGGAGAGGGGAAAGAGAGCGGCGGTAAAATATCCGCCACAGATTCCATGCTTCAGGCTGTGTGCATTCGGCATATTTACCGGTGGGAAGGGTGTATTTTTAGATACAGATTGAAATGATACCAGCAAAATAATAAATGGAATACCGCAACGATTATACATTAAAAAGAGTGAATTACTCTACATGAAGCTATGAACCCTAAAGAGACACCAATATACGAAAGAGACAGATGTGTACGGAGTTCGCGCACGCTTGAAGCTCAAACTCCGCACGCTATGTATAACTTCGTGATTACATAGGTATTCCCACTTCCAGTACCTCGTCCGCCTCATGAAACTCGGCCAAGTGGTATCGAAAACATGTACTCCGTACTTGTACAATATAGACGAAGTGGGCTTAGCCGGCCATGCTTTGCAAACTACTCGTAACTTGACGTATCTGCGCGAAGCAAACTTGCATCCACGTTGCAATAGTTGCGCGATGGAAGCGGAAGCGGATCCGCATGAAATCCTGTTGGCGCCCGCTGCTCGACTCCTCTTTTTGGCTGGTAATCGGGAGTCTATAATCCCCCCCTTTCCTTTTCAAAATCCTCGGCCATTAAGCTTGGGAAAAGAATCTTTGCTGGTTCAGCTGCAAAACAGGGAAATATGGGGTCAAAGGGAACCATTATCGTAACGGGGGCCAACGGCGGACTTGGCTCCGCCATTGTGCAGAACATCCTCGGCACTCCGGATCTGGCCTCCAACTACACCGGCGTGTACGCGGTGCGAAAGGTCGCGACCGCGGCACAGCTCCAGGCGGCTCTGTCCCGGGCCCCGTCAAATCACAAGCACGAGGCGGTTGACCTCGACCTGGGCTCGGTGGAAGATGTCAGAAAGGTGGCCACGGACATCAACGCAAAGGTGGCCAAGGGCGAGTTGCCCAAGATCCGGGCCCTGATTCTAAATGCTGGATATCAAGATCACACGGATATTGTAAGTTCGACTCCATTGTCAATCCTGTAGTAGTCAGCTTGGCATCATCGTTCGGTTATTGAGGCGGCATGTTCCAGGTTATAAGTAAGGATGGCTTCGAAATGTCATGGCAGGTCAACTTCCTCTCCAATCTGATCCTGGCGTTGCTCCTCCTCCAGAGTATGGATGAGCAAGAGGGTCGCATACTCGTCATTGGCAGCTGGGCCCATAAGTAAGCATAAAACAAACCACACACAAAAAAAGAATCACAAGAGAAACCCCAAAGCTAAAAGAGCTCTGCAGCATTGACGACAAGCGCAACGACGTAATGACCGCATACAAGGATCCCAGATATACAACTTTGTATCCGGGCGTGGATGCTCTCGCCAAGGGTGAATGGAGCAGACCGGAAGAAGACCCAACGACCAACTCGGGCTTTCGTCGATACGGGGCCAGCAAGCTATGCGTCATAATGCTGTGGTGAGAAATACAATTGTTCTTTTTTTCCCTTTGAGATCCCAAGGAGTCCACAACTAACAATGCTCTTGCAGCGAGGAATTAGCAAACCGCATTGCAAAGGACCCCAAACTGAGCAACATCTCCCTCATCGACTTGGACCCTGGCGGCATGCCCACCGGCATTGCTCGCAGAGGGGGTTTCCTCCTGAGCTTCGTCGTGATGAAGCTCGTTTTGCCCACCGTCGCCAACGTCAGCGTATGGATGAGCCCCAACGGCATGCTTAGGACTGCACGGAAGAGCGCTGCAGATGTCATCAGAGCTTGCTTCGAGCTCGAGGCTCACCGCGGCGAGGCATTGCATTTGGACGGCTCGGCGACTGGGCTGGAGATTGCCAAGGAGGCGAAAGATGAGGCGAAGAGAAAGGAGGTGTGGGAGTATGGCTTGAAGGCGGCGCACATTGAAGAAGGGGATACAGTTTTGGTGGATTGGAAATAAGTCATCAAGGGTTGAAGGAGATACGTATCTAGTCACAGACAAGCTTTGAACAATTTCTACGAGGCAAGATTAATATACGCACGGTATGTAATTCAACAAAGGAGTGATGATTGCGAGCTCAACCTTGCTCCCCAATGTTAGTGCTATATTAAAATCTCATATAATCCCTGATGGAGGACAGTACAGTATGAGATGAGATGGTTGAACATATTCACAAAAGGCCGGCCCGCCCTCAGATCTCTCCCTTCCATAGGTGGAGATTATCCATGTATTCGATCATCATCCTGTATTGGTCCTAAGAATCTACCAATAGGGGAATCTCCTATTCGATCGGATCCGTCTTCTCCTTCTGGAAACTCGAGACCGAATATTCAAAAAATCGATGCGCGATTTCGACCGGGACCCCCCTTGCGTCTGAGGTAAGGCACTAGGACATGAAACAGACGCCGTCATTTTCAAAAGACGAGATGGGAAATGGCGCTAAGAATAGAGGCGAGTAAGATTCCATCCGGGGCATCGATCTGTGCTCCAAGCCCCATACAGTGGGGAGTCGAAGCTGTGATGCTCCGAATCAGTGTTTGGATTAGACGATATTGAGAGGCACTCCATATGTGATATAAGTCAGTGGACCACTAATACCATCATCACACACACTCTGGTCTACTCGTACACTCATCACCTTGTCAAGTAGAGCAGTCCTTCGGCTCAGACAAGACGTCGTAACACCAAAGCAGGAAATGGCCTGTTCTGTTGGCCCCTAGATGGGCCATCGACCAGATGTTTCACGTTTCTTAAGCAGCCCGCTTGCGATATCCGATTGGAGCAGCAATAACCTCAAGGATTCGAGAAAATAGGGAGCCCCCACATCGAGCCGTCCAGCGCAGTGTCGCCGTTTCAATCGCATCTGGACCAGCACTCGCACTCGCAGCTCCTTGCTCTGTGCGCCGTTCGTGGTTACATTCGATGCAGTGTCTCGCTGGCTAAATGCCACTCTTAACTTGCAGCAGCCACTCAATTGGCGCCGAAACGCATCTGTGACAGAGTCCGCCGTGGGGCCTCCTTGCTGCTTGAGCTGCCACCAGCGCGTCAATTGGTTGGCGGACGAGGTTGCCGCTAGCGATGCCCTCGCCGCGGATCGAGGCGTTTGCCTGGCTGATGATGACGATGATGGCGGCAGCTATCTATCAGGTGGGCATATAGTCAACTTACTCGTATGCTTTCTAAGGGTTCCATTCCTCGATTCGTCTCTGTTAAAAGATGAGGACCGCCGATCTGGTGGGAGAAGAGGAAGGTCAGCTGTGCCATCTTAGCAGCCTCTTGTCTGTGTCAAGTAAAGAGCAGCTTCATTTTACAGCACGCCGTCTGACACGCACCTTGCCTGCCATCGAACTTTAATTTCCTCTCCGGAGCTGCCATCGCATCCGCACAGTCTTTTTCTCCGACAAGCTGCTGCATCTTCGTTGATTCCGTTTCATTTCCTGTCTTCAGCTCACGAGACTACGACCTACTGTACTGCATGTGCAGTAAATCATCGCACCAGCTGCGCATTCCTGCCTGCTGCGATCGGATTCACGGCTAGACAGGAGCTGAGACCTGTCTGACACAAGGCGCTGCGAACGAGCACCTGCTGCTCGCAGCCAGTGCGCCTCTGGCAGCTCCAACGGGCACTAAAGCAGCGCGGCCCCCCGCTAAAGCTCCTGCAGCGCATCCCCTGGAAAGCCGTGCATCCAAAAATACAGCGTCAATCAGCCAACCCAAGCCATCAATATGTGGGACCGCGCCCGAACCTCTGCCACAGCGGGTCTGGACAGGCTGCATCGGCCCTCTCGCCGGCACCTTAAAGACGGCCCCAGCTCAGACAAGCCAGAGATTTATCTGTTCGAGTACCCTGTCAATGCTCTGGGCATCGCCATCTCCAGACCTCACGGACACCAGAAGCCGCAGAGACCAGCGAGGCCAGAGACGCTGCAGAATCGGCATCTATTTGACGAGTACGACGATAACGACGACGCTGCTGCTGCTGCTGCATCCCCCCCGGGAATTGGAGCTGGAATGTATGTATTATTAGTTGACATCTCCCCCCAAATTATCACCACCTGCAGCTGGAATTGGCTGTGGATGCGTCATGCAAATGTTATTCTCTCCTCCTGTGCTGCGTTGCCACCTTGTTTTGCTGCGTCATTCGCCCGAGAGCACATGCCGGTTCTTTGGTGAAGGGCACAGCCTCGAGCAAATGCGCGTCAAACAAGGAAACAAAGGAAAAAACAAGGCCCATCTTGCATCGGGCTATTTCCCCCATCGCCGTTGGCTGGTCGCATGATGCTGCTACTACAACCCGCCGGCTCGCGCTATCTGCACTGCCCACTGCCTGTTGCTCTGCCCATTTGGTTGAAATAGCCAACAAACGGCTTGCGGCTGACGTGATTGTCCTTTCCACAGAATTAGATTCCCGACGGACGATCCTGCTGGTTTTGCGGAAACATCGTCGCGTATTGCTTTTGAGCCGCCACCGAGGAATCCTAAACGACTATTGCGAGTGCGACAAGACTCGAAGGATCTCGAGCCTCAGATTGTAACCGATTCGGAATCCACCTCTACTAGTGACGGAGACGGATACTCTTCGTCCCCGGCCTCCAATTTCAAGCTGGCTTCGGCATACTCAAGGCGGCGCCTCCCAGCGCTCGACCAAATCTCCCCTCCAAGCTCACCAGAATTCGGCGCTTTCAAGAATGAGTAAGTGCTTTGCATCAATGCCGACGCTTTGAACTCTTCATCCTTTTATCCGCTCCCTTTGATCAAGGAACTCGGGCCTTGCGAGTTTCAATCGCGTTTCAATAGCTGTACTGACAAAGCATTGCCCGTGCAGCGCGCCCGTCTCTCCTCTCGACGACGATGACGCCGACTTCCCTCGAGAGTATCCTTTTAATGGACGGCAACCCACCCAGCCGTTCGCGACACAGCGCCAGATGAGCCATGTTCCCGTTCCCGTACATCAATATACGGCCTACCAACCAGCTGCGAACGTAAACGACGCATCTTTTGAGAACCCAAGAAGCCTCGCAGACGTGCCGGTACCAATGCCGCAAGGCGCATTGCCACGGAGTAGCAAAATGCGCATAAAGGTGCCGCATGACAGTTCAGTTGCACAGCGATTCCGCTTTCTCACCAAGGGCAAGTCGGAACCATCAGAGGTTCTGGCCGATCGACCAAGGCAGGGCGATCCAGGAGCGCCATCGGTTAACATTCCCCGGAGGAGCAGCAAGCGTGCAAGCCGCGCCCACAACGGTCTTCGAAACATATCAGCTCCCCTTCCGGCTATCCAGTCGGCTACTGAGTTGGAAACACCTCCGCGCCAACAAGCGACCACAGACCGCGACTTTCTTCCGTCTACATTTCCTCAAAGGCCACAGAACACGACCACACCAGCATCCAAGGTTGCATCGTACAATGCCAATGTCAATGCTGTCGGTAATGCGCTTCCTACGCCGCCTAATCAAGAGTACCCAACTCCACCATCTATACAGTCAGCTCGAGCAGAGTCGCCTGCCGGTCCAGAGTTGACTCCTACTGGGCCTCGGATCATTAAGAGGAAGCCGCCGCAAACCCATCAAGCCCAACCTTCAGTACCCTCCAACATGTCAAATTCGAGCCAGGCCTACATGAATCCTCCTCCTCGGAGAGCCTCGGCCGCAGCCATCACTGGACTGCGCGAAGCGGCCCCTAAGCGTGCCAATACCGGCGAAGCGTGGGAGCAGCCTCCCTCGCGCTTTGGTGTCACCACTTACATTTCAACGAACGGGGGGGCTCCTCGACAGGTTTCTGGGGATCAGATGCCCGCGAACATGCCGGCCACCGTTCCGATTGTGAGCCGTCCGGGTCCATTTGCGAAGCGGGACATTGCCCATGATCCTCCTACCAACCATACGATAACGATCGCTAAGCAAAGGGCATACATGTCTAGCCCATATGGGGCCGATACCCAGGCCGCGGTGTCGAGTGAGGTATCTCTTAGTGGGCCGGACCGCGCCCGTGCCGGCAGCAATGCGGAGTCCACTCGCCGAAGCTCCATTCTGTCAACTGCCAAGCCGCTTCCGCCTGCACCTCCGGAGTTGGCATCGGCACCCGATGACAGAATCGCGCAACTAAATGCCACCCTCTCGGCATTGGCTCACCGCAGGGTCAACATCAACAAAAGTATCCAGCAGATGACAGAGCTGATGCCGCGAGATAATCTAATGGCCAGCACAGAGGTGCTCCGAAAGAGGGAGGTTGAGAAGCAGAAAGTAGAGGGACTGAAACAGGAGCTGGCTGAGATTCAGCACGAAGAGTACGATCTTGGCTTGAAGCTGCATAGAGCTTACAAGCGCCAGGAAAAGGATGCAGAATATGAGGTAACTGGTCTATGGGTGAGAAGGATTACAAGCTGATTGGCGACATGACTTGCTGGTGCTGAGCCTGGCGCTGAAAATTGTTTGCTGGTTTTCTTTATTTTTCTTTGCTGGTCAAGAAACTTGGGTCATGTACGAGTATGGGTTGAAAAGAGCATAGTCTGGCGTATCATAAGGATATAGGGTCTAATTATGAGAGTTGCTTGTATCATTTTTCCTATCTATCTATACTGCGGCCACTTACAAGTGCTTATCTCAGCCTGGAGAGCATCCAAAATATGAAGAGTAAACACACAAAGAGAGCATACAGCTCGCCGATGGACAGCACTATCGTCCAGAAGATGAAGTGCAGGGTGAAGATGGCAATGGCGGGGGCGTATAGATTGCCGAGGATTACGAGGTAGGAGGACATCCGACAGAATGGCTCGAGCTTGCGCCTGATAATGAGGATAAGGCGGATACGTATGATGTATAAATCCAGAGTTTTTTGTTCATAAAGGGATATGACGATGTCGAGGAGCGGTGGGTAGAGGCTATAGAAGCGTAGGGTATACAGCATGAAGAGTTGCGGAAACTCATATAGTCGAAAGGGGCTCTCATGGAGATGAAGGAAAGCGAGTGCAGAGGACGTCCAATCTTGTCGAAGCCGGGGTATTTTCTCGGGCGGAAGCGAGTATGGAATTAGATCGTCAACAGGATCAGCCGAGGTGTCTGTAAAGTGATGTACCACAAAATCGATCTCGGTTTCGGTGAGATGGTCTTTATCTCGATTCTTGTCTTGGGAAGACTCTTCAAATTGAGCTATATGAGTGGCAAGATTCCGTACACTAAGATGGACAGACTTTGCAACCTGTGCGTAAAGTGATAGAAGCACCCGTTTCACGCACCATGCGTATTTGGCGAGGTAATGTAGCAAGTATATCGCTGCGAGGAGGACGTGGGCGAATACGATGAGCGCGAAGTCTTGTATGAGGGACCAAGACGATGTGCCGTGGGCGAGGAGGTGGCATGACAGCGTGTAGAGGAGGAAGAGCTTGGATGTTGTTGTTGACGGCGGGAAGTGGGCTGGGCAGAGACGGTAGAGGAGGATGAGGAGGAGGAAGGGGGTGAGGTGGATGAGGAGGGACATTGTGTGTTTGTTTGGGGAGGGGGAAGGAGTTTGAGGGTTTGTATCATGGTTGGTTTTTGATATGCTTGTGTTAATATATATTTCAAATTGTGTGTATATGGTTGATGGAGGCTGTGAACAAAGATGTTATTGAACGGGTGTTGAAAATATTGGCTACAGGGTAGGTATTTGATCTGTATGGCTGTTCAAGAAGGTCTACTAAGAGTTTGGTCGCGAACAACAGGGTGAAAGACGAAAATGCGACTACCCGCGAAACAGAACAAAACATAAACACGTGCACGTGCAATTACAAGATGAGCTTGTTTGAAAAAACAAAAGATTAAATGTATTCATATAGCCCATGTGGGCCGCGCCTCTTTATTCTCGTCAATCGCCTTGAGGATATACACAGCTCGATACTAAAAGGGTGTATAGCATGCAACAATAAGATCCTAAAACAGTAAACCATCAGACTCAATGATATATATGTACATGACAAAGAAAAAATGCTTTCATCCCATCCTCCATTCTTCTCTATGACCTTCCGCTTCATCCCATTGCTTCTACGTAACCTGGCGTCTATCTAACCCCCGTTCCCTCCATCTACTGCTCCAGCCAGTCAAGGACAACCCTGGTGAAGTTGCTGGGGGCAGAGATCTGGGGAGCGTGACCCAGAGTAGGGAACTGGTACAGAGTGCAGTCGGGGATGGTGTCGCAGACCTGGGGGCCAATGACGCTAATGTGGCCGAGGTTGGCGGCAACCTCCGGGGGAGACCAGTTGGCGCCGATGGCGACCTTGTCCTGGTCACCGATGATGAGCAGAGTCTTGGAGACAACGTCCTTGAAGTACTGGACGACGGGCGAGGTCAGCACCATGTCGACGATCTGGCCCTGGTTCTTGATGAACTGGGCGCGCTTGGAGCCGAAGTAGACGTTGGTAAGCATGGTGACCCAGATGGTGTAAGAGTCGTCCCACTGGCCGGCATAGTAGATTGACTGCTCGTAGCCCTTGAGAGCGGCAAAGGTCTGGGCAGCCTCGGCGGCGATGTCGGTGTCGATGGACACGTAGGGCACGCCCTTCTCGACGTAGTCCTCCAGACCAACGGGGTCAACCAGAACCAGGCGGTCGATGGTGTTGGGGTACTGCAGAGCGAAGCGGGTGCTGAGCATGCCGCCGACGGAGTGGCCGATCAGGGTGATGTTGCCGATTCCCAGCGTGTTGAGAAGGCCGCGGGTGTTCCAGGCCAGCTGGTTAAGGCTGAACTGGTAGCTCTCGGGCTTAGAGCTCTTGCACCAGCCGACCTGGTCCGGCGCAATGACGCGGTATCCGGCGCCGGCGAGGGCAACGATGGTGGAGTTCCAGGTGGCGCCGCAGAAGTTCTTGCCGTGAAGAAGAACCGCCGTCTGGCCGTTGGGGGCGCACGTGGGCTTGACGTCCATGAAGGCCATCTGCAGCTTCTGCTGCTGGCTGGTGAAGGTGAAGACGTTGACGGGGTAGGGATAGGTGAAGTTGGAGCCGTTGAGGTCGAAGGGGAACGGGCCCTTGGAGACGGAGCCCGTGGCAGCCTCTCCCTGAGCAAAGGCGAGGCCGGCGGCCGAGAGGAGGCCAGCGGCGAGAGTAGAGAACTTCATGATGGCTAGGAGGGAGGGAGGAAGAGAGGGTTGAGAGAAAGTCTGTTTGTCTTGACTTGAGGCGAGTTATTATTCTCGACGCAGACTCAACGCAAAAAAAGAAACAAAACAGGAGGGGGACAAGAGGCCTTTAAAACAAGCCATCGCCAGCTCTAAGCCAGGGGAGGGCTTGCGATTGCGCGTGGCAAGCGGAGAAAGGTTCGTGGAATCGGACAGGGCTTCGACGAGGCTTGATGAGGCTTTGACGAATTCAATCAATCTTGGAGAACCCACAGGTACCGCTTTTGTAGCGAGCACCGGCGACCAAAGGTACTCGCCAGGTACCCTTCAGCAACAGCAACACCTCACGCTTCCCATTGTGCGCGCAACTTGGAGGCCAAGAAGGCAAAGCGGGCGACAGACCGTCTTCTCCATTCTGATGACCAACAGCTAAACGGCTATGGAGAAGCAATCTATGCCTTCCATTAGCGGCATGCGCCTGGTTCAAGTTGTCTGCATTTAATTACCTCGACATGGCTAGCAGCCCCCCTTCTCCGCGGCAGCGCCAGCCGAATTGCAGCCACCGCAATCTTAGTGCGCGGTACCATCGCGGTACCAGGGGCGATACCTGGGGCGGTACCTGCAGCACCCCGACACGATACCTGCGGTTAATTTTCCTATTGCGTGCCCCTCCGTCGGCACGAGACGCAGTTGGCCCTTGATTCGCTGCTTGGGGGCTTGGCTAATCCAAGGGGAGGGAACAGTTTGCGTGCAGACGGCATCTTGGATGCAACTTCAATCATATATTTCGTACCGGCAGATCCTCAGGCTCGCTGCAAGGGGCAGTAATCCCCATATGGCAATGTAAACAGGCGACGAACCAACAGCAGCAATGAAGAATGATACGAGAGCACTCTTGAGCACAGCTGCTCATGCTGGGTACCCCGGAAAGCCCTGCGGCGTCTCCTAGCCTACTACATGCGAGCTTTGCAACCGGAATGTCGCTGCCATGCCCTTCATTACTGTATACGTCGACGGGCAACTCAGCTCGAAGCCAGGGCATTGGATTGGGCCATATCCACCTCTATGTCCGGAAATATCGATTCAATCTCATGCCGTAATGCCATGGCCACGTTTTTCAACCGCTACTGTCCGCTTTGCCCATTGTGGTTCGTTCAGCGACGCAATGGATCCGGGCTAGCCAGAGGCCCTGCTGCTTCTAGCACGAGTAGGATTATTGATATCATATCCCAAACCAGCCTCGTCAATGGGCTTCCAGACGAATCCCCAGTCCCGAGTGCCACGTTTTTCATCGGTTAATCAATCTTTCTATACTCCGTATGGATGGAAGCATGGACGACTGCTGCCAGCACCCCAGAAAATGGCTGTTTTTGGCCAGCCATGCAGACCGACCTTGTCCAATCATGCCGTGTCCTACACCGTGTCCCGGCCGAGTTTACCGTCCTCACCGCAGGAGCTGAGAGGGCTAGCACCTCGTGTCCCATTCAGCGGACTGCTCTTCGATGTCTTCTAGCGTCTTGGCATCAGTTGAGTGACCTTCTTGCTGCCTCCTGTAGGCCATACCGTCCAATGGATCTAGAGCTGATGGGGGCTTTTTTGGGGCTTCGACAGCGCCGGACCCGTTACTTCTCCTCTGGAAAGCTTCAACTTGCGGCCATGAAAGAGGAAATCATACTATCAACTGTGGGTGAAAGCTGAGGAATTATGAGATGAGATAGAAAAGACAAACTATTACTTTCTAGCTCCTCGTTAAGCACTCTCCTGACCAGCCTTCAATGCAGGCCGCGGAACATGACCTCAACTCGCGGTGAGAAAAAAAAGAGAGAGAAGTAGAGAGGGAAAGGGGAGAGGGAGAGAGAAGGAGAAGAAGACGCATGGAATTTCTCTCCCTCTCTTGTTGGCCAGTTCGACGACCATAGTGTTGGAGATGATCTTCATCTTGCGTACCATGGCAGCTGTCAAGGCTCCGTGAAGAGGCGGCATGACGCACGTCTCACATGAAACCTCACTCTCCATGCGGCTTTTAGGCCTTCTTTTCATTCTTCTTTTCTTCACAAGGTTCATTTTTGTGCCCGTTTATGCGCGTCCGCTTGGCAGGCGCGCTTACCCAGGCATTGCCAGAAAATAAAACGAATATGCGACGGAAGTGGATTGTGGATTTAACCGACCCAAGACTTACCCACTGCCAATTCATTAACAGCATGGCCAGGTCCATTCCCCACGGCAGAGCCGGCAAACTTGTCAGGGCCAGCATTCTGGGACCAGACGGCTGTCACGGCACATTTGGACTTTGCACCGCGCACGCAGCGCCACGGGGGGATTTAATGGGCTTGGAGGCGTCGAAAAGTCTTTGGCCTCTGTGGCTCGGACTCCTTTTTCTCGCCATTCCAACTAGCATTTAGCAGCCGACGTCCGGAGTTGAAAAAGACGCGGGAGCCGACGATGGAGAGGCTTGCCGTTGAGCGGGAGCTATCCTTTCGTCGCACGGATGGATGAAGATTGAAAGGATGTCGAAGTGGCAGAGCGGCCAGCAAACCCGTCTGATGGGCGCAAGGCGTCCATTCGTACTTATACCTCTCTTCTCTTCTCCCTGGAGCGCCGATCGATGATGTATTTGGTCTGTCCGGTTCCCCAGAGCGATCAGCGCTGGATCCATGCATGACACGCATCTGGGACATCTCGCACCATCAGATAACCTGAGCTGTTCGTTGAGCGAGCAGGTCGACTGAGAGATTTCCCTTTTCCCTCTCGGCCATCTACCGGGCTGCCCCTCGTTACCAGCCGGTGTTAGTACGGCGACAGTGAGCCAGTGAGGCCAAAACCAGGCGATGGCTTGCGCTCTGGTGCTGACAAGTACGGCGTGCTTGCCCAATCCAGACACCGGCAAAAAGCTGGGCGCAGGCACTAGGAGGAGTCGTCGACGCAGGGTTTCGATTGACGACATGTCGTTCGCCTCTTGACGCTTGCATGGAGGAGTAGTGAGGGGCCAGCATTCCGGGATACCCTGGACGCCGGAGCCTTAGTAAGGCGCCACAGAGGCGCTGTCGTATTGCAGAAACACTAAAATCGCCCGGTGGCTCCCCGAGGTACTTGGAGGTACCTGGGCCGCTGGCCAGTGCTTATCAGCCTGGACGGTACCAGGCATGGTACCGTGCGCGCAGGCATTTAGCAGAGGACGGCTGGTGCGCGGCATGAATCTTTCAGCAGCGACCTGAAATGCCAAGACAGCGCATTCTGCCCATCCACGGCGAAAACCTCAGTGATTGTCGCGAGTGATGATTTTTTGCGTATCGTTCAATTACAGTTTTGCTTCTTTTTAAGCGTTGCCAATAAACTGACTCAAGATGTCACGATCCGATTGATCTGCGGGAGATCGTGGCGGCCCTCCCGCCCGCCAGCTTTTATCGAGGACTGAAGCCGCCGGCGGAGAACTAAGGCGATGGCTCGACAATAATTCGCAGCCACACAGAGCCAAAGAGCCACTTTGCCGGCCAGAGGATACAAAAGCAGAACCTCTCCCTTCTACCATATATATTATGCTTTTACTTTTATTTTTAACCCTCTTGATCGTCTGGTGGTTGATGCGTCCATCAATATTTTGTAACGTAACAGATACGTACACACGCGTAAATATCTCTGTAGCATATCAAGTGTCTAATATGCCGCAGATCTTGGCCGTTTCCAACTTCTGATCGGCGCGCCCCAGGTACCGATAGATTAAGGCACGACTGAGAGCTTTGACGGATACGAGAAGCAGGTGTTGATCTAGATAACATGTCGTCAAGATAAAGTACTGCAAGAATTGTTGTCCCAACCAACAACACACCATTTGACACTACCGAATCTGCAGCGTAGACAAACGGCAATAAAACCAACAGCAAATGCCGCTATCTCCGCTGGAGATATAGTGACACCCAACATGTTATTTCCCAATACACTGGTAAACTTCCCCAGAAAGCACCAGCAAAATTGCTGCTTACTTGTTCGTCGCATCGACATCGCAAAGGATCTGGCCAATCGACGCACAGCCGGCCCGATGACAAGCTACATCCAGCAATTGCGCACCACCATTCCTGTTTGACAGCTGCCGTAAGCGTGCCAAATGGTGACGATCGCAGAGATTAGATTGCACTGGCTCTCAGTCTGACCGAACGGCGGCTCCTGGTCCGGATAAATCAGCCATGCACAGCCTCCCCCATGTCTTTGGAGCCCTCCTCCTTTGCTCCTTTCCGGGTTGCCACTCGCACGACCGTTTTGATTGTTTACTCTTATCTCGACAGGGACTTTGCCCTCTGGTGCTGCTGGGGCGGAAGTACATACCGTGCTGAATTGTGCTCGTACTATGTAGTTGTGGCTTCATCCTAGTAAGGTACCTGCATACGCAAATACGGTTGACCGGCTGCAGTACTACCTGGTACTCTGATTTGTCCCTGTATTTCTCCTGCTCCGTGGAAGCTGAAAAGAAGCGCCCGCCGCCACCGAATGATCCTTTCAGCCACTCGCACTACAGGCCGTCTCATGTCATGCAAGGCAAGGCAAGGTACTGAGTTAATGCAATGCAACAGTTGTTCCTTGGAACTACAGCGTCCTGTAACTGCTAGCAGCCTGCTAAGCTGTCTCAACCTGAAAGCGTTGAGAAGATGACCAGGTACCTTTTTGCCGTCCATGACGCAGACTCCACCCACAAACACTGGGGGCGCTTTCCCGATTGTCTATCCAGGTCCGTTGGCGGCGCCGCACTAGTCCGCTCCGGGACTGGCGCGTTCATGCCCTTTTTCGGTCGTCTCGGGCCAGCTTCCCATGACTCCCATGAGCGCCAATCCATGTATGAGGCCATGCGAAAGTGAATCCACCATCAGACAATCTCTCAACAGAGGCGCGAGCCGCGCCGGGAAGAGGAGCCCGAGAGGAGCCTGCGAGGTGCCTAAGAGGAGCCCTAGGGGAGTCCGCGAAGAGCCCGTGAGGAGTCTGCCCCTAACGATGGGCTGCTCGTATTTTTGCTGCTCGTCTCGTGGGCTGGAGGGGGATCGCCAAGGCAGAGCACCCAGATGAAGCATCACCTATTTCTGGATACCTCTGCTCCGTATTACTGCTGCAACTGCTAACATAGCAATGGCCGGCCGGTGTCTACAGCGTCTCAACGGGCACGGCTCCGAGATGGACATGGAGAAATACAACAAAAGACACATGTCAATGACAGCTTGGCAAAAGATCCCTTCCCCCCAAAACGACTGAAACCCGAATGGCTTCGGCGCTAAGCAAGCCATTCTACAAGCCGTACCCACGCACACAGCAACGACAGATTATGTTTACATGCAAGTACGAGTACTTGTGCTCGTCCTATGCGTGTTGAGTATGAGGCAGCATGGCGCGCGAGCGGATTCTCCCGCCTTGTCCCGGCAAACACAGCTCGCCTCTCTCTCGTCCCATCCCACTTTTGTCTAGACCAGACACCCCCCGAAACCATGCTCAATGTATTGCCCTGGCAAGCGAAGAGCAAATGTCTGCCATTTCTCGCTGGGGGGGATCGTGGCTTGACAGGGCCCTCGCTTTGGTGGCATCGACTTCGGGAGCCACTCCTGTCCCTCGGCGCCGCTGATGAAACGCCTAACCTCTAGCATCCAAGTGCAGCTTTTATTCCGGTGCAATCTCCTTCTCGGACATGCTGCAGTTAGACGTAAGAGCCAAACTCTGTTAGCGGTAGCTTCTTTATAAGGCTAAACAGTCCTGCCGTGCGAGGTACCTCATGGCCCCGTTCGCTGGTGCATGAACACTGTTGCATTCCTTACTCTAGACAATCGTGGGGAAAGATATAGAGACGGCTGGTTCCCCTCCGACCCTCCCTTTTTGATATCTCGTCTCCTCTCGTCTCGTCGGCTTTTATATCGCTGATCTTCAACTGCCGGGACCCTTCGTATACGACTGACAGCGACTGAGCGATGGCCTTCCTCACTCCAGAAGCGGCCGCTGAGAGCCATGCCGACCTAGTCCGGATTCCGAGCATTGTCTTCTTCGTCGTCACGCCCATATTCGTCTTCATCAGATTCTGGAATCGTATTTCGAGGAGATCAGGGCTGGGTTGGGACGATGGCACCATCGCTGTGTCCTTTGTATGGATTTCCCCCCTCCTATTGATTGGGTTGTCCTGAGATGGGAAACTAACGCACAGCTTTTTAAAAATTAGGTTTGTACCCTCTTGGTGCAGATATTTATGATGATTTCATGCAATTATGGGTTCGGCAAACACATTGCGTCCTTGTCACCTCACGACAAACTAGAAGCCCTCAAGGTATGTCTCAGTTACTTGCTCTACTCTATGGTTTTCATTTAGTGGTTGATGTTCACACATATGCTGTTGGAACAGTGGTTTTACGTTGCACAAATCTTCTACAAGTTGACCATCAACCTGACCAAAATGTCGATTGTTCTCTTGTATCTGCGAATTTTCGTCCAAAAGTGGTTCCGCATCTCGTGCTACATCCTCTTGGGCATCGTCACTGCATACTGCATTGCTAGTACGTCGACTTCCATCTGGCAATGCAACCCTATTCGAGGAGCTTGGGACAAGTCCGTGAAACCCACATGTATCAGCTTGACCATGAACTGGTACGCCAACGCTGGCTACTCCATTGCCACGGATGTTTTAATTCTGTTGCTCCCCATGCAGCCCATCTGGGCGAGCAAGCTGCCCGTCAACCAAAAGAGAGCTCTGATGTTTGTCTTTGCTCTTGGTAGTTTGTGAGTTTTTTTTTTTTTTTGTCAAGGAATTAGGTTGCATTGCTAACAATTACAGCGTTACCGTTACATCCATTCTGCGTGCTACCACTCTCAACTTCTCGACGACCAGCCCTGATACGACTTGTGAGCCCCCTACCCCGCCCCTTTCTTGCCCTTGAACGAAGCATTCATGCTAACTCACTCGCCAGTCGATATCACCTCTACGCTGTGGACCATCATCGAAGAAAACGTCGCCATTATCTGTGCCTGCTTGCCCATGTGCCGCATTGTCCTGGCCTTCCTCTTCCCCAAGATTTTCGGCGGCAACACCACCAAGGGATCCACTGGAGCCTCGGGCGGCCTGGGATCTGAGAACCACCACAACAAATACGGATATGCTCGTTCTCAATCTCCTACGCGCCGCCAAAGCTGGAAGCCTTATTCCGGACCGGGCGGTGATGGCGTCAGTCGCAGCACTGCTGCTCACCAGAGCGACGACACAAGCGAAGAATTCATCCTCACGACAGTACAAAGACATGGGTCAACGGATGACAACGACGGCGCCATTAGAAAGACTACGAAGTACGAAGTGTCATACGAAAATTGAGTAATATAAAAACTAGAAATCTGTTATGATTATTCTTGGCGACTACGGAGTACCTGCTCAAGTTTTATAAAAGTTAGGAGGGATTTTGGGTGCCAGGCTTAATACTTGGTTCCTTTTGAGGACAGCTTCTGCATTGCAGCGTTGGAGACTGGTTCTCTCCTCTTTTCCCTTTGTTATTTTTTTGTCTTGCTCTTCAATTCTGTTTTCTCAAAATTTCATCTTTTTTGCTTTGTATACAACAATAGTACCTACTTGCCCCGTATAGGACTCTGGAGGCGATTTACGATGACACGCAACTTGGGACAGGGCTTTTTTGCTTTTACCTTGCCCCCTGTATATATTGTTTTCTTTCCCCTTTGTCTATAAGAGCTATAAGAGATACCAGTTACATGATTGAGCGTTTTATCTGTCACCAATCCTGGTTGAGCAATATTTGGCATGTAACACACTTATATCAACATGCTTCCCCCTCTGACAACTCAGAAAATGTTGTTCTATTCGTATCTAGCGTCATGCATGCCCAGGCCAGGTACACATCTGTACCTATTTCTCATGTAACCTTGATTCCAGGGGTGCGGCCCCGGCCCATGCAATGTACCTTTGGTACTCCGGACCTTACAGGCATCCCCTGCTCTGGAAGAAGAGCCCTGGCTTCCTCTCCGATTTAGCCACATGGTGCAATTTTTTTTTCCCTCACACGACTTTCGGAGTCCACGGCCATGCTTGTTTCTAGTAGCTGTAATAGTAGTAGAGAGTTCTTAGAGGGATTTAGGCCTAAACAGAAAATTCCGGATATGTATCCGTGACAAACGAGGTGACCTAAGTCCCCGGCTTCAGAAGAAAATACACGTAGAGCACAAGAAAACAGCAGAATGCCATAAAAAAACGCTGATCCGGCGTGCGCCGACCCATGTCAGGCATTGCCCCTTGGAGTTTGTTTCTCCCCTTTTTTTCGTCTGTCCTTCTGCATTCGCCGCTGGGCTGTTTATCCATTCGGCGGTGCAGTAGTCCCAGGGACGGGATTCTCGGTGCAATACTATATCGGCGGCCCAGGTTTGACATGATGGTGTGCAGCCGGGGATCGGGGAACCTGTTCCACCTTGAGCCGAGGGATGAAGGATGGGTGGGACTTTTTTTTTTTTCTTCTTCTTTTTGGAGAGACCAGGTTTTTATTGCTAAGCGAAGCGAGCCGCGTGGTTTGCAAGGGAGGAATCATTCGTATGGATACTAGGGGGGAAATTGGAGATGAGTGGTAGAAAGACTTGGATAGAGATGTACAAGTATGTGATTGTTTTGGGATTGTTTTGCTGATAACATTCGACGTTTATTTTTTTTTGGCCCCAGTTAATGAGAGGGTGCATGGCGAGGGAACGTATCATAAACGCTAGCTGGGTGTGAAGTGATCAAATGTCGGTTCCTTGTATGTAAGCATCTACTAAATATGCAGGCTGCTGTTTGCTTTTTGTTTGCTTGTTTGCATACTAAAATATCTTACATGTAATATATTCTAGGTAGAAAGGAATAAAAAAAAGGGGGAGACAACAAAGCGTACCCTACCTGTGCTCGCAAAACAAGAGAATAATAAAAATCAAGGAAAAAGAAGCCAAGTACTACTAACAATAAGATGCTACTTGGTATCCCGTATAAGGAACATTAGCTAGCGCCCAGCAGCCCTCGAGCTAGATCCAACGTACCGTAGCATTCGTAATGTTTATTGTAACCGAGATGCTTACGGGAGATCTCAAAAGCGAGCCAAATACGGGGTAGAGGGAGGGGACAAAAAAAAAAAGAGAGAGGTTCGTTCTCTTGGTTTGAGCGCTTCCTTTCGGCAATTACTCGCTGACACCCGCTAGCTAAGGCCCCCAAATGATGCTAGTTGTGAAGTAGTTTGAACTGAAGCTGGAGTTACATGCGGAGAAGGTTATTCGCTAGTAAGAATTTGCGACCTTGAAGTAAGCACCATATAAAACATGCTACATACGCGGGAGACGGGACGAAGATGAGGGCGAAACAGCCGCGGTTTCTTGCGCATGCGACACGTCCTTTCTCTCTTTTCTTTTTCTTCCTGCGTGAGAATGTCATCTAGCGTCACACACTGGAAGAGATGGTGGCCTGATGGGGAACAGAAAGGTCGCAGGAAGAAAAAACAGGGTCTTTGGTCTGGTCTTTGGGTCTACATTAGTGCTTCGACAAGGGGGGTTCATGCAACCGCGTAACCATTGCCGCCGCGAGAGTGCATCTCTGGGTTTGGCTATTAAGTGAATGAGTTGCCTACTTGCATATACCCCGTATTCTCCGTGTTGAGATGGCCTGGGATATTTCGTAGCGTAGCGTAAGATGTGACAAGTAAGAGTACTCGTACGAGCAGCATAATGCAAGTTCGCTCATGCCCGGGGTATTCGCTATTCGCACACCAAGTAAAGCCCCCTCCTCGTTATAAGCAACACGGAGCATCATCAATGCACTAACATGCAACTGCCTGGCCAAAGCTTGTCGTGCCGGGCCTCTGGGCCCAAGGTCATCACGGGCCATGCCAGTGGGTAAGCCTCCAGATTGGGAGTACGACCGTTGACGTTCTCGAACATGCGTGACCAATTCGGCATGTCGGCTGATGAATCTGGAAAGGCGATTTTGATGAGTGAGCCCTATCGCCAAATAGGGGTTGCAAGGCATATGGGCAGAGATGACTGTTATATTGGCCGATGTGGGAGAGATAGGGTATTACTAAGTGTTCCCCGGATACACGTGTTGGGAGGTTGTTATTTGCTCTACTATTTACAAAGATATACTCCTATCCCGTGTAATACACATACAGTATGCCAAAGATGAAATCAAAGCTGCCAATCCTTTGCACTCTGTGGCCAGAGTTTTTATTTTACAACGTTTTTTTGGTGTCAAGTTCCCACAAGAGAAACCCGCAATACCCCGCCAAAGCTCTCTCAACTCATGCCCTCCATAAACTCGACTCGGTCAAGCAGCATCTGCCGGTATCCCATATACTCCTTGAGCCCTTCCCACTCTGGACCCATCTCCTCGCCGTGTCTCCAGGGCTCCTTGAAGCCCCATGCGCACGCCACCTTATCCAGAGCCGCTCTCTCCTCCTCCCTCAGCCATCGATACCGTAGCGGTGTTCCGGGCGTCCAAGTCACTCGCTTCATCTGGTCTTTGTTGCTAAGCTTGGCAATCATGCCCAAAGATCCAATCACAAGAAAGTAGCCCGAGATACCCGCAACACCAATTCCCGTAGCAGTGCTTATATCCATGGTGTTTTGCCAATACGCAGCGTAGGCTGTCGATAGACCAAAGATGCCGAATGGGAGGGTGGCGAGACCGATGACGGGAGCGGTACCGTGCTTGATCAGCTTCTGGCGCTTGAAGGCCGAGAGGCTATATGAAGACTCAATGATTCCGAGGGCTGAATCCAGATTCTTGGCATCAATTGCAGTCTGCAAAGCCATATCGGCAATAGCGGGCTCAATAGCTCGAGCAGCCGCATTGGGGTTTTGCTTCAGGTACGCAATCTGGCCGTTTTTGACAAAAGGCTTAGGCTTCTTTGCGTAGAGCTCAAAGACGGCGGGTAGTGACTCTGGCTGGCCGAGCTGTGATTGAATGGCGACGTAGAGCTCTAGGAATTCCGGTGTCATCTCGACATTTGGGTTCGAGATGATGGTGTATGCTGCGTGAGAAATCCGACTGGTTGCATCCACCAACTTGGCATCTACGGGGATTCTAGCACCCGTTCGCTCGGCTCCCAGAGATACCAGCTTTGAGGCTGAAGCCTTGAACTGCGCCTCTGCCCGCTTCAACTGGGGATGGAGTGCTGCTGCGGCCCGTAGACACGACTGCAGTGCGGCAGCAGTCAGCTGCTTCGCCGGGATGCCGTCGACTGAGAGGAACTTGTTACAACTATCCTCCGCCAGATTGGCCAATTGCGATGCATCCGTCAGCGGCCGTGGTGTTGATGCTGACACAGCCTTCTCATTTGCTTCCGCGCCCGCTTCAACATCTGCCCTTGAGGCCGAGACAGATGTGGCCCATCTCGCGGGCGTTGACCTCCAGACTGAGCTTTGAACAATCTGGCGGGGAGCTGCGGATAGTATGCGGCCGGTGAAGGGCTGCCTTGATGCTTGAACCGGCAATGACGCACAAGAATGGCATATAAAGCCAACCTGCCGAGGGTTTGCTCGCCGCATATTGAGTAAGGGAATGCGATATAATTGGCAGACAGAGAGGGGATGTGGATGAGACAAAAGGCGGCCAATTGCCAATGCAAGCCGGCGCGTGTGACTTTTGTATCGTCGTGCTTCAAGCTGGGCTTTGCGGCTTGGCCAGACCAAAGTCGCTACAGAGAAAGCGAGGGCAATGGCGGCAAGGCGGAAAAGTCGAGGCGAGGTTTTGGAGGTTGGAGTTTTTGGCACAAAATCATCGCATGCAAGGCTGTGATTGGCTCCACACTTTGGCTGGAGAAAGTGACATTGGCGCAGTACATGAGCGAGATGAAGCAGCACTGACTGGCTGACGGGTTTCTTTGTGCGACGGCAATCACATGAATCAAAACAAAGGCCAAAAAAAAGGAAAAAGGAAGCCCCAATGCTGATCCTGATGCCAATCCTTTTGGGTGCTATTCCATCTCATGGCCTGTATTTTCTCTTCACTCTCCAATACAATGGAACATTCTGGCTGCTAAAATTAATCCAACCATCCCCCCCCAAGCCTGTCAAGCCGTGAGGCTTTGCCAAAAGTGGGGCCCTGATTGGTTCTCCTCGAACTCCGTTTGCTGCAACTTCGTAAGCCTGATGACGAAACGTCCAGGCTGCCAGAGACGAGCCTTTGCCTCTGCCACAACACCGGCATCGCCATCTTCCCAACTGTGCAATTCGCCCGAGACACCTCTTCTCTTGGATACCCGCCTTTCGGGGTCTTGATCCGGCTGCGCGACTGTCCACCAACCGACCCTTGGGCCCTGCACGAGACCCTGAGACGCCTCTCCCAGCCTCTCCGCGCAGCGACAACCCGAGACTGACACCAAACATACACCCGACATCACGACTCTTGGTCACAAGCTGCCATGCCTCCTCCTCCTCCGCCGCCTCCTCCTCCGTTGCCTGGGGCTGGAGGAGTCCCCCCTCCTCCGCCTCCTCCCCCTCCAGGAGGACTCCCAGGCGGTTTACCAAGCCGTCCACCGCCAAGTTCAGGAGGCCGAGTGCGTATCACCACGACGGAGATTTTGGGTGAAACCGTGTGACTGACTCTCTTCTCAGAATGCTCTGCTTGCCGACATCAACAAAGGCAGATCCCTTAAAAAGACCGTCACCAACGATCGCTCGGCCCCGGTTGTTGGCAAGGTGTCATCCTCATCAGGCCCTGCCATAGGCGGCGCCCCTCCCGTCCCTGGCCTCGGCCTGGCGCCGCCTGTCCCCGGAAATCGAACGCGAAGCAACAGCGAGCACAACTCTGCGGCGCAAGACATACGCCCAGCCGACTCAGCGCCGCAGTTGGCGGGTCTGTTTGCCGGCGGCATACCGAAGCTGAAGAAGCGGGGAGGGAACATTGATACGGGAGCTGGCGCAGATGCCTCGTTTGCCTCGGATTCGGAGAAAGCGCCATCGCATTCGGCGCCCCATGTCCCGACCTTTGCCGCACCGAAACCTCCAGCACCTCCAGCACCGCCGGCCGATGCTGCGCCAGCTATTCCTGGAATTCCTGGACGAGGACCTCCCATACCTCCCCCCGGCATCCCAGCCTTGAAGAAGACCAAAGGACCGCCGCCGCCGATTGGAAAGAAGCCGCCGCCGCTCCCAACATCTCGCAAGCCCTCATCCAGAGCTACGCCGCCTCCGGCTCCCCCTCCGCCGGCCCCAGCTTCGGCTGCTCCAGTTCCCGCAGCGGCCCCTCCTCCTCCTCCGCCGCCGCCAGCATCCTCAGCACCGGCTCCCTTTGCACTACCTCCTCCGCCTCCTCCTCCTCCAGCAACTTCGGCCCCTGTACTGCCCGGAGCACCACCGCCCCCTCCGCCCTCATTTGCACCTCCGCTACCCTCGCCATCCTCAGCTCCTCGAGCTCAACCACCGCCGCCACCTCCAGCTCCTCCCGGAGCGGCCCCTTCTCCTCCCCCGGCACCACCAGCGCCTCCAGCGCCTCCAGCTTCGGCTCCGGCGCCGCCTTTTTCCAACGGTCCCCCCGCGCGAGCCAGAGGATCGTCTCTTCGCCATACCATGCTCGATCCCAGCACATTTACCTTGACTGCGAATGGTGGCAGCTCATCAGTGAGCCTACCGTCCAAGACGACCAATCACTCACGGGCACCAAGCCAAGGCGGTGCGCGGATCATGATCAACGACACGAGATGGCACTTTAAGGATGAGAACCTTTTCCCGAAGCCTCGGGATTTTGTTGGTGGTGTAAGGAGATATAGGGCAGGCAGAGGGAGCAGTGTGCCGCTTGATTTGAGCGTGTTGAATTAGGCCAATAGATGATGATATCAGTTTGATTTTTCGGGGATATATATCTTGTGACTAGTGAAGAATGATATGGAATACCAATGCGACAGTACCCCCAATCTATATATACACACCCCTTTATATATATTTCATCAAGACCTTGTCCCTTTTATCTGAGTGAGATCCATTTTTCAAGACTAGACCGTGGACGAAAACCACTATACTGTTGCGGATAGAGTCTTGGCAGACCTGACCACGCTTCTCATAAAAGAGGCTGCATCAAACACTCTACCAATATTCAAAGACCTGTTCTTGGAAACCTTCGTTTGTTGTGTATTGTACAAAGTATCTATATAACCAATCCTCGCTTTTTCTGTTGATACATTTTCCTTTTCCTTTTTTTTTTTACATCGACTTCAGGTAATTCGACTCCTTGATTGTGGCCCTCCTCTCCTTGCGCATGGCCTTCCTCAGCTCCTCCCGCTTGTCCGCCGCGGCAATGTTGTCGAGGACGCTGCCGTTCTGCTGGCCGGGCAAGTTGATGGACTGCTTCTGCAGCGGCACCTTGGGCGCGAGGGCCTCGAGGTTGCCTTCGGCGAGGAGCTTGGCCTCGAGGGCCTTCTGGCGCTTGGCGGCGAGTTTTCGCTGTTTCTTGGATTTTGCTAGAAAAGAGAATCAAATTTCCATTAGCCACAGTTTCTTCCGTTTTGTGTGTTTTGTCCTAAGTTGGTTGGGTTGAGGTGGTACGACGTACAGAACTCGTCACCGAGGTTGTCGTCTTCGGCATCGGCCTTCTTCATGACGTCCAGGCACGACCACAGCCACTCCGGGTAGTCCTCATCCTTCATGGCGACGGGGTCTTGCCCGCCCTTTGTGTAGTTGAGCCCATTGAGCACGGTTCCCTCTGGGCAGATGGATCTTGAAGTGGGCGTGGGCTTTGCTGCTTCGCCGGCGTCGACGACGGGCGTGGAGAGCTGGGGCTCGGCTGAGTAGAATCGCAGCGACGATGAGAATTGCCGTGAAAAGGGCAATTGACGGCGCGCGACAGTGGCGCGCAGGCACCGGGTGCAGAACATTGTTGAGGGTGGGGAGGTTTGATATGTGCGAGGTTGTCGCTGGGTGAGGCGAGGCTCTATTGGTGCTTGGAGAAATTTTGGGTATGCGTTTGGTTGGTGGGGTGGCCAATGGGATTGATTGACCGCAGAAGCTCTGGACTTGCTCTCAGCCTCATCCTTTTTAAACCGACCAGCTTTGATGGATTGAGGGCAACTTTGGAGTTAATTCAGCATTGGCAGTTTTCTATAGTTTCTTTTGTATTCAAATTTAATTCCGTTGCTTCCTGATATATACACTGGCAGAGCGTTCGGCCTCTGCGCTCAATATCATGGCTGTGGTTCTAAACCATGGCTCTACCCCATCCCAGACAGGCCCTCAGCCGGTTGATTCGGCCGCCCAATAACTCAAAAATACTATGACACATGTTCAAACACTTGGCTTCATCGGATTCATGAGAATCGTCCCTGGTTCAGCTTGGCAATCTTGTCGCTTGTGTGCACCTTGCGCTCCAAATCAAACTCCTGGTCCTTCTTCTCCAGGTAGTTCTGCTGGATGAACTTGGTTCCCTTAATCTTGTTCGCCGAGAGCAATTGCAGGTATTTTTCTGTTTTTTTCAAAGCAATGAGTCTTTAATGTCTTTCTCCAAGAACAAAAGCATCAAGTATTCGCCTATGCGCTTCCCAAAACTCACCTCTCAAATGGCCGCAGTTCTCCAAGTGGTTGACTCCCTCTCGGACATAGCACTTGCCCAATTCCTCGCCAACAATGCGAGTCATCATGGCGCCAACCCATTGTTCCCGAATGATGGCATCCTCGGCAGCCTTGAAAGCCTTGGTATCGTCAAAGTCGACGCCGTTGAATGTGGGGGCCACCGTGGGCTTCTGGCTCTTGAAGAGCTCGGACTCGGGTGTCGGCATGTTGCAGAGGTGGCTGGGCTGTAAAGGTTCGAAAGGGATGCGGCTGGGCGAGGCCGAATGGTCGAGGGCTGAGGCAACGGAAGCTCGAATATCTCCTGATGCTTGAGCACCTTTGCATGCCTACCTTACCAGGGCAGGCCGCTATGCGATTAGCCTGCTTGAGACTTTCGCTGCTGGCCTCAGGCATCAACTTCTAGCCACACAAGGCTGCGGGTGCGCGTGTGGGGAAAGCCAATGACGAGCTATGCCATTCGCGCCCACCGCCTTTGGTAAGCCCACTATTCTGCCGGACAAGAAGAAAAAAATTCTGAAAAAAGTTGGGTGCAGCACGCGAAGGCCCCAACCACCCCAAGGTTTAAAAGCTTGCGACGCTGCTGCTGCTTGCATTTCTTTCTCTCCTACATCCACCTTTGAGACAAGAAAATTTTCAGTCTTGTGTCTTCATCTCTTCCTTGCACCCTTTCTTGTCACTTCTTTTCAATCCAATTAATCTAATACCCTTTCACAATGGCCAAGTCCACCAAGGTCACCAAGAAGGCTGTTGCCGCTGAGCCTGTCAAGGCCGTCGCTAAGGCCACCACTCCCAAGAAGACTGCCAAGGAGGAGCCCTCCAAGAAGTCAAAGAAGAAGGCTGAGCCCGAATCCTCTGACGAGTCTTCCGAGGAGGAGGAGGAGGACTCCGACTCTGCCAGCGAGAGCGAGTCTGAGTCTGAGTCCGAATCTGAGTCTGAGGAGGAGACCACCAAGAAGCCTGCCAAGAAGGAGGCCAAGAAGCCTGCTGCCAAGGAGGAGTCCGAGTCCGAGTCCGAGTCCGAGTCTGATGACTCTGAGTCCGATGAGGAGGAGACCAAGAAGCCTGCCGTGAACGGTAAGGCCAAGGCTGAGGAGTCTGAGGACTCCGAGTCCGACTCTGATGAGGAGAGCGACGATGAGGAGAAGCCTGCTGCCAAGGTTAGTTACTACTGCTACCACACATTCACTTCGCTGTCTTGAACTTTGACTGACCTTTCCCTTTCCTTAGGACTCCAAGTCTGATGACAGCGATGACTCTGAGGAGGACTCGGACGACTCTTCTGATGAGGAGGAGGAGAAGAAGGCTGAGCCTTCCAAGAAGCGCAAGGCCGATGAGGAGATCGATACCTCTGCCAAGAAGACCAAGCTGGACAGCAACGCTGCCCCTACCCTCTTCGCCGGCAGCCTGGCTTGGAGCGTTGATGACAATGCCCTCTACCAGGCTTTCGAGTCTTTCGACGGCCTTGTTGGTGCCCGTGTTGTCACCGAGAAGGGCACTGGCCGCAGCCGTGGTTTCGGTTATGTTGACTTCAAGGATGCTGAGTCTGCTCAAGTTGCCTACGAGGCCATGCAGGGCCAGGATGTTGGTGGCCGTAACATCAACCTCGACTATGCCAACGCCCGCCCCGAGGGTTCCAACCCTCAGGACCGCGCTGCCGACCGCGCCAAGAAGCACGGCGACACCCTCAGCGCCGAGAGCGACACCCTGTTCGTCGGCAACCTGCCCTTCGACACCGATCAGGATACCGTTACCGAGTTCTTCAACGAGGTTGCGGCTGTCACTAGCGTTCGACTGCCCACCGACCCGTAAGTTTGCCCTGTGGCTTGAAAGAGTCTACCTTACTCTCTACCTTTGCCATGCTAACACATCTTTTCTACAGTGATAGCGGTAACTTGAAGGGCTTTGGCTATGTCACCTTTGGCTCTGTTGAGGATGCCAAGGCTGCCCTTGAGGCCAAGAACGGTGCTACCATTGGCAACGGCAGATTCGCCCGCAGCCTGCGACTTGACTTCTCTAGCCCCCGTCCTCAGGGAGGAGCTGGTGGTGGCCGTGGCGGCTTCGGTGGCGGCCGTGGTGGTCCTCGCGGAGGCGGTCGTGGTGGCCGCGGTGGCCGTGGTGGTTTCGGCGGTGGCCGTGGCGGTAACTTTAGTGCTGTCAACCGCACCAAGCCCGCTGGCACCAAGATCTCCTTCGACTAAGAAGGCTTCGTCCGATATGGGTTTAATATATATCGCGGGTTGTGGGTATTTGGGGTTTCGGTTACAATCTACGTTTGGCTTTTTGAGACTTAGTGGGCTTTGGGCAACGCTCTTTGGTAATAGAGCGCAGATGAACGCTGGGGGCTTTGGCACTTGGTAATCTGTGGGCTCATCGCTTTGCTTCTCATGAGAAGCATGGTGAATATGGCATAGTTGGGCTTTTTGACGTCGGCAGCAATGACGGTTCCACCGTCGGCGCTTTGTACAAACCAGTGGGCTTCTGAGGGATTTGAGGGCTTAATCTTGGGTTCTTTTGTTGACGGCCACTATGGGGCATAGACGAAAGAACCAACTTTGATGGCTGCGAATACTTCTGAGGGACCTGGGGGCTTTTGCAAATGCAAATACTTGATACGTGGGCTGCACTTGAGGGCTCGTACTGCATGTACGAGCCCAACCTTTGCTTAACTCGTTATAAGGTAAAAACCCCCAGATGTACACCGATATAATTCTTGCTCCAAGAGACTGGTAAGTCTCCGCCCACGACGTTTGCATTGCATTGTAAAAATAGGCGTTTGCTCTGGAAAAGTTTTTCATCTTTCTTTCTCCTTTACTAGACATGATGTAGCTCTGTAGAATCTGAGTATAAGAAATACAAATGTCTGTCCGATTGATTCAACTTGCTATATGCGCTCTTTTTGCTTCGCCTGTGAAATGCAGACACGATGAACGATGCCCGGCATCCAGTTGCGATTGGCCCTTGTCCTGGATGACAGATGACCTATCACCTTGATGCGACAAGGCTGAGCAAATCCGGTGGCGCGCCATCACCGTGTGACAAACGCCATTCCTCTCCCTGGATTTGACAACATGCCACACCCTGTCGTTTGCTATCAGGGAGCCTGAGCACGATGCAGGTGATTGGACAGTCTGCGCACAGTGGCTGTTTGCAGGATCTCTCGTCTGACTGTACCGTGGCGGATCAGTGCCCGTTTCGAAAGAAGATAGCCTCCAGACAGACACAGCGAGAAGAACCGAGTAAGCGATCAGATCGGACATGCACAGTCGCATTCGTATCTCGCAAAGTGGTTTGCATGAAAAAGAGGGACCGCAAATGAATATGTGCGTACGAGTACAGCGAGACAATAAGAGCACTATATTGGAGAATGTAGCGCAGTCGATGTACGCGTAACATGGAATTCTGTATACCCACCGTTTGCAAATTCCCCGGTATTTTGCAAACCCCTCGTCTGGATTGCCATTTTTGCTTCAACTTGTTTCAAAAGTGATACGACAAGTCGGGAGACCGTCAAGCCAGTTTTATCAAGTTGCAAGGGAGGCCATCCATTACGTCTTTGGCTGCTCATGCGGGCTCTGGCTGGTTTAGGCAAAGCCCCCGCCCTGTGCTCATGACCTGGGCTGGCTGGGCTTATACCACTAAAGGGCCTGGGAGAGCCTTGTGAGTTTGGGGGAATGTCTCCGCGTGCTGCGAGGTAGTGGTACTTGCACGGTCACGCACACCGCCCGTCGCGCCAATGCTGGGGGACTTGGGGTACTGTGCGCGCGACACTGTACTTTGGGTAAGTGTCTCTGGCAGAGTGCATCATTGCCGGAGACGTTGATCATCTGGTTTCTTGTCTTGATTGGGTGAATACTGCTACAGGGAGATTTGAGATTTGGGCTTGTTACTGTTGATTGGGCAGATACGGAGTAGAGATGAAAATGAATGTACTTAGCTGCAGCAGGAAAACTTGTTGGGTAACTCTGTTTCAAGGTTCATCTCGGAGTACCTAATGCTGGATTCTGCATTTTGCCTGTTCTCCCCCCTGGCGTTTCGATACTTTAGCAATAATAGTCCCCCAAACAAAAAGCTAATTCCGCTTAAGAGAAGCCATTTCTTCATCTTGACCGGCCCTCCGCAGCTTGTCTCGGCCGTCTTCGTCTTGTTGCCAGATTACATAACGCCGCTCTCATCCATGTTCCCCTAGATCTCGTCATTTGTGGTAGTGACGCAATTGGCCAGCGCGTGATGCGCCTGCGCACTGTCCCAGCCAATCTTGCCAAAGTACCGGTACAAGCGCTATCACAGGTACTGCTGACTGGCCGTCGTTTATCGTCATGCAGCAGCCTTTAGTCCAGACAGGCCATCCATCTAGCGAGACATCTCGGCCCAACCTCTCAACAGAACGCTCTCTATCTCCGACTCTGGCCATCTTTCCTCATTTCCCTTCGCCCACCTCGACGGTATTTACGACTCCTTCTCCCATCTGTGGATTTATCGCGGCCTGTCGATATTTGTAGCGGCGTCGTGGTGAAGAGACTGCGCGCGTGCGATTTCTGGCCGATTTGCGACCGGGTGGGTCGCGGTCACCGATAAGGAGTGCAGGACTACAGGGAATAGCATCTATTGTCAGTGTGTCGAGGCCGAACAGCGTCGTTGGCCTGGGATATTTTAGGTGTCGATACTTCATACTCTCACAAAACCGAAACGATGACCCATCAGTCGCCATTTGATGAGCAGGCGGGCCCCAGTGGGCAGCGAACCGTCAGTATGCCAAACGTTCTGCCAGGCTCGAGTCTTCACCAACGCCGCTATGATGGTTCGTCATCACCAGTGACATCTCTCGACGACCGTAGTCCATCTCCGCTAACAGCAGCAGAAAACACCGATTCATGGGTCGAGGTTGCGTCGCAGCCATCGTCTTCGTCGCTCTCCAGCATCGGCGATGAAATAGTGACAACTGGCTTGCGGGTTGGAAACTCTTACAGTCGCCGCCGGCGAGTGCAGGCATCCGCAAGATCCGTACCGCGTATACAGACCACCATCCCTATTACGGGGACCAGCAGCCAAGATGAATATGATGAAAGCGACAGCGAGGAAGACCATGTCCTCTCCAGCTCGACCGAGAACATGCAGCCGTCGCCAGAAGAGGATATGGAGGATTCTGACGGGGAGTCTGATGGAGATGAAGGCACGGCTTTAGGGGGAGCTCAAAACCAAACCGCCTTTCGGCCACAACCTAATGCATTCTCCCACCCTCCATCGCACCAGAGAAGTTACTCGTCAAATGCAGCCATGTCTCCGCATCCCCACGGGGACTTCACACGGCCATCCTTCTCTCAGCGCTCGCATACGAGAGTTCAGCGTGGGCCTAGCTTTATGTCACCATCGGTTCGAGAAGATAACGACGCAGCCCTCCGCGCATCCCTGACCACTCTCCTGTCATGCGCTGCCGCAGCTAGAGGTCTGCCTAAGAGCAAGGAGGAAACTGAGGCGCAGCGAGCTGCACAATCTGGAATCGGGCCTAGCAGCCAGCCCATGGAACTCCGATTCGTCCCAGAAACAGAGCTGGAGGATGAATCTGAGAAACCTCAGCTGGCCCCAGCAGCAGCCGCAGCGGCCCCAGCCAAACGTGAACAGGCTTCTCCGGCTAGATCATCCTCGCGGACTCGTGCACCCTCCGAGAAGACGAAACGGGTTGTATCAACAGCCCGAAACCCTCGAGCGATTAAGAAGAAGAAGACGGCAACTGCAGCCGTCGTTGCGGAGGAGACCCTCATTTCCCCAACTCTCCTGACCTGGGTTGTCAGTGCCGGAGTCGTCGTGCTCGTATCCGTAGTTGGCTTTGGAGCTGGCTATGTGATTGGGCGTGAAGTCGGCCGTCAGGAAGGCTTGGCAGCGAGCGTTGGCAGCGTCAACGACACTGCTTCTTCCAGCCGTGATGTGATTCGCTCGTCCAGCAGCGGCCTGAGACGATTCAAATGGGGTGCCGTGGGAAGAAGCATTGTCGCTCAAGCGTAAATGCGTCGACCCCCGTTGTTATATTTACTCCTCTTTCGGTGATCCTTTGAGTGACGCAGTGATACCTTGAAGTTTGAGACCGATATGGCAGCATACAGATACCACATACATGATGTTCTAATTTAGCAGCTGGCTTCTTTTTTCCCCTTTTAAGCAAAGGACGGCGGGTAGGGTTTGGCGTTTGACAAAGGACCTGACTTGGACATGAACTGGCTCACAGGTTGCGGACGGAAGACACTAGGGCAGCGTTTGCTTTGCTTTGACTTTTGCTTGGATTTCCTTGTTCATTTTGCGTGTATTTCCTCTCTGCCTTCTTTTTGTCGTTATCATGCGCGCAGATATGCATTTACCCGTGTATCAATCTGCATCTAACGGATGATGACTTAGATTTAGGCTGCAATCGGGTCTACATTTTGGGCACTCGCTGTTGCGACGATGTAGCTCGGTAGATACTCACTTCTATTCTTGACAACACACCATTCAATACTATTTCTATGGGTTGCTTCCAATCAAGAACTGTTGCATACCACAACGGGAACGTGCTAATGCATCTCGCAACCGAGTCTTGCCGTTGGTCATTGATAGATCTAGGAGATTGTTCGATACTGTGGAGGTTATGAAGGGGCATCACACCACCGTTTACAGTAGTTTTTCTTCTCCTCCAAGAGCCAGAGTTCTGGACATGGAGGATAGATAGCAGCCAATTGAATTCGTTTCTTTATCCCGAAATTGCATACCTATACGTGTATTTGGAGGCCTGCATCACACCTTCTTGCTTGGTGTTGTCATCAGCGTAATACTTTAAAAAGAAGACAGAAACGTATTCGCATTCGCCCACAACCCACATCGAGTAAGGCTATCGAAAACATCAGCAATTCGGTACACGTATAAGAAAAAAGACAGCAGAATCGCGCACAGAGCCGAATACGAGACCCACCGATATCCCGTTTTCCAGGCGGTCTGTGCTTTCCATGCATGTACGCAGTGCATTTACGCAGTAGTATAACCTGCCATCACAGGCGCTCTGATTGGCCCATCTACCACACTTGCCTCGTGGGGGACGAGACGAGCCCCACTCGAGGTGCGATGCCCCCCTGGATCTGGCCTTTGGCAGCGAAAAAAAGGCAAAAAATATGCGAGTTTGGCTGCCAAAGCCAATTTGAGCCAATCTTGATAGAGCCAAAGGGCCACTGATTAAGGCTCACTTTGGGCTGACTTATCGCACCATGGTGGTGCCGTAGCTGCACTTCCTCCATCTCTTCTCTCCCTCCTTTCTTTTCCTCAGATCGAGGCTTTTGCTCCCTGTTGATAAAAAGGACGGGGCCGGCAGTCTCTCGTCATTTTCCTTCGTTTGCTCCAGAGCGGCAGACAAGTTTTCTTTCTTTGGGCTCCCTACCATCTCGACAATTCCCAGTCTGCCACCTAATCCCCAACGATGGGCGTCCTCCAAGATGCCCTCAGCCATCCGGCTGCGCAGCTCTACTTTCAGCAGGGCATTGGCGCGCAAGTCGCCATTGCCGTTGCTGGCTTTCTCGCCGTCGCCGTCTTCTTCAATGTCGCCCAGCAATTGCTCTTCACGAACCCCTCCGACCCGCCTATGGTTTTCCACTGGTTCCCCTTTATTGGCAGCACCGTGATCTACGGCATGGATCCCCCCAAGTTCTTCCGTGAGAATCGTGCCAAGGTAGGCAAAGACACATCTGTTTACAATCGGCCTAGAAGACATGGCTAACACTCAACTGGCAGTATGGCGACGTCTTTACCTTTGTTCTGCTCGGCAAGAAGACGACCGTGGCGGTGGGCCCTGCTGGAAACGACTTTATCCTCAATGGCAAGCTCAAGGATGTCAACGCCGAGGAGATTTACAGTGTCTTGACTACTCCCGTCTTCGGACGAGATGTCGTCTATGACTGCCCCAATGCCAAGCTGATGGAGCAGAAGAAGGTGAGTTTGAACTTGTCCATAGTCGCATATCAAGACGAGCCTTTGAATCAGCTGCTAACATGAAACTCAAGTTCATGAAAATCGCTCTTACGACCGAAGCTTTCAAGACCTACGTTCCCATCATCTCCCACGAGGTTACATCATACTACAAGCGCGACTCCGCCTTCAAGGGCAAGTCTGGAATTGTCGACATCCCCAAGAAGATGGCCGAGATTACAATCTTCACTGCTTCCCACGCCCTCCAGGGCAGCCTCATCCGCAGCAAGTTTGACGAGTCACTGGCTGATTTGTACCACGACCTTGACATGGGCTTCACCTCGATCAACTTTGTGCTTCACTGGGCTCCTCTCCCCTGGAACCGCAAGCGCGACCACGCTCAGCGCACCGTTGCCAAGATCTACATCGACACCATCAAGGAGCGACGAGCCCTCGGCGACGCTGACAAGGAACTTGACATCCTGAAGCACCTCATGAAGTCAGAGTACAAGGACGGTACCCCCGTTCCTGACCACGAGATCGCCCACATGATGATTGCCCTGCTCATGGCTGGTCAGCACTCTTCATCCTCCACCAGCTCCTGGATCATGCTCCATCTTGCTCAATACCCCCAGGTTGTCGAGGATCTCTACAAGGAACAAATCAAGGTCCTGGGTGCCGATCTGCCTCCCCTGCAGTACGAGGATCTTGCCAAGCTCCCCCTACACCAAGCTATTGTCAAGGAGACTCTCCGTATCAACGCTCCTATCCACTCTATCATGCGCAAGGTCAAGCAGCCGATGCCCGTCCCTGGTACCAAATATGTCATCCCCACGTCTCACGTCCTTCTCTCTGCTCCTGGTGTCAGTGGCTCCGACCCTGCCTACTTCCCTAACCCTGAAAAGTGGGATCCTTACCGCTGGCTGCCTGGCTCTCCCAACGCTCCCCTGATGGTCCGAAGCGAGGAGGAGGAAGAAAAGGTCGACTATGGTTACGGTATTGTCAGCAAGGGTGCGGCTTCTCCTTACCTTCCCTTTGGTGCCGGCCGTCATCGATGCATTGGCGAGCACTTTGCCAATCTTCAGCTGCAGACCATCATTGCCGAGACGGTGCGCCTGTTCAAGCTGAGCAACGTGGATGGCAGCAACAACATTGTCGGCACAGACTATGCTTCTCTATTCTCTCGACCTCTTGAGCCTGCCAAGATTCGATGGGAGCGGAGAGATTAAGATGTCGACGTCTTGAAGGAGAAAGTGGACGGGTTAAGAGGCAAGCAAAAATTACACCCCAGTTTTTGAGTTGGGTTGGATGCGTACTGTACATGATATCTTACGTCGGAGTTTTTGGGATGCTTGGGAGGAAACAATAAACGCATGATGGTAATGGCTACATCATGACTGGAATAACTACTACCTATAATAACGCCAGTAGAGCTTTGAATAGAGCTAGACGAAATAAAGAAAGACCACTTAGAAGCTTTGCTATAAAAAGTCCTCATTATATCACATGCTCTCTCCCAAATAGACAAAACAAGTTGCCCCGAATCGGAAAGACTGTTCTGACGCCCCGATCTCCATCCAAATCGGTCTTGGGGCCGAAGGTGAGACGTAGCCCGCCCGGCAAAGCCGCCATATCCGGTCCAGACCACGGGGGCTCGGCATCTAGATCTCGGTAAGGCAGATTGACAGAAATAGCCACGTTCGCTAATAAAAGCCCCTAGGTTCGCATGGGCTCACCTCGACGCCTTTTTAAGTTCTCTCCATCACACCACGGCCACATCTTTTATTATGGAGAGAAGCAGCCCCTGGGAGCTAGCTTGCCGTCCGCTCGGGTCACCCTTTAAGCCAGCCTGTCCCAGCACGTAAACCGCGTACCTTTCTGTTCAGTCTCGTCGTCGTCGTCATAGCCATAGTCGCTGCTCATCGAGGTGTCATAGTCTTATTCTCGTCTTTCTGCTCGTTTTAGAAGCTCGCATTCATTTTTCTCTCGAGTGTCGTTGTTTGCTCATAAGGTTGGCGACATGGCCCATCAGCACGGCCCCTATGTTCGACTCTGGGGCATCCGTCCGTCACAGCTCCCCTCAGAGACCGCGTCAGCCAACGATCTAGCTCCGCTGCTTCAATCCATATTAAACGAGGCAGTTCCTTTTGTCAGCACCGTGCCACCGCAATCATCATCTTCGTCATCATCATCCTCGTCGGGTAAATCCAACCAAGGAAACGGAGATGGGCCATGGAAGGCCAAGGGATGCAGGGCGTTTCACCACTCAGCCGCGCCAGTGCACATGTTTGAGCGAGTCGTCTCAGCTGAAGAGCTGAAGACGATAGCCAAGGACGAGAACCTCCCGCAGGCGAGCAACGGCTCAAAATTCAAGCCGGAAACCTGGAGTCTGAGACGCAGCGTTCACGAGGAGGCGAAGAAGGCTGGGACCGCCGATTGGGAGGAGTGGGTGCGGTGTTTCAAAGACGGCCATGCGGACGCGGAGATGAAGTTTACTCCCACAGTCATGAGCCACATGCTGAAGAAGCAGTGGGACTGCACGGGGGTGGAGGTCACGCTGGGAGGCGACGTGTACGAGGATTTCACGCTGAAGCTGGAGGAGTCTGTGCACAAAATGCCTGCACCGCTCAACAACCGCGTGTTTCCCGTGCTGCAAGTGACGGCGGCGGTACGAGGGCGGCGCGAGTTCATCGTTGTTCAGATAGCGGCGGTGCCAGAGTCTCTCAGCAGCGAAGAGCCAAGGTCGGACGGCGCCCTAAGAGGCACGTACACGAGCATTGAGCGCTTCAAGGAGGTGGACGAGCAGGGGAATGTCGAGTGGCTGATGGGAACCGTGTCGGATGCGAGAGGCGTGCTGCCGGCGTGGATTCAGAAGATGGCGGTTCCGGGGCAGATTGCCAAAGACGTGGACATGTTTCTGGAGTGGATTGCGAGACAGCGAGAGGGAAAATAGACGATGGTGTTTTCTTTTCTTCTTTTCTTCTTTTCTTGTGATGACAGAGATGATTGATTGACTATGTTGAGGTGTTGATGTTGCATGGAAGAATCGGCGTTGAAGTGAAGAGCGCAGTTGCTATATACCTACTCAGTATCTTTCTATAAACATCTTATCTAATAGCGAATTGAAATTCCATTTTAATAGCTTGCGCTATTGCCGTTTTGGGATATTTTTCAGTGATGTGTGGAGGGAAGGAAGACACAGGTGCCTTCCCACTTGTCCATCTTTACAGCTTGAGAAGGAAGTGTCAGGCCCTTGTACCATTCACAATCATCTTCCCTCTTTTCTGCTTGTTTCTGCTTTTCATAATTACCAACTATCTCTATGATTTAACCTAGAAATCTCATTAGACAAAAGCCAAGTCTTCGAGAAAAGGCCAGCATGAGGACTAGGGGCCGTTCCGTCCCAGCAACGGCATTACCGAACGAACCCAGCCGCAGATCAAGCAACAACAACGCCATAACTACAGCTATAGTACCGTCTTCCTCATACATTTCGTCGATCGCCTTAAACAACTCCATTGCTACTTGCAGCGACCCCAAGGACCTCTCTAACGCAGATGTCCTAGCGCGCATGACCATTGAGCTCAACATGCGTGCCGTAGGCAACCAGGCAGAGCGTCTGGAAAAGGACCTCAGCACACTCATGATGCGCGCCAAAGAAGACAAGTCATTCCGAGAAAGACACGAGGCGAGGCTGCAGAACATATTTCGGGAGATACTCGCGGTGAAGCAGCGCATGGGAGAGATTCAGGGGCCGGAGTGGAGTGGCAACGGCAAGGTCGATCTTGAAGAATGTAAAAAGGGGATGGATGAGTCTGCCGAGCTGTTTAGGAAGGAATTGGGGGAGCTTAAGGGCATGGTTAGTGACATCTCGAGTACGGTGGACAAACTCCCGACGGCGGAGGAGGCAGAAGCTTTGATGAGGCGCACTCAAGCCTCAGCATTGGCAACAGTGGGCAGCGAGATTCAAACAAGATCAAAGACCAGGAAGCCATTATCTGAGCCTAGTAAGTATTTTAATCATTCTTCATTGCGCTACATATTTGTCTTTCCAATATGTACTTAGTACTCACAACTTGTTCCAAGAAACAGCGAGGAGTCAAGTCTCCATCAAGCAGCGTATTGGCGACGCCATCGGCTCAACCCGCCGCTGGAACAGAGACCACAAAACAACCAAGCTCAGCGACGCCATCTTCATAGCCAATTATCTCAGACAGCAGTCCAAACGAGACCCACCAATGGCAGTCTACATCCAGAGATCGATCCTGCGGCATGTCAATCGCAGTGGCGGCCAAAAGGCGCAGGCTCGTCCCAAGAACCTCGAGCAGTTTTGCCAGACCTTGGTGTGGAGGGATGTTATCGAGACGGCGGAAAATGTGTTGGTGAGGAATACAGCGCGGACTGCGAAAGCTTTGGAGGAGCGGATGAGCTTTTCTTGACAAATGCGGGTTGCATATACGGTTGAGATGTAGTGAGAAATATCCAGGTCTCGGCGTCTTTCGGATGAGCAAGACCTTCGATGCCCAACATTTATTTGTTGTAATTCAATTCCAGTTGCACGATACAAACACGACGTCATTCATCTCTTGTTCACGTATAGTTTGATAATGTCTATTGCAGTCGCTTATTGGCATCTAGCCTCCAAGATGTAGAAGAAAAAAGGCTATACCAATCCTAATCGCTGACTCCATATCGGAATGAATCATCAAGCGAAGAAAGCGAGTTAAAATACATTACAACGCCATCCCAGCCGCCATTCCTTGCATGTTATGTCATTCTCTCCCTTTTAACCAGTCCGTAAACTCCTTGCCAGACGAACGGCACCAAAAAAAAAAGGTACCAAAGAAAATAAAAACTGATTGAAACCCTCTCTGAGCTAGAGGACGATTATGATGTAATTAGAGTATTGATGAAGCGCGCCAATAAAAGAAACCTTGGGAGATATGACCAAGAACTCTTTAGTCGTCGGCCTCGATACCAATAGAAGATTGCTTGAGCGCAATCTCCGATTTGAGCTGCTTGATCTGGTTTTCAAGACGAGTCCTGAGAATCTTGTTCTGCGTCCTTTCAAAGTCGGCCACACGGGCAGCGAGCTGCTTCTTGAGATCGTTGATGATGTCCTTGACGCCCTGTTCTTCATCACGTTGGGCACGCGCATCTTCATCGAGGTCGTCATCATCATCGTCGTCATCGTCATCGTCATCATCGTCGTCAGATTCACTTTCCTCGATACTTTGCTGCAGGGCTGCCGAGGCCGAAGGGGTTCCAGCGAGTGCAGCTGTGGGGGTCTGAGTGTCCATGGCGGTAGCAGGGGTTTCGGCCATGAGCTCGTCGGCAAAGGCAGCTTCCAGGTCGGCCTCGAGATCGAAATCGTTTTCTTCCTCGACGCCCATAGACATGTGCGATTGGCCGAAATAGCCCATGCTATCATCCATCTCGCCTTCAGCGTCCTCCTCTCCGTCTTCATCGACCCCGTTTTCACGCTCATCAACCCATTCCCATTTCGTGGAGGCGCACTTAGCGTCCTCGGTGAGAAGCCGTTCGACTTCCGCTTCCTTGTCCTCGATTTCTTTGCGGCTGATGGTTTTGGCGAATCGTCGGTTCACGCAATCGTGCATCGGTGGTGTCAGGCCGTGCGGCCATTTGAAGTTCGAATCAATGATGCTAGGCAAAGGTACGTGTCTTGCTTCCTCCTCACTCTTAACAGCCTGGAATGCAAAGAGCATCTGGCAGATGTCTGCCGACTTCATCAATGACTTGCGGTCCCACGTCTTCATCGACTCCGTAATGGTGGGTAGATCGACCATGACAGCTGCGAAGCACTGGCCCTTGACAGCCACGACTCCGCGCCGAGAGTCCTCTTCGAAGAATCTCATGTAAATATCAGCGCCCCCAGCCGCCTTGGGCAGCCCAATCTTGCCGTTCTCCATACACGTGCGCACATAGTCGGCGTGCTCGCCAGGCAACATGCGCAGGACAAACTGCTCTTCGATTGCCGGGTCAACTTCGTTGTCGCTGGCCTCAGAGTCATAGCCATCGCCGGGGGGGTGCACAGGCGGACGACCACGAGGCTTGAGCACCAATTGAGTAAGCCCAGCCTTGGATCCCACCTTGACCTTTGTTCCGCCGCCACCTCCTCCGACCTTGACGATGGGCTTGATCTTGATTTTTGTGGCTGGCGGAGGGCCATTGCCCACGGTGCCTGCCGTGCTTCCACGTAGCGGCGCCTCGTCTTCGTCGTCGCTAAGCGATCGCTTCTTGCTTTCGATGAGCTTCTGACTCGGTTTCGCTTGTCGGCCCGCCTTTGTCGTCACCACTGGCGGTAGCCCTTTGTCCTTGTCCTTCTCTTTCTCCTTCTTGGTCTCTTTATCTCTGCCCAGGTCCTTCATCACCACATCCTTGTTCGCTGATGCTACCGCCGGCGTTGGCGGCTGCGAAGAGCTGATCTTGAGCTTCACCTTGCGCGGACCTTCGCCGGGCGTTGTCAGAGGCGCGTGCGCAGATGAAGAGGTCCCTCCAGGCGTCACTGCAGCATCTCCGATGAAGGACGACGAGCGGCTCACGTTGAGCTTGAGCCGCGGCTTCGGGGGTGGTGCAGGAGCCGCGCTGGCGTCGCCTCCGGGACTAGGCGCTGACATGGTTGTGGTCTGAGGGCGAGAAATTCGATGGTGATGCCTTTATGACGTCGTTGAAAATGGTAAAGATGGTCGAAAGGGAAACAGGTGGATGCTGTAGTTGTTTGCTCTGGTTGTGGTTGATTGGGGAAAGAAAAGGATTAGTTAGCAGTGCTGCGAATTGAAGTTCACAGAAGCTTTATCGCGGGAAGAAGCCGCGCTCAGGCAGTAGCCTCGCAGAGAAATGTGGGGCCTACAACGCGCTACTTGATTGTGGCAACTTCAATATAAACCAAAGAACAATAAATTATACAATTATAATACAGGTGGCTTTTAGTTGAGTACTGAGGAGGCACTGTTATAATTTATAAATATCAAAATCCCTCTTCGGTTTTATATTAGTTGGTTGTTATCTGCTCCTCTAAAATTAATGTAACAAGCACAAAGTCCTTCCTCTTTTACTACTACTCTTACGAGTATGTTAATGATCTACATACCGTACGGGAAATAAGAGGTTCATTTATTAATCGATATATGAGATACGCTCTGTAACCTGCAGCCAACGAGGCGTTTGCCTTCCACAGTATTCCTAGCTTACTGCTCCATCCGCGTGTTATGCAATAAGAATCTCTGCTTCATCCTTCCAAAGATGCTCTCGAGACTCTTTCCACGTCAGTTGGTTGCCTTGATATAACTCGGCGAGTTTCAGTTCAAAGAACCCGCAGCGCTCAAACTCATCATCATGCGTGTTCTTGAGGACGAGCCCGTAACTCTTATATCTGTGATACTCTGATATTACCTCCAACAGCCAAACCGACTGCACTGCCACGTTATAGTCCCATTTGATACTGATCGAAAGCTGCCCTCCATTGCGCACGTCTTTTGCCGTATTGCCATCGCCATCCCTAAGGATTTCCAAGATGGATCCTCTTACGCGCAGGCGTAAATCTTGATCTTGTGCTTTGGGAAAGTGAATGACATTGAGGTTGTAATCTCTCGGGTCGCCTGCCCTACAAAATAGAGTAGAAGTTGGGTATGTAACTGGTCCAAGCAATGACAGCCAAGACCAAGACGGTCCACATCGATCTTCAATCTGGGGATTGTCTTTAGACCATAGAAGCAGTCGAATAACCTCACTTTCCCAGATCCCCCAGCAATATTGGGTCGTAGGCCACACTACATGTGCAGATAACATTTTGCTGGTCTCAGCGAAAGCTTGCAGCCTATCCAATTCGCGAGAACGGCCACCCTCAAGGTTTGAATAATCGCACACCTCATCCATCCAGTCACGCATCGTCCAATCCAGCTCCACTCCCGGAGAAGGTACCTGAGCTGGCTCGGAGCCGTCGTGACGTGGCCGCGTGAATTCGGGTTCTGGGCTCTTTTGTGAGCGAGTTCCTCCATGAACGTCCCAGCGCTCTGGACATGTCCAAATTGTTTGTCTCGAGCCAAAGATCAGTTTGCGCACTGGTAGCTTCTTCTCCTGATGCGTCCATATCCGCGTATCTCCAGGCTCGATCCCGTTGCGTAGCTCATTTTCACATAAGATGACGGTTGCTCGAGTGACCCCTTCTGGAAGGCTCTGTTGATACGGGATCTCGTATACAGCTCCGTAGGCTTGCGCGGCATCTCGAGGATGCAAGAAGCCTTCACCACCATGTGCAGCCCTTGCCGCTGAAATCGTAACATCAGATCTCTGATAAAATTGGGGCATATCTCCCACCTCTCGTTTCATCTCATCTTTATCATCTTGGACAATACAGAGAGCATCAATCCAAAGATAGCTGTACCCAAGTTGCCGCGTCACCGTAACGACGTCTCGGATGGTCTGGGGCATCTTCGACAACTGCATGCCCTTCTTCATTCTTGATCGCAGATTCCGCCTTTTCAATTTTGAATCAGCTATGGCAGAGCTCTTCTTTTCGCCCCATACATAACTAGCAATTGCATACTTGTCCATGCCTGGTAACTTTGCCTCTCGCAGATACAAGGTAGACGCTCCCGGTGGGCCAACCTCAATTAGACGGCATGGCATCTTCAATTTCCGCCGCGAGTCGAGGATCTTTCGGCATTTTTCGTGGTTCTCTCGGCAGTGCCGCAGTCGGCGTTTGATCCACTCAAAGCTCTCGTCAGATGCAGGACGCAGATTGAACGGCCGATCCGCCGCACGCATCTGAAGCGGAGGTCCAACTTCTTTTTGCCATGGTTAACACGAAAATGTCCAAATTGTGTATGGATGGGTGTATGTTGGTACCATTTATGATCTCAACCGTCTGAAGCTCATATAACCAATCAATGTCTGTACCGCACTCTCCTCGGCATTTCCATTCAAACTCGAGTCCAAGGAAGTCTCGATCGTCGCGCATGATACCGCTCTCGAGCATCAATGGCTGGCATGTTGAGGGATGTTGTGATTTAAATCGATGCAAGAGGCTTTCCAGCAACGTGCAGCCCAGTCTGGCTCCTCGTTGGACCTGTTGATAGCCAAGTCGCCTGAGCTTTGTGAAACAGTATTGGCCGTCATATGTAATGCTAAGCTGCTTGCAATAGCGACAAGAATGTGACTGAGGGTAAGCCATCTTCTTTGCTCGCCTGGTGTGGCTTCCCATTCAACTGAGTGTTGCGGGTGTCGATGAATGTGAGAAAAACAGGCTCCTAATTGAGTTGGGCAGCAATCTGTAAGCTGCCTGGTTATATGCAGCCTGATTGGTATGCATTATTGTGCCTTGGCAAGGCTTCCCGGGATTCAATAGGGCCACGCGTCAGTACAAGGCTTAGACCATCTGCATGTACTTTCCTCAGGACACGGGATTCAAATGCAAAAGAGAGCCCAGATATTCCCTGCGCTTATACCATCTGTTCGATTCAATATTCATCTGCAACAACTTTTTATGAATAAATTCTGTCCCAAGACCAGCAACAAAAATATAAAACATCAAGAAGAGTAGTAAAAAGGGAAAACAGTCATGCTCGCTTCATCAAAATCATGTCCCCAAACGCCGTGCAATGCTCATCCCACCACTATACAACAGCAGACCAACAACAAACGTCTGCATAGATGCCCAAAATAGCACTCTTTTAGATGTAAAAATGAGATGTATTCCCACAAGTGAGGGCCACGGATCAGTTCATCCATCCCCACGGGTAATTTCCATCAATGTTGACCCAACCTCCCTTTTCAATCCCATCTTCCCATCCCATCATCACTCCCAACATCTTGCAACCCATAGAACTAACAGTGCACACGACCTTGTCACTTGCTCCCGCAAGAACTGCCAGGTCAAGCATATATGCCCTGCCCATGTAACTGCGCAGCTGAATCGTCTGCTCAGAAGGCGGTTCTACCCGCCCCGCCGGCGCTCCATTTGCATGGCCGTTGTGCTTCCTGCCGAATCCCAGATTCCAGAACATGGGCGCAAAAAACCCGCCTTCCCATCCCAAGGTTTCATCCTCGAAATGATGAAGCACATTCGGGTTGACCTCTTCCCGCGGAGTGGCTTCTTTGGAGGCCAGGCGGATACGCTCTTGCGCCAACATGGCGTCGGAGAAGTCGGGCTGCTTATAGACATCAGGGTCGTCAGAGGCGATGATGGTGATGGATTTATTCGTGAGTAGCGCCTGGTCCTCAGGGCTATAGTACGCGCCTACCAGCTCCTGGACCTTGCTGAGAAACACCTCGGATGGGATATAAGTGTTGCGATATTGGTATTCGAGAGGGTGTGAATCGCCACGCCGAACATGGAGCCCTACGATGGGGACACGTGGGACTGCCGAATCTCTTTCCATTGCCTCCTTCTTCAGATGCTGCACACGATTGTGGGCATACTCTTGGTCATCGGAGTTGAGCTTGAAGAGTGCTTCGTATCCAGATCTTGCAAGCCCCATCAGATCTCGAAGGTTGTTGCTGGTTCCTGCGGCGCGGTGGTACTTCGCCATCAAAGCCGGGAAAACGTCTTTGAGCGTGGTGCCAGTGACGACTAGATGCTTTGCCTGTGCAGGGCAAGGAAGCATCCGGTGCCGCGGGGGAGGCCGGCAGTCTGGCAGCGGCGGTGCTTTGAAGATATCGGTATACTTGCCATAGGCCCAACGAGAATCGTCAATGAAAAAGGCCCTGCCATCTTGTTTTGCCAGGCCGTAAAGCATCCACATGCCCATGACAGCAGTGCCCAGCCCAGCATCTGAGCTCTCCAACACATAGGTGACGGAAGATTGGCAAAGAGGTAGTGCGGCCATGGACTCCCAGTTCAATCCAACAAAGTGCCCAGATTTTTGGGCAGCGTCTCCCTGTGCAACCGGAGGAAGCAGCCCATACAGCTCAGCCTCATACACGTCGACAAAATACTCGTCTACGGCGTCGTAGTGAAGCTTGTCTTCGTCGGATAAGGGGGCTTTGCCACGGAGCTCCCTCGTGTGAGCCGAGACTTCGCGGCATTTGCTTCCCATTCCATCGTACTCCTCCACCGTCAGAGGGAAGTCATAATGGTGCGGAATAGACACGGTCCACTTGGACTGAGAGTGACTATGGCTGACCACTATGGGCGTTGGAAAGTCCGGTATCGCATCCTGCCCAACCATTTCGAACTCTTCAGTCGTGAAATGAGGCCATACTGCAATGATGGACTCTTTGTTTCTAAATGCAAGGCGAGCAAAGTATAGTGTAGTGAAAAGCGTGGTAAGATAAAGCAAATATCGCAGCACCCGGCTTGGTCGAGCAATTAAGGCTTTTGCGGGCGACTTCTTTGGTCGCGGCACCAGTGCCGGAAGACTGGGCGAGGGAGGAGGAGAGAAGAGAAGGTGGTTGAAGTTGAACCGAGCCGAAGTCGATGAGAGCGGTGCTTTCTCATAGTTGTTGTATGAAGCATTTCGGCGGAGGTTGAGCCTTGGAGGCGCAATCATGACCTTGGTGTGAGTCGAGAGATCCAGTGGAGGAACCATGGTGATGCCTGTTAAGTGAAATCCACTTGGTAACAAATGACTAATACATGAAATTGAAATAAGAAATAAGAAAAAAATATGTAAGAGAAGGCGAGAAAGAATAAGGGCGGATCAGTATCTCCAGTCGATGCCAACGCCAAGAGAGAGTGTATCCAGCGTCAGAGACGACTCGATATGCAAACACAAGAGCGGACCACTGGGGATAAGAAGCAGGAGTATCGGTAATAAAATAAGAAAAAGAGGGCGGCAGAGACGGACCAGCCCAAGATCAGGCTCTCTCAGCCGCGGGCACCCTTTTGTAATAACAAGGAGGCGAGGCGTGTAGTATTCCAATAAAGTTTTCCCCCACACAGCGTTAGGCAAAAGGATGAGCACCCTAGCAGACACCGCCGATCATCATGGGGACCAAAAAGGGCCTGATAAAAAAGCACTTCCGAGGCTGTCTCTGTGTGCGCTGAGCAGCTGATGGCGTGTGTGACTTGTTCCTATCACGGCTCGAGGGCCACGTCGATCCCGCCAGTGGCACCCGAAGCGGAATGAGAAGCGAGGAAGAAAGAAACACAAGGGCACGGAAGGGGGGGGAAGGGAGAGAATGAAGACGGGAAGCGGAAAAGATTGACGTCAACGCCAATGGGATGGCTGATGGCCAACAGAATGATGTTGAAGGAGAGTTGAAGGGGAAACCCGGCGAGTGGCGAGAAGATGGTAGGTATAGTTACGATGGGTTCCCCGAATCGACGGGGATCGTGGGATGTATCGACCAGCGAACTTCGTAGGGGGGGTATAAGCAATGGACGTATATGCTCCCCGCCAAGGGACAACAGCCAAACAGAAATGAAGTAAAATAAGAAAATAAAATAAAACAGCACAATAGAGACGGGCCAGCTTCCGGCCTGTCCTGTGCAGTGGGCGGCTGGTCAAACGCTTGCAGCTCTCGGGAGGCCGGTCTCTTTGACTAGCATCGACAGGGTCCCCGGCGTCTTGTTCAACAGTGGGGAGAGGCTTGATGTCATGTCTCTAGATCCTGGTCGACTGGGTACATACGAGTGCCAGTAAAGAGAGAGAGAGAGAGATGCAGTAGACTAACACTAGAGAGCTTCCCAAGGCGGCAGGCAGGAAAATGCTAGGGACGGGCGAGCCGCCACAAAAAGTGTTTCCGAATCGTGAAATCGTCCGACGCCCCAGCCTAAATGAAACAAAGCTGGCGAGTAGCAGTAACAGGATGTATCAGAAGAAAAAGAAGAAGAAAGAAGAGGCTCGATGCATTGATTGGAAGCGCAAAGAAAGAGAAGAAGAAGAAGAAGAAGAAACAGCGAGAGCACCGCGCATTGTGTCACCCTCTCACCATTGTTTCCATTCCCGATCCACCAGCAAACACTCTTGGTGTTATTCAAATGGGCCACCAGGGGGTTCCAGCCAGAGACACAGTCCACAAAGCGATCCCGGTTACGGACATCCGCTCTCTAGTGCTTTTTTGCACTCTTTTTCTTTCTTCTTGTTTTCTAGCGGGCGCTTAAAAGACAGCTGAAAAGCAAGGGGAGGAAGCACAGCGAACATGAAAAATGAAGAAAAAAAGGAAATGGTGATAGTCGTCTGCAACTGCAACTGACCAGGGGGGGTGGCGAGCTGGCGTCATACCTCGCCCGGGTTTGTAAGAAACGGACTTGAAACCGAGGATTCTGTTGGTCTACAGCGACTCTTTGCGCTTATTAGGCAGTATCGCGTGTTTCAGAATGTCAACCAGCACCTTGCCTGATCCACCCTAGGCCGCATGACTTGTGCACGACGAGAAAAAGAACAAGGCAAAATCATCCAATGAAAATATCGAGTTGCTTGTTCTTATGCTTATTCTCCTTGTTGTCCTCCGTATTTCCCACTGCCCTCCTAAGAATAAAAACCTACGCTTGCAGTGAGCAGCGTCCAACACCATCGTAAACCAGCTATTTTCAGCTATTTTCAGCTAAGTACCTACTGCAGGTCCATTCACTAATGCATCTCGTGAGCTTCTTCCTCACCATCCTCCTCCAAAAACCTTCATCCCATCCAAGAAAACATTGACCACTAAACTTCTCCTATTCTCCCCCCAAAACCTTCTATCCCTCCAAAACACATGCAGCCACAAAGGATCTTTTTTTCTCTTCCCACACTTGGTTAAAATAGGCACCTCGGTTCCTCCCTACGCTGGCCCACACATGCACATATAAGAATCTCCCACTTTTTAATCTATCTGACGCTCGCCATTCGGCCCATCCCAATCTCCATGTTATTAGATGCCACCTTGAGATAAATCACACCAATATTGATACGAACATCGAATCTTATATTTCGTATGTCTAACGTACTCATACCTGTAGCATCCGCTTTTCTCGGGTGCTCATTCGGTCGTCTCCGAAAGTTCCAATCCACTCATTCTTCCCTTGTTCCTTGCTTCTTCCTCTTTTGTTCTGTCAGATTCTAGCGAGTAGAAATGCCTGGTGACAAGCATCCTATACACAGCAGCCGGCTAGATAGATATACAGTGTTAGATATCCAGTTAGAATGAGTAAGCCTCGTCTGTAGTTCATCCCATTTATTCCCCATCATGGTGTTATATCATAGGTCACCTTCAATTGTATACACCTATGTTCGTTCCATCTATTACTCGTACTTGCACATATTAAGCATCTTCACGCTTGCTCCAAAGTCCATAGCAGAAAATCATCATATAACGATGTTGTTCTTTTTAAATCATAGCTTGCGCTTCGCATAAACTAGAATCTTCGCTAGAGCAAGCAAACAAAAAAAGAGAGAGAGAAACGTTTGAAGCTGACAAAGAAGAAAAACCACAATGCCTGTCCACCCGAGGCTTCTTTTGCCCATTTTGAAATCATATACTCGCCCAAATGCAAAACCCTAACCAGGCAAGAGAACGGAGCTGGATTTCAAACCCAAGGCTCCCTTCTCTGCCATACTCTGCAGCTTCTTCTGCCGCTACGAAACATCAAGACGCGAATCGCGCATAAGGGGGTATTCTCACACCAGCAACGAACCTTCTCCAATCCACACCAAAACCTGTAAGCGACTCGGAATGCTGCATCATGAATCAAAACAAGAACCCCACTCGTCTTGGCCCCTTTTTGCAGAGCAAACAAGAAACAAACTCAAAAGCTCGGGTATAACATGAAAAACAAACAAACGCGATAGGGAAAAAAAAAGTTAACAAATTTGGGCTCCCATGCCTGAACTCCTTGTCCCACCAAAGATTTTCGCAAATAACTCTCATCACATTGCAGTCTTGGATTGCAACTAAAAGACTCCGGCTCTTGGCCATGCCCTTTCCTCTCGTCCTCTTACCCTTTTACTCTCGGGCCATCATGATGCAGCTTCAACAGCAGCACTGCGCTCTCCAATGGGTGTTGGTACGCGCCGCAATGGTGGGAGCTCGCTGGGTGGCTCGCCTAATGACTCCAACCGGTGGCTAGGCGCCAGTCGTACACTCCCCCGAACACCTCTAATGATCTGGCCGTTGTCGACTCGGTCTTGAATCATTTCCTCGAGCATATTGTTCATCTCATCGATACTCTTCGTCCTCCTCTTTGATTCTTTGATCGTAGGACTCCAGGGAGGGAGGCTGCTCCGGATTCCATCTTGTGACTGGGGCGATCGAGGTTCCGTCATTGCGTCGGCATTGTCCCGCGACCGAGCTGCGCTTCTCAAGGCAGCCAGCATCCGATCCTTGTCGTCCAACCTGGCTCGCAGATCGGCAATCTCGGCGTCCTTCTCCTTCAGCAAGGCAGCTACGCTATGGTCCTCGCCCACCATGATGCCCTTTGTGGGTACCGAGAAGCCAGACGATGTCCTAGAAGAGCTGGCTCGGCGGGCTTGGAGCAGCCTTTTTTCAAGCGTCGAGATGTACCGGGTTTTGTCCGCGAGATCAGCTTGCAGTGCTCGGTTCTGCGCAGTCAGAGAGGCCATCCCATCCCCATTCTCGCCGACGCTATCCTCCTCTGCGTCGATAATCTCAGCAGCCTCGCCCGACGACATTCGTTTGGCCCCATAGCTGGACCTCCGGCCAATGGTAGAATTTGACGCTACCGATGCCGTCCGCTCCAAAGGTGACCTTATTGAGATGGCAACCGACGATCGAGCTGACCCCGCCACCAGCGAAATCTGTGAATATCGTGCAAGTGCACTCATGGTGCCATTCGAGTTGACACCGGCTGACTTGGAGCTGAGAATCAGGCGGTTGAGATGATCAATCCGTTCTTTCAGTGCCGTCCTTGCAAGTTGCATTTCCAAGATTTGCTCCTCGTGCCGTTCAGCCATCTGCACCGTCTGAGCACGGTCGTGCTCAACAAGCTCCTTGATCTCTTCGTCATTTTTCTTATTGGCCTGGGTCTCCAGCTGCTGTTTCAACTCCTGGATCTCCATACGATAACGCTCCAAAAGCACCCGTGCAGCACCATCGCCTCCAGCGCCCAGCGCTTCTTCGGCTCTCTTGGCGTGACTGACAATACTGTTCTTTGCACGTGACGCGAACTTGAGGGTATTCAGAGTTTCTATGGTGTGATTGGCAGCAGTGGCCGCGGTTCCAGTCACTCCAAGCGCAGCCGTACAAAGAATACTGACAAGAGAGTTACCAGAGAGAGCTCCCTGAAGCAGACGTGTCAGTTTGCTGTCTCGGTAAGGCAGATGTTTGCCATCTTTATCTCCACCCTTGTCCTTCCATTCGGAGAGCTTTGCAATGACCGTTCCGAGAGTGAGAAGACTTTTGTTGATGTGTGCACCCTCTTGTCTTCGCTCCTTTGACTCTGCAGCCTTTTCTGAGCCGGCAAGATCGATCAAGCTCAAAGTAGAGACTCGAACACCTCCGGGCACGATGGCTGATCGCTTGTTGTCGCCAGGGTTGGCACTGCCCGGCATTCGCTCTCGACTTTCAACAATGATTTGGACGACGGCGTGACTTCGAGAACTTCGAGCATTGAACTGCGTGCTGGCTGTTCGGCGGGCTTGGTCACCTCGAGCTATAACTCGAAGCAGCTGCGTGGGACTCTGAACGATTTCCTCTTTCAGAGGGGTGGCGTAGACGCCACGCTTGCTGTCTTCTCGCAGCTTGATTTCCTCTTGAGGAGCCCCAGCGCCACCGGCAGAGGCCATGCTCAATAAATCGTGAATTTTTTCGTTATAAATTTCAAGGTAGCTCACTCTCAGCAAGAACTCGCGGGAGGGTGTTTCGCGAATGTAAGAAAAAATATCCGTAATGGCTAGCGGGATGACACCAGGTGAAGATGCCGTTCCTTGCATGGAAAACGTCTTGCCAGTTCCAGTCTGGCCGTAGGCAAACACCGTACCATGGTAACCTTCCATAACTCTCCGGACGAGGCGCTTGGCCATGTGGTCGTAGACGCGGGCGTTATTATCATGGGTCGTAAAGACATTGTCTGGAGGAATTAAGTCAACACGTCTCTTGAATTGAAGATGGGGGACTTGGATGGCATACCATAGTAATAATCGCCTCCTTCTTTTCCTTTGTATCCGATCAGAGATCTTCGACCATCGACCATCCATTCTCCGTCAGCGTGGTTGTCGTTTGTTGCATCTGGTCGCACTCGGACGCTAACGATAACGTTGCCCTTTACCTCAGTAGTCGACGCTCGTTTTTCAGAGGCGCTGCCGGACGCGTCGGCGGAGTCCTCATATGTCGTCGCTGATGTGGAATAGGAGCCCTGAGCAGAGGAACTTCGGCTGTGAGGAGGGGATGATACACTGATGACACCATCAGACATACGGACGCTGCTTATGAATTTTCCTTCGGCACTGCCATTTAACAAACTCGGTGTAGGCGTTGGATTGTTACTACTGGCTACGGAGTCTCTAGCGGACTTCGGTTTTCGCGCAGAGCGAGCTTTGTCGCCGCCTGCCAGAGGGCTGGATGGCATGCTGCCGAATCGATTGTCGCCCTTGGGAGGTTTCGGAAATGAATTGATGCTAACAGCTTTTCGGAGAGTCTGGCCAGCTTTCGGTACGGGGGGAACAGCGCCGTTGGAGGGAGCGGGAGATGCTGAGGAGGGTGCTCGTAAACCACTTCGAGGCGCATTTGGCGTCTTTGGGCTGGGGATGGCGGCTATGCTCTTTCGACTCTTGGGTACGGAAAGACTGGGAAGAGAGGTGTCCGAGGGCCCCATCGAGGGGCGAGGGCGCGGAAGAGCGGTCGCCATACTGCCTTCCGGTGCGGTATAAGAAGCGCAGTGGGTATAAGAATTATGCTCGGTGGCTGCGCGTTATGGCTTGTGCGTAGTGCTTTGTGCCCTCAAAGGCTTCGGCCGTCCATGAACGGCAGATGCGTTGGGCCAGATTTCGAACGGTAAAGGCAATGCAGCGCTATCGGGTGCTTTGGGCAGACAGGCCGCAAGAATGGAGACAAAATAGCCCGGCCGACGGGGGGGAGTAAATTACTCAATATCACAGGCGAAACAGCGGTACCTGGTAAATATGATCATGTTAGCAATGCTGCCTGCAGCGAGTGGCCTGCTTATCTTCTGTCGATGTGGAAGCCCATAGGGCGAGTTGGTATGTCGCTGAGGATAGGGGGTCGAGAGGCATCCACGATGGAGGGGGGGTTCATACCGCTCTCTCCCACAAGAATGTCTGGAGAAGTCTTTGCGTGGTCTGTAGCGAACAAAGGCGAAGCGGAGCAACTGGGTCTCAAATCCCAGCTAGAGATATCCCAACTACGCTGAACGAGATCCGCCTCGTGAAAAAAAACAGAGAGCAAAAAACAAAAGAAAAAAAAACGAAAAACAGGCGAGGGTTTCTTGTCGTCGCTCGGTGGCCAACAGAAGAGCGGTGGATTTTCCTTTTTTTCCCTTTGGGGAATACTAATAAGATTTGATGACTGATGGACCTGCCGATAAAGTACCGCCGGGGGTGGCAACGGTCAAAACAAGAGCCGCAGGCAGACACTCGAAGCTACAGCGAATCGGTGACAAAAACCTCCCAGACGGGCTCTGTGTTCGGAAGAAAGAAAGAAGATGTAAGCAGCTATGGGCTTATGGGGGAGCGATCGTGGGCGCTGGCGTCTAGTTGAAGGACGATGTGCGCAAAGAGTTGCAAAGTCACGGGAATGGGCGCGCGGACAAGGGCGATTGCAGGGACGGCCTTTGGGGGACGCAGCGGGAGATCGATGAGGACAAGGGCCAGTGGTCTAGCTGTGCTGACGTCGCATATTCGTACAAGTACGACAAAAAGAGACGAGAAAAGATGGCAGGAAAGGCGAAATGAATGGAATGCGATTCCAGAGTGGGCGAAGGAGAGTGTGGAGTTTTTGCAATGGAAGACTTTGCAAGAGACAGAGTGTCTCGCCCAAGGCACATGGGCAAACTATCGATAGGTAGGTGAGATTTGACTGAAGTGGCTGCGTCCAGTCCGAAGCACACACAGCGGTACATATGCATGTACATGTATGGAGCGCATCACATCCCAAGAACCGCATAGGTGAGCAGGTACTACATGCATACGGCACTAAGAGAGACGTGAAATTGGGCCGCGGGGGTGATGAAGGGCGCTCCAAGGTGATTGCCGTAATTTAGCAGCGAGCCCAATCCTGGAGGTTTTTGCTACTCGTGCTGCTCGCACCAGCAGTAGCAGCACCAGCACCAGCAGCAACAACAACACTAAAACTGGTTGGTTGAGCAATGGCAACTCGCAGTGGTACGAAGCAACATCGAACTAAGCTTGGCCGGACAGCTGCCTCTTCAGCCGGCAGCTTGGATTAGAGTGGGCAAGTCCGGGCTAGCGCGACGATTGGTCCCCTGGGCGCCGCCCTGGCTGTGGCGCCACTTGGCGCTAGGGCTTTAGCGCTCTAGCGCCGCTCCAGCAGCAAGGACCCCCTGTGTCGCCAGCCACTGCAGTCATTGTGCTGTGCGGTGCGGTGCTGTGAGCCCGGAACCTGCGAACGCCGCTGCAGAAGGACACTGAGTACATCTTTGCTGCAGGGCGCTGCAGTGGAAATACAGCACGCGCTACCCCGCTGCAGCTGCATTGCAATGTGCGCGCTGCACTCGCTGAACCTCCAATCAGAGCCGGCTTCGGTGTTGAAGTTGCAGCCACGGGTACGCGCATTACTGTCTGTACAGCACCTCCACGCTCACACAAAGGTACAACACGTCCAAGCTGCAGGTACCTCCCGTCCTGGGGAACATTCAACGCCATCACCCGTCGCGTCGGTCCTCCACACGAGGCTATCCGTTAATATGCACACGGGCCACTCCTTACTCACAGCACCATCTCTCTAACACGACGTTGCTTCACCTTGTCGGTTCCCTTTATTTGCCCGATATCAAAGTCCATGCAGATAAAGAGCAATAATCATGCGATATTGTTGGCTTTGGAGCAAGACATATCGCATCAGCATTCCACCATCTCCCTTTCTCCTCAACCTGCATAAAGAGGGAAAAAAGAATAAAAAGAAAAACCCCTCATCCACATCTCCCTCTACCAATGTTCTTCCTTCTCTCCTCTCCCAACAACTAATACTGTACTCACTCGTCCAGTTGCCAGCTCCCCTTCCGTCTAAGCCGCAAGGGCCAATTTCAAAAGCCTGTCCTCGCCATGCCCGATTCCCCGAGAATGGCACCAAAAATCAGGGGAGGATCCCGGGACTACGCTGAAGAGGCCCAAGTTCCCTTTTTAGCTCCCTAGACATTCTCTTTAGCGTCAACGGGCCCTCGTAACCAGTCTATATTAGTATCGCAAGTGTTGGCCAGTTGGTGGAATACTCGTACAACATGAGAGACTGGTTGAATCCCGTTCAGCCACCGAGGGCGTCGTTTGCGCATGGCCGGCCACGCGGGATCCAAGTTGAGGCAAGGGATTCCAAGTCTTGTCTTCATCGCCAAAGCCATTGTCCATGTTCCAGCCCGTCCCCTGGTGAAACATGCAGTGCTGCTGGACAGCTCGTGTCTGTGATGTGATGTGATTCCGACGACAGAGATTCGAGTCATGCAGGCACCATCTGCAAGGCCTCCGGCAATTGACCGCATTAGCACATGCGTCCGTTGCTGCCCGGCCTGTACGACATCTGGATGCAGTAAAACGCTTCCCAGGGTGTCGAGATAATTTCTGATATGGACGGATGCTAGGACCACCTTGGTATGGATCTTCGAAGTGATGTGAGCCCTGCTCTAGCAATAAGCTGTGACTCCGACCATGTATACAGACTACAGACACGGCTCCATCCATCCAGCCAGCGTCAATGGATTTCCATCAGCCACAAAACGGATAGAGAGAGAGAGAGAGATAACACAGCTTCGAAATCACTAATTCGCAACCCTCAATGGCCATCGTGGCGTCAAGCTGTGCACTTCAGCTCTCTCGCTAAACCCGATGACGGGCGTTTTTCTCTCCTTCGCTCAATTTCTTATTCTCAGCCCCTGTTCGTCGCGCTGCTCAAGCCAACAAAGCGACGCGTCTGCAAAGCACAAGTCCAGACTCCAAATGTGATCAGTCACACCAGCTCCAGTCCGGGGCTCCAGCATTCTCATCCTTCGAAACAAGGCAAAAGCAAGTATAGACTCGGCGACGCCTTTTTTTTAATGAGCCATGCTTCGAAATCTCAAATTGCACGTGGGAATACATGCTGTTTTCTCGTGATGCTTCTATAAATGCATCTTGCACCACACAACTTGAAACACTCTAGAATCACTGGGATTCCTGTTTCGGAAAGCTTGGACCGTTGTCCGGAATTATGTATTCATGCCCCCAAGATTAGAGTGCGTATTAATACGGCTCCAGATGTTGGACGATTGCGCTTTGCACAAATCAAGGTGAACCCCTGGCCCATGCTCCGTCGCTTGGGCAATCATCATCATAGGTGCTTCTCCAGACCGTGCCGTGATGGCGATTTGCATCAAGTCTGCTGCTAGTCAGACGGCAACACGCCACCATGAGAAATTCTGACATTTCCGTGGCTCCGCCCTGTCTTTCATGCACGGGACAGGGGCTGTTCGGGAGGCAGATGTCACTCAGAGGTTGATCGTGGAGCTACTTGAGAGCCCATCGTTTGATCATCACTCTAGCATAAAGCACGGTCTTCAACTAGGACAGAGCATGCTTCTTACGGAGTAGTGTAGATACGGCTAGTTACTAGTAGTAATATTGGGGATTTGGCTCGTCTCCTAACTGCACATGAATGTCGTCGCAAACGATAAACGACATCGCTTGTTGAGAATCATGATGTATCATACTTCAAACTGTCAAACCTGTCAGTCATCATATCGTTCATTACGAAAAAAAAAATCTCCTTCTGAAGGCGTATCGGAAAATAAGATAAATTAAGGCAAACTGAAAATAATCTATCCAGCCAAGCCCGTTCCACAAACATCATGATCCAAGCCTCAGGGTTCTCACATCTCAGACCTTACTCAACCACATGCTAGCAAGACATTGATATCTCGGCAAATATCCTCACCAGCCCTACCAGGCTCATCCTCGCCATTTCGGCTATCATTGCTGGCATAAACGATTCCTCACATGCACACCCCATGCCCCCATCCCCCTTCAACGCCACATACGTCGAGATCATCACCCTCCCAACGCCCTCACTCCCCTTCCAACACTCCCCGTCTCAAAAACTTCCACGATGCCCAGTCCAACCGCCTGCCCCAGCACCCACTCCCACTCGACGCCCCAAAAGTCCTTCCATCGTGTCCCGTACAGGCCTCCTCCTTCAAATCGCTCTCGGAACCAGGTCTCCGGCGCCTCGCCCCATCTCGTCTTGTCCAGCATCTCGCGAAGCCAGTCCACCGCCCCCTCTGCGAGCTTAAGATACCGCCCGTGCCCCGGCACCGCGATGCGGAAGTTGGATGCTTCTGAAGAAGCCAGCGATGAGCCCGTTAGAGTCGGCGCGCCTCCGCTGCCGCCCGCGAGATGGAGCGCATTCTGGCCTCCCACTGCCGAGACGCTCCCAGAGGCAAAGCGAGACACGTGATGGATCGAAGTCAAGGTCGTCCGATCCTCCGGACGGATATGAAGCGTCGTCCCCGGCGCAGCCTGCAGCGAACTCGTCAGGAATCCCGCCCTCACCAGCTCGTCCGTCTGTGCATGCGTCACGGCGCTCCTCGGAAGCGTTTGGGCCGTAGGATTCTTCGTCAGAAACTCGAGGAATTGCTCTTTTGCCCCTTCAGACATGCCCGTCTTGCGCACCATAGCCTCCAGATCCGCCATCTCGATCAGGGCCTCGCCCATGCCGCCTCGCCGCTCGACCCTCACTTTGCGCAGCACGCCGCTTCTGGAGAGTTCGACCACTTCGCGCTCCACCCTTGACGGCGACGTCAGAATCGCGTTCAAGTGGCCCAGCGTGACTATGGGTGGCACCGTCAGCCTGTAGTTGAGAATCTCAGTCGATCGCGTAGACTTGAACCCCGTAGGCGGGACTGGCGTAAACATGCTGTTCCGAACATATCGCATCGCCTGAACAACGTCTCTCAGCGTCAGCTCCTCCTGGAGCATCTTGGCGACTCCCACGTCTGAGAGCTTGTCCTGAAACTCCGCCTCCAGGTCATCTTTCGCCGCCGGCTTCTTGCCCTTCCGAGGAGATTGAGATGAAGCCTTCGCGGCGCTTGTAGAGCTCTGTCTGGCCGGGCTTGGCCTGCTGGGCTTCCTCACCCGGTTGGACTTGCCCAGGATGGAGCGTAGGTTCTGTGGCATTTTTCCTTTCTTTTTTCTGTAACCGATGCGCTTAGTTCCTCTCTCTCGTTTTATTCAATCGCGACGAATTTGAAACTCCAGTCCCCGGTGACTCCTGTTGCCTAGTGTATAGTCATCCTATCATATCAGGCACACATCCAAAGCAACGTGGCGAACTCGCAGACGAATGAGGAATCATCTGAAAAAGTTTCGTTCAACGAACCCCAGAATGTAGAGAGCAAGCCACAGATAAGGAAATCAAGACTGCGAGTACAACTAGATGCGAATCCAGCTTCCTCGCTCACGAACACAAAAGTAATGACGAACTCCCGGTGCACGGACCATGCTACAGTGTCCATGTCTCATTATACAAACTGTAGACTTCTCATTGCGTACCTAGGCATGTATATAATTTAAGTCTGTATTTAATCGAAATATGGAATTATCAATCTCAGCTTACATGAAAAAATATATTTGTATCTTTAGTCAACCTTAACTTTCATTCCACTGCCTTCTTGAGCAATATCTTGCGTCATTACCAGGACAGAAGAAACCGAGGCAATCGATCCAAAGAAAGACGCCATTGAACTCCATCCAGTGTTGTAGAATGGATAAATAGCTATAGAAACAGCAGCAAGTATCAACCCCAAGCCGAAAAAAAACCACATCATACTGTATGCTGGCGATAACCACGACTTCTTCATGAGGGGGACAACCATAATAAGATTGCCTAGGACCGACATAATACTGCTTTGAATTAAATACCAAAAATCTGCATCCTCGGTACTACCTTTTCCGCCAGCTTTCCATGAAATTGCAAATGCCTTGGACCAAGGAATAATGGCTACAATCAAAAAGATAAGAATCAAAACCATGAGTGTAACGGTTTCCTAGATGTTCATTAATTTATGAGTAAATCGCAATAAAGTGTTTTTACTTACCTTTTTTGATTCTACTATCTTAGAAACCTTTGTCGTTGACTCTTCGATCCCTTCGATAACTTGAGATTGAGATTGCTCCTTCATAATGAGATCGTAGAGACGATCGCTATTGGGAGATGATCCTAGCCTCACACTATCGAGTAGTTCGATTCTTATGTCGATTCCCCTCAAGATGTAAGTTATGTCACTCTGTCCTGATTTCGATTCAGACACAAGCCGCGACCTCCCAATCAGGATCTCATGTTTCACACTCTCTATGATACGAATGACAAGATCTTCGGTCAGGCTTTTTGCCTTCTGTCGCCACTCCGAGAATAAATGCAATGAAAGTTCCCAATAATGGACCTCTAAAGCATCTTGGATGTACTGGAAGATTTGTTCATCACTTTGGCAGCTATTATTAAAGACGGGCTGTGGGGAGTGTGGATTAGTCCAAGACTTAACCACGTTTTCAAAGAAACTGCCGAGATCTCCTAAATATATGCTTTCAGGAGATAAAGATTGATCAGACACGTTGCCCTGTCGTTTTATAATTTTTTGTCGGATTTCATGTAGCCGATCTTGAATATCTTCTTGGTCATGGCGTGAGCCCGCGACTTGGAAGTACTCAGCAATAGCACAATCAAAGAAGTGCAATGGCTTAAAAAGTTCAACCAATTGTCTCTTAATCTCCTTACTCTGTATTGTGGGATATGGCGTATAATACTCGATGGTTTTTGGTGGCTGCAGTAAAGTTAGTGCCGGTCTATAATATTCTAGTCATTAAATAGCTTACTCGACGCCCATGTTGGAAACGGGCTCGGTTCTTGATTTTAAGCCTTGTTGCGCTTCTATTTTCAGGGGTATCTTGAATCCCCGACGTAAAACTGGCGAATAGAGACGATGAGTAGTGATTAACGCCCAAGTTTATAGTTCCCCGGTTTACACCGATTTGTAAGCCTGCATTATCACCAGAAAAGCTGTTATGGGAAGTTGGCTCATTGTCTTTTGGAGATATTATGAGAGAGTTGTGTGAGCGATTACTCCCTGAAGCGGATGCACCGATTCGTATGCCTGAATTATCACCAGCAAAGCTGTTATGGGAAGTTGGCTCATTGTCTTTTGGAGATATTATGAGAGAGTTGTGTGAGCGATTACTCCCTGAAGAGGATGCTTCATTGTCTGTTACTTCAGTTTCCGAAGTCATTGCTAGCACAGAAGATCGCCTTCAACAATACAAAAATAGTCAGGCTCAATCTCAGGCTCGTTTTGCGGGGTTGTGGTGACGTCGGCACATATACATGTAGAGTCAGCACGTGATGGAGCTGCTAGATACGGATATATGGTTTTACCGAACTTGAGAGTTCTCGACTTATTTGCTTCAGCGAGGCAACGTGGCTCGTCTTAACTGGTGGTTCTGTGAATTCTAGATATGCTGGAGCTTGTGCCGGCTATGGATCGAAGTATTTCCATGAAAGGAAGAAATTTGGATTAACTATTTATTGTGGAGGCCGCTAGCTTAATTATGGATTTTTTGGCGCAATATCAGGTACCTCTAGATATTTGTTAGAAAGTTGACATATTGCTTTAATGGTGATGACTAGAGTTATTTCAGGCTTATTTTATGTATCTTTCTGTACCAATTATGTGTAGTCCGTGCTTAAAACTGCGAGAGTTAACATTGAAGAGGAAGCCGGTTTTACATCTAGTTGTGCTCCATAGTCTTATAGGTACCTACTAAGGAAAGATTTAAATTTTGTGGCAAAACATAAGCCGCTACCCTGAAATAATTCCATCGGCATACTAAACTCCGACCAAAAGTGAACCTCACCACGCGTGTTAGTCGCAAATAGGCAGTTTGAAGCCAACAATTACCATCACTTAGATTTCGCTATAAATTTCAGTTACGCTAAATCAACAGTTCTGCAATGCAATTTGAGCACCCACTCATGACCAGTTCTCTCCACTTCAAGGCAAATTCGGAAACATTACAATAATTATCCAGCTGTAGTCAAAATATACGACGTGATTGCGCTCATCCGCTCACTCGTCAACTTCAACGAAATCTTCAAGAATTCCCTTCCAATTTCTGGCTCCTTCTGCTGAAGCCTCTTCCAAGACTCCAGCCCCATCATCCAGACAATGCAATCCCTCTCGACTTGCGCTGTCGCTGTCCGGCTCATTTCAGAGAAGAAGGGGAGCTCACCCAGCGTGGTTCCCGCGACGATGCTCTCGCAAAACCAGCCTTGTGGCAGGTCATATTCCGCTCGAATGATACCACGCTCAAGAAGATAGAAGCCGTCTGCCGGCTGGCCACGCTTAAACAGAATTGTGCCGGCAGCATATTCCTTGCGCTCAAAGTATGGCGTTGCTTGGAACCAGAAATCCTCGTTCTTGTCGCTCAGCCCCTGAAATATCTGCAGCATCAGCCGCAGAGGTTCATTAAAGCTCTGCCATCTGGATCGGCGCTGGATTTCAACACTGTTGAGTGCGTCATGAGCCGCCTCAGCAAGGTGGTTACGGCGTGGAGAGTTGAACGGCGCGTCGAAAGAGGCCAGTGTCGCCGAAGTTGTTGGGACATCTAGGCTGGCGGTTGCATGTTTCGTCGAACTTAGCTCTTCTTGCCGGGCATACAGCGTCTTGAGTAACTCGTTTTCGCAACTCTCTAGCGCCGAATTTAAATCTGGCAGTAACATGACCTCAATACTCCCGCTGCCTAGTCCAACAGCCCTTATACTTCGGCCAAGTTCGCTGTCAGCATCTATGCCACTCAAAATAAGGCTGACGCCCTTGTTGTTCAATAGGCGACTAATCGTGTTAAAGGCTTCACCGGCAGAATAGTCAAGTCCACTGACGTGCCACATGTCAAGAATAAGGAACTTGATCGGCTTCTGGGCAAACGCGTGATCGTCTAAAAGCGCTCGTATCTTGGCCTCCACACTGACGACGGTGCCAAAGAACAGATAACCTGTGAGCTTCATGATGTAGATTTGCCGACCGACTTGTTGCAAGTAGTTGTCCTGTGACGGGTTGCGTCTGACGGTAGAGGTTACAACTTCACCATCATAGGATGCGCGAATGGCCGATACTCTTGACGTCTGGATAACGAGTGATACAAAAGCCAACAATATTCCAACGCCAATGCCGACCACAAAGTCATAGATGCCCATGACCAGGACAATGATGATGACGGTGGCATACTCTGCAGGCCTCAGTTTCTTTCTTGGAAGCCATACTGCTTCAAGCAGCAGTTCAAACCCAAGGTCAAAAATCAGGGTTCCGACCATCATGACCGGAATCCATCCGATGATGCTGGGGCCAATAACCATGACGCCGAATGTGAGAAGTGCAAGCATGTAGCCGGCAAGCCGCTTGTTGCCTCCAGACCTCAAGAAGAAGACTGTATTAGCGTAGACCAAGTAGTTTTGGATGCTGCCTATGCACCCTGAAACAAAGTTGGAGTATCCATGAAGCCTTAATTCCTTGTCCAGATCGGCATTGTCTTCTCCGGAGTTGAGCGCCAAGGCGGGGACATTGATGGGTACGTGAAGAATGCCAAAGAATGTTAACGCGAACATGGCAGGGATTACTGAAATAATTGCCTTCCAGTTTACTAGGTGGAATTCTGTTCAAGATCGTTAGTCGTGAAATGCGATGAGAACGTGATGGAGAGAATACTCACGATATAGTGTGTAAAAGTACCACCAAGGTTCGTCTGGAGGAGGCCCAACGAAAATCCATCCTTCATCTCGGAGTGCGCCGGTGTCTAAGTTATCGAGCGAGAAGACAAATAGGTAAAAGACCAGTGGGATGGCTAGGATGAAGAGGGGAAGGAAATACTTGGATGCCCCCTTCATCTGTCCATAGAATAGGATAATAGCCAAAACAAGAGGGCACACCCAAAGAGGGATTGTCTTGGCCTCTATGAGCTTCTCCAATGTATCGAGGTTATACTCAAGGCTGCCTTCCAGCCGGGCAGAAACCTCGAAGCCGGTAGCTATCAAGAACCAACCAACACCTCCAATACATCCTATCAGGATATGCCTGGGGATGAATCCGACCATAAAGCCAAACTTGAACCGGCCCATGAGGTAGAACACCAAGCCAGTCAGCATGGAGCTCAGGGCATAGGCTACGATGGTTGTGGCGATGACTGCGTCGGGATTCTCTTCACCAACAATATCCAAGATCTTGGCCGCCATATTGTGAAAGAAAGGAACAACCTCAATCTGGACCAGAGTTAGACCAAACAACTAGTTATAGGTAGTTTCAAGGCAATATGCACGTACCAGCTCAGATCCTACCGCTCCTCTGAATATACTGCCCGTAGAAAAGACCAGCTGTGCCACAATTGTGCTGACATAGTATATAGAGATACCAGCAGATCCCAAATGGGAGAATAGGGGGGTCCCGAGTGGAAACAAGATCATGCCTAGTCTAGTCAGCCAGGTCCCTTCTTTTGAGGGTAAATAATGTGCTTACCATATGACAGGGCATCCAAGATGTTCAGAAGCAAGCCGACGGCAACGGCTGGAAGACAAGAGACTGGTTCCACGACGGCAGTCTCCCAGATGGCCTTTCGATTCCAGCTGCGCGGGCTGGATGCTACCTTGGCGATTTGGGTGAGATGATTCTCCATCTTCTGACGTTGCTCAGCGAGTCCATGCAGCCATCTCCGTCGAGCTTGAGATTTTTGACCTTCGAGATCGAGATCGATACTACTACTGGCTCCTGATCCCGAACCTTGCCCGCCGAGAAGAGGGGTATCCTCTGATACTTCTGGTTCGTCTGTCTGGGACTGATGTTGTGTCACATCGATGTGCGAGGACTGGGATTGCCCAGCATCGGCATTTTCGAAACGAGCTTGCGGGATGCTTGTCTGCTCCGTCAACGAGGACGGAGGGGACGACTTCTTGAGCAGATTGGTGAGCACAGAAGGCCCTTCTTCTCCCACTGCATGCCGTCCATCCTCTCCGTCTTCTGGCGACGGCGGCTCAGATACTTCAGGTATAGTCTCTGACGAAGGGTTTATGCTTCCTTCAATTGAGTCAGCATCCCCAAAATCTCCCCCGAATACATCGTGAATTGACGGTCTGTTTCTCTGGAGGAAGCTCGGGCGACGCTGTGATGAGCCATCGGATAGCAAGTAGCTTGCCAGCTCAGCGGTGTCTTCGCGGACACTCCTCGCGTTCTGTGCGCTGTCTACCGGGACTACTCCTATTGTTAGCGAAACATGGCGTCTGATGCGTACGGCACGATGCTTTACCTAATTGATCTCGCATTGAGGCATGGATGAAAGAGCGAATGGGTTCTTTATATCCTTGCGGAGATCCAACAGAGGAAGACAGCTGCTGGTGTTGCAAAGTTCCAGTCTCTAGCATCGAGCTCCCAGCCTGGCTCGCCGCGTCTGTGCGATCATGGTGCGACTGGTCCGTTTGTGAAACCAAGCTGGAAGCTCTCTTCCGCCACGGGGAGAATCCTAACACCGAGGACGACATGCTTGGAGCATCCAATGGCGGAGCTCCGCCGACGAGCTAATCGGCAATGGGTTCAATCACGATCCGACATGAGCAATTGGAAACGGTCTCAGAAGGACTTTGGCGCAGGATGGCTGGTGACGCAGAATGACAAGTGGCTCAGGCTATGCGCGGAGCAGGCAAAGGAACCGGAGGAGAAATAAAGGGTGGCGCAATCAAGAAGGAAAAACACATGCAGAAGAGAGTTGAGCATCATCCAGAGATAACGGCTATCAGGGACTGAAACTTTGCTAAATCAAGAAATTTCCGGGGCGGTGGCGCCGAGGCCGGGCCGTGCAAATGAAGTTGCAGCTTATCGCAGACGAGATTGTGCCCAATACCGTATCTTCACATTTCGATTCCTAATACCAATTGATTGCTGTTACTGCATTGTAATGCCTTCATGCACCCCAGCTCTGAGACGGCAGTGCTAGCAGACCTGCTTGCTCTGACGCTCTGCTTCTCGGCACATGTGCGTTGCCTGCAGCGCGATCGATGAATGGGCACAGCTCATCCTTCAGGCCTAGCATCATCCACCAATGGACCGTGAGATAAATGCCCACTCTCTGCACGTCTTCTGCAGGCTTAGACTGCATTAGTGGGCGGAATCAAGAAGAATCGATGTTGCACTATGTGTGTAGCACTGATCTAACTCAATTTCTCCGCTACGGGTCACGAGTTGCGCGATATCCTCTGACAGCAACAACATATTGCTCTCACCAGACAAGGGCTTTTTGGCTGAATATTGCTCACGCTTATAGCTTCAGCATTGGAGAGGCCTCCCGCTATCAATAATGTCGCATTGGTGGTTTAGTCTGCCCGGTTGGTGCTCCATTGAATCAAATTGAAAGATGAAAAGTGAAAAAAAATAGCCCATGATGTAATGTAACAAAAAGTTCATGTCCCTCGAAACACCTCCTCCAGCTCGCCTACCGCTTTTTAGACGAGCTAAACGTAAAGTCATTATCCTTGTGGCAGGCCAGTCAACGTCATCATGTTGTAACTGCACTGCTTCAATATATCCAAGCCCAGAGCCCAGGAAGAAGTGTCAGCTTTCTTCGGCAGTTGGTTGTCGTCTCTCGTGATTCAACCCCGATTAAAATCGAAACGGCGCTCCTACTATGAGTTGCCTCCCTCTCTATATCATACTTTTCGTCGAGAGGGGGTCTCATGACACATGCAATGCTTACAACTCTCTTAGCTGAGCTTCTGCAGATATCCTTGTGCAATCAGTCTCTCCACGTCTCCTTGTCGGACATAGAATTGGCTGTTCTTTGTCAAGGTAATTGCACTGCAATGTCTTGTTAAACCTTGTTTTCAACTCTGATATGGAATTGTACTCACCCATATTCTGTCTGAATTTCACCCGCATCTTTGAGAACACGAACGTCGATGAAAAGGTCCCTTGGTGGCTCTAGGCTCCCAGTGAGATCAATGTCCGTCCACTGTCCCTTGTAAGCCGCCAGTAAATCACCGTATTGCCGCACGTAATCCTCCTCCTGTGGGCTGAGACTGCTCGTGGATCCATCGCCGCTCGTCACTCCTTTGCCGCTGCCGGATGCACCAGCATCTCGTACCTGTTGGCCGGACAAGTCAATGACATCAGCGCCATTCCAGACGAGCTCCTCCAATTTATCAGTACGAGTTCTGTGATATGCCAGCAAGCATCGCTTGTTTCTGCGCATTGAGATGTGGTTCACAAGTAGTGTGTATGCAACAGCCTGGTCCTCTGCTGGGTCGAACGAGCCCTGGAAGGGCTCCAGAAGATCGTCAACATCTTTGTTGAGGTCTCTGACTTCTCTGGTGACTGCACGAACGAGCTCAGTCTGGTATGGAGGCAGATGTGCGAGATTCTGAGTTCTCTTGGCGTGTTGAACCTGTGGAAACTGTGAGACGCGCTTTGGAAAGGAATATCAGGGACGAATCGTACCAATTTGATGCCCAAGTCTCCATACATCTTACGAAGGATCCAGCTTTGTAATTTTGCTTGGTGAATTGGCTTTATTTCTGTATTTTTGAGATGCTCTGACTCCAGACAAAAAGTTTAGCCTGTGCTGTCAATGCGTTGCGAGAAAGACTGTTCAATGTCTTATCCTTAGGTGCAAATCCAACTTTGATTTGGCGGCTACTATAAATCGAGATCACGCTGAGACCCCACCATCCCCAATCGTCGGTACCTAACGCGCGAGAGCTGCCCCATATACAGGAATCAATGTTTTAGCATGCTAAGTTATAGATTTCGGCGTCGCGAAAGTGGTCGACTTTAATTCACACTCATTTTGCCATGATACAGTAATGCAGCAGTGCTCTTGGACGATGATTATATTGTAATATTTTATATTGTATTTCCATTTTTATATCATAAAGATTGGTATCAAGAGTCCCTATAGTAGCCATCGCCTTACCGTTCGTCAGGATAATCACTGAACGTGTTGCGACTTTCTTCAACAGCTTCTATTGCAACCGGATTCCCGATGAGCCCTATTAACTCTTCGAACAGTGTACCAAATTTTTCATGTTTGGGAACTAAAACAGCACTTTTGTTAGCAATGCTGTCGAACGCACATGGTAATGAAATTCAAGAAAACCAAGTCATGGCGATAAGTTCAGTGTTGCACAATGTGCTTGTTGTGTCGTCTTGCGGCGGGTCTTGAGGCCGCCTCCGAAACACGGACCAATTGTTTTCATCATGATATTCCCAGGGACTGCATTCAATAAAAGAGAAATTCTTGAAACCTTACCTCTTGTTTTGATGCTGGAAGCTTTCGTCCAAGTATTAGTATTCCTGCCATGAGCTTCTTGCTACAGCCGACGCAAGATACCCCGCATGAGAGAAATGTGGCATTTCTCATGGAATAGCTGTGCAGGCACTAGCTATTCCCTGGGTTTGACCCAAAAGCAGCTTGAGTGAAGAAATCTTCGCTTGGGATAGAAGAATAGAAGGAGAAAAAAGTTGACCAGAGTGGGAAGCTTATTTATTTGATCAACAAAAAATTGCTGCTCTATCGATATGGGATAAACATCGGCCCGAAGACCCACTCTTGCTCCAAGCTCGACGTAAGAGCTCCTGTAGCCTACAGTATCGCCCGCCACCAGGTTGGCACGACATACGGAGTTCAGCATCAAACAAGCCTTACCTCAACTCTGTACGGACCTCTCCTTCACAACTTCAACGAAACGGTCCTAGTCACAGCTCTACCAGGTGTATCACAATGCCGATTGCACCTATAATCACATTCAAGGCCGGCCAGTGTGACATCGACGTAAGTTACCCGCAAGGCGAACTCCGTTTCATCCCACCTGGCCGCTGACATCGCTCTTGTTAGACATCGTCGAAGCCATACAAGGTCACGCCACAGCCCGAATCTGGCTACATCTATCTATGGTCCGAAGATGGTCAGTAACGCAGGAGGTCAGCTTATACCTGAGCAGCCATTAACCAAAAACTAGACCTGGTGCATTTCTGCTGGCGGCGACGTGACCAGGCGCTGGATGACCCCGAAGTCATCGACCTCGTCATGGTTCCCACCGACGGTAGCTTTCTCCCATACGAATACAAGACAACCCCTCAGCCAACATCAAAGACCAACGGCCGCATATTCGCCCTGAAATTTGCCTCTTCCTCTCAACGCCACCTTTTCTGGATGCAGTCCAAGCCTCAGGGACGAAGTGGCGACCCGAGCCACTTCAGCCCCCGGGATCGCAAGATTGGCGACATTGTTCACAGACTCCTGCAGGGCGAAGATGTTAATGTGACGCGGGAACTGGCGGCTGTTCGAAACAACAATGATCACCAAGACGATGATGATGAGACCATGGAGGACATCGAGGGCCACGGCCACCAGGATCACCACGCGGGAGGCAGCGGCGGTGCTGGCCCCGATGCGACGGGAGGCGATATAAGAGAGGAGGGTGAGGGCTCGAGAGAAGGCGGAGCTGATGGAGCAAGAGCGTAGGTAACCCCCCTTTTCTTCATGGCTGATCACGAAACGGTCCGCGCAAGGTTGTCTGGTTCAAATCACTGGTCCCTGAGAGTCAAGAACATACTTTGGCATCAATGAAGGCCAATTAGTGTACTAAGAAACTTCCTTGTACCTTTGAACAGAGCTACGCCAAATGATATGATGATTCTGCCACGTGACTGAAGCAACTCGAAGATGACGAAGCTAATTTCTTTCCAGAGCTTCGTCTTCAACCCCAGATGCCGCGGCTGCAGTAAGAAACTTTCTCGATTCGCTGAGAGGCCAATCCGGCCTTGCTGGTGGACAGCAGCAGCAACAACAGCAGGCAGATATTGCTTATCCGTATCTGAGCCACCTCCTACCAACCTCTATCACAGTTCCCATCGTCGATACCCTCTCAGCTGAGCAGGTAGACTCGCTTCTCAGCTTCCTACCGCCAGCCGTCATCGTGCTCGCTAGTGACACAGTCGAGCTCGACGGTAGATCAGACCCAACTGCCGAGCAGATCCGGGCTGCCAACGAATCATTGTCGTTGGAAAAGAAGCAAGCCTTGTTGAAGAAAGTCCTTCGAAGCCCTCAATTCCACCAGGCCTTGGGAACGCTGACAATGGCTCTTCGAGACGGGGGTCTGCCTAGCATTGCCGACGCACTTAGCGTAAAGGTTGAGAATGACGGGTACTTGCAACCTGGAATTCCCATGGGCGGTGGCTATGCTGTCAAGGCATTCATTGATGGCGTCAAGAAGACGGTTCAGGACAGCAGGCGGTGATTTCTTACTGATGCTGGTTACGTCTCATGATATCAGGTAGAGGGCCTTCATTCTCATTGGCATATTTTAGGGTTTTCCTGCAAGGAAGTGGATTAATGAGTACGATTTCAGTAACATTTCACCTTAATTTTCTAAGTTTCTCGATGATGGTCTTGCTGGAGGTATTTATTTGTATGGCGACGCTACTCGTAGTTTCAAGTTACCTTCGCGCGCCAAGCTGTTTTCTGGTGACGATTTCCAAAAGGAATTTCCTCTGGTCACTGCTCTGGTAAGACTTTTCAGGCCTCTAAAAGGCTTATTTAGGAGACGAAAGCTTTTCACACCGTCTTACAAGGGAATAAATCGTCACCAGAAATCGGGGTGGGCGCGAAGGTATTCCTTGAGAGAGTTCCTGGATGCAGGTACAGTTGAAGACTGCTAGCAGTGGAGCGATTGGTGGGTTGCAGCGCGCTAGGCTATTGATGGATGCGGTGGGCACCCAATTTACAGTGGCATCTTCAATTCATTGTCTTCCATTGGATTCCTTTCATACCATCTATTCCAGAAATCATGACCCGGTAAACAGCTTGCACCTCTCACATCTCTCTTCTCATTAAATTAGACGCGATGGACCTGCCTTTTCCGACCGACGTACAAGAATTCGACAGCGATGAGCGTATATCTTTCTCAAAGTTAGATAACAAGTTCATAGCGGTCCATGACGATGGAACCGAATTCGAATTCGATGCCGACCAGAAGAAATGGGTTCCTACGGAAGAAGAGCCATTGGAGGACGATCTGGACGACCTTAGAGAATACAGCGGAACCCCTGCAGATGATGATGCGTCAAATAAGAAGAGGAAGCAAGGAGTAGAAAATGGAGACGCGGTAAGTCGGAAAGCCGATTCCAGAATGTCATATGCCTGCTCGCAGTGCCACGGCGCAACTCCAGCAAGCCGCTGCTCTCACGAGATACTGACTACCTATGCCTCGAATAGAACGATGGAACCCCCAAACCTGCGCGTCCAAACAAGAAGCAAAAGCCTCCGCCGCAACCTAAGCAGAACACAGCCGTCTATGTGACTGGCCTCCCCGCCGACGCCACGGTCGACGAAGTCCACGACCTGTTCTCTCGCAAGGGCGGCGTCATTGCCGAGGAGATTGATAGCGGAGCGCCGCGGATCAAGATGTACAACGATTCCGAAGGCAACTTCAAAGGCGATGCCCTCATCGTCTTTTTCAAGCCCCAGAGCGTCGACATGGCCATCATGCTGCTAGACGATACCAATTTTAGATTTCTGCCTAGCGGAACAACAGAGGGAAGGATTCGAGTCCAGGCCGCTGATTCAAGCTACAAAAAGACACAGTATGACCAGGAGGGGGGTGCTGGCGAGGCAAGCAATGGCAATGGCCAGAAAAGACAGAGGAATGAGAGGGATCGACAGAAGATCATCAAAAAGACACAGAAGCTTGACGCTAAACTCGCAGATTGGGATGACGATGATCCATACGCGTCATTGGTGCCATCCAACTCAAAGCGGGACAAGACAGTCATCCTACGGCACATGTTCACTCTCCAAGAGCTGGAGGAGGATCCTGCTGCCTTGTTGGAAATCAAAGAAGACATTCGAGACGAGTGCTCCAAACTCGGCGCCGTCACCAGTGTGGTTTTGTACGATTTGGAGCCCGATGGCGTGGTATCCGTCAAGTTTAAGAGCACAGAATCTGCAGCCGCCTGCATCAAGCTCATGCACGGACGAAGTTTTGGCGGCAGCACAGTCGAGGCATCACTGTCGGAGGGCGAGAAATTCAAAAAGTCACAGAATGAAGCCAACGAGGACTCGGATTAAAGAAGGGAACCCTTGGGAAGAGGTGCAATCACTATTTTCTCCCTCCCCCAGATTTTAATATTTTGTAAATTGCATTGATGACTACTTACAAAGTAGTATTGACTGATACCCCCTATAAACCTACGTTTTTTTTACCCCATGAATGTTTGCCCACCGAAGCCACGTCCTTGCTGTTCATGATTCAATCCTCGTATCGTTGCTAATGCTACATATGCCAGAACAAAAATAAATAAATAAATAAATAAATAAAACAAGCGCCGTTCGCTGCAAAAAGACCCTGAGAAACATGGAATGCGTGTCCAAAGAGGTTAGATCGCAGGGGAGACGTACATAATAGCAGGGGGTTCATTTCGCGTTGATATCGACATCTTCGGCAAGCGTGTACCAAATAGCAGCGTTGATAATCTTGCCCACGATTTCAAGTTCCATATCATCTGCAAATACTGTGAGCACAATTCTATACGAAAAATTGGGGAAGGAATGAACAGGTATCGTCCGATGAAGTCTTCACAAAACCACTTATTCAGAAATCTTACCTCTGGGCGCATAAATCATGACAAAGTCCTGAGAGACGGGCATCTGGATGAATCTGTTCTTCCACGCCAACGGATGCCTCTGTCCCCAGCCCTTTTGCAGGATTTCCTTGATGTCATTCGGGTGGAGGCACATGTGCATGGAGTGATCAGAGTCGTGGACGTGGGCGATTTCGCCTTGGCAAGTGGTTTGCAGCGGATGTCTCGCGAAGAGGGCCAGGCCGTGCTTCTCCAGACATGAACGCTCGGTGCCAAACATGTTGGGGTTCCTTGCACTCAGTCTCTCCATCGCCCGGCGGAGGGCGATGTAGCATTGCCGGGAGCCGTGCTGGTCGAGCTGTCGCTGGGGTGCGATGCCGGCTACAATAGGTCGAGGGCCGGCACGATAAGGGAGATGCTGTCCACTCAGCACACCCGTCTTGGGGTCGCGGTTTGGATCGGGCAATGGGGCTGTAAAGGGATCGCGCAAGGTGAGCATGCGTAAATAGGTTATCCGGATATATCCTTGGATGGTGGACGGCGTGCCTCCAGGTCCGAGATTGAGGAAATTGTGGTAGTCATTGTGGATGAGCAGGGCGAGGGGAATGAGGCACACGACTGCCTCGGCCAGGTATGAATCCAGGAAATGGATGGCGAGCACAACGCCCATGGAAATAACAAATACGGCAGTGCCGTCTAATGTGACGGATATGGGCTTCTGCTGGACGATGCAGGCGGTCTTCAGCAACTCTAGCTCTGACTGTCTTGAGGCCTCCTCATTGATATCGGGAATCAGAGACAGAGACGTTATTGTCTCGGTGGGAGCAATTGACATAGACATGACGGCAACGTGGGAGAGGCAAGTATTGGAAGAGAGAGAGGGAGAGAGTACGACCACGAAAGTTTAAGGCACTAGTATAAGCCAGCTACCATACGAGAGCTGGTCTAAGTTGGGGTTTGACATATGTGAGGAGGTGAGGAGTCGCGGACAGGTTATATGGCCTGGACGATGTGGGAAAACAGGGTCTAGGTCAGGGGGACGTCCGGCGGTCGGCGGCAAAGGAGCTGTGGCGGCTGATGGCTGGGATGTTTTCTTTTAAAGATGCATTCAATGGGGTCTCTGCGGTGGTGAGGAGATTTTGACCAAAGAGGAGAGAGCCAATGGACTGAAGCGGCTAAGTATCGAGGCCTGGGGGGGTTGTGACGGTGGCTGAGGTTGAGCGAGGGTTTCTGCATCATATCACGTTCCACATACTCAGCAGCTGGCGGCGAGGCAAGGGACTGGGCCGTCTTCGCTGATCCTGATCCAGCAGATCACGAGGAGGATGACTGTATTTAGCCTCATGACGTTGGGCTGATGTCGGTTGGAGAACGATGCGTTCAAGCTTTCACCCTTTGCTCTAACCGGGGCGCTAAGCGTTTTGCATGGTGGAGGCAGCTTTTAGCGACGAGCCGATATTCGAAGGGTTTCTGGAGCCGTTAACGATTCGTGTTGCCCTCTAATACCATCAATACTAATACCGGCCGGCATACCACGGCCCTGAGGATGAGGGCGGGAAACAGGTGGCCACCCCCTTTTCTGTGTTGCCGTCCGCTTGTGACACAAGGTCTAGCTTCGCTCGACTCGAGGTGGGCAAGACAGCAAATACGGTTCCAAAATAGCTTATTAAGATCTCACTCCGAGACCCCCGACGAGCCTGTGGCGCAGTTCTCCGCATTGGCAGCACGCCGGAAGACCGATCCCGATGGCTGGAGCCTGTTTTAAAACGTCGTGTTTGGGGTCATGCGTGCTTGGGAACGAAGCCGTGATTGCCAACGCTGGACGGCCGATTGGCCAAGCAGACTACCTGGTAGGTAGGGATAATGTAGGGGGGCCGTTGCTCACCGATAGATAGGTAGGCAGTCCGGAATATTATTCGTACATACTTGTACGATGTCTCCGTGGACTTGCTTCAATAGCTCCGTATGGTGAATGGGCCGTTTCTAGGCCTCGAGCCGCACAACAGTCACCTGTTGTTCTTTGGGTGAGTTGTTGGCTTGTCGTTGGCTTAGTGAACCATATACTACTAATGCCTAGCTGAACCTTGATGTGCTCCGTACTTGTACATGAGCGGCATCCACCGTATCCGCACCAAGACCTTGCAAAGATGCAGGGTAGCACTGCATCGTCCCTGGACTGAGGCTGGTCAAGTCAAGAGTACGGGCACCCAAGCTGGGGTGAAACCTGACAAGTCTGTACTCGTACTTTGAAGTGCTGGGTGGATGGCTAACAAGGAGATTATTTTAGTAGCACAACTCACGGCTAGTGCCATCTGAGAAATGATTTTGGAAGCCGCTGGCAGTATTTCCGGCGCTTCATGTTTTTAGGCTGCAGACGAATGTTGCTGGTTTGGGAGCGCTCTGCCCAATGGCGAGGCTTGGGCGCTACCGGGGCGTTGCCCAGCAACCCAACGCAGCAAATCCCACTATCCCACTATCGCGCTCGTTGCTGCCAAGCTCAGCTCGACGCTGACATGGGCCGCGACGACTTTGTTTGCTGTTTCCCTCTCGAAAAGCCCCTCATGCATTCCATTTTCCTCTCCTGATTCAGCGAATTGGTGATCGCGCAAGTGCAGTCGGCTGCCGCCTTTAGCATCTCATTTTGGCTGAAGACTGGAGTTTGGACTGCTTGTTTATTGCGCTGACGCAGACCGCATTGTTGCTTATCACTGCACGGCGATAATTTGCTCGAAGCGGAAAATACGAGAAAATAACAAAGGGGAAAAAAGGGAAAAGCGTCGATTGGTGGTATGAGACAAGATTAGGAATTCCTCATTCCATTATTTCGTCGCTAATATCGTATCCTCGTCTCATAGATACCGATTATGCGGCTCTCAAACCCGTTGCGGCGGTCCCGCGAAACGCGGCTGCCCATGTACCAGAACCCTAATTCGACTTCGAAAGAGCGCTCCTCCAACGATGGCTACTATTCTTCCTCAGATGGCGATTCAGAATCATCGTTTTCGGGTCCATCGTCAGACGGATCGAGACACGTATCCGAGTCATATCCTGTGCGACCGCTGCTAGTTCAGAAGAGGAATCAAAGACCTGCTTCTACGCGGCCGGGTGGTTTCTATCCGTACAGATTGCCGCCGCGAATTATCCGCTATGTTGTTCTTGCGGTATCTGGGCTAATAATCCTCATGATTATTACCCTGGTACGGGCAAGCCAGGTTGAGAACTGGAAAGTTGCCAATGGCCAAGCAAAAAGCAGACCGACGCCCCCTCCTATGTGGGAGAAGTTTCCATTTCTGGAGAGATATTATGGTGGTATACGCACTTTGGTTCCTTTTAAGGAGAACAAGCCCGAGTACCCCAAATCTAGCGAGCCCGTGCCATCGAATCCGCCATCTCCCGCCAAGGCTGAGAGTCGCGAAAAGGAATTTCCCGTCAGCCACTCGTGGGCAGACTACGCTGGACGAAATAAAGAAACCGATATTAAGGAGTGCTTCCTGGATGCTGCTGGCAAGATTCGCCCACCCCCTCTTCGTTATTACGACGGCCGACCAAGCGGTTTTCCACTGCATGTCACTGGCTCTTACGAAGTTCTTAAATTACCGGAGGAAGTCTGCTTTGAGCGCTATGGAAAATTTGGTCCCTATGGATTTGGATACTCTACTCGTACTGGTGGTCTAGGGACGGGAGAGAACGGTGAAAATGAAGGCGCAGATTCGGTTTGGGGCTCCGGCTCTCGTGTGGACTACCGCGAGATCGACTGGGCAGAAGTTCAACAACGCTGCTTCAAGGCCAATGCTGGCCGATACAAGGGATTGCCGGCAAAAACGCCTTCCCCTCAAGGCTTTTACATTGGTAACTCAAAGGCGACGAATGTCCAAGCTCGTGACTCTCAGTCAAAAGATAACGGCAAGACGACGACTGCGGCCGAACATGCGGACTCTGCACCAAGCAAGGAGGGCACTTCTACAACTGAGGTGGCCAAGCAATCACGAACCGCCGTTGTGATCAGGTGCTGGGATGAGTATCTATTCCGAGAAGATGATTTGGCCAACCTTCGATCGATGATTTCTGAGCTTTCGCTAGCTTCTGGAGGTCGATATGACGTTCACTTGCTAGTTCAAGTCAAGAATGATGCTAAGCATCCTGTCTGGGCTGACCATGAGATTTACGAGCAAAGGATTCGAGACACCATTCCGAAGGAGTTCCAGGGACTGGTCACGCTTTGGACCGAAACGCAGATGCTCTCCCTGTACCAAGGCATCTATGATCTGTTCAGCCGCGGCCCAGAACTCCCGGTTCATGGAGTTTACCGTGGGCTCACCATGGCCATGCAGCACTTTGCATACCTGCACCCCGAGTACGACTATTTCTGGCAGTGGGAGATGGACATCCGGTATACGGGCCACTACTACGACCTTCTATCCAAGCTCGAAAACTGGTCCAAGGCTCAGCCACGAAAGGGACTGTGGGAGCGAAACTCACGATACTACTTCCCCAATGTTCACGGTACTTGGGAGGACTTTTCACAGATGGCCCGAGTGCAGAGTGAAATGGGAACTCCTGGAGCCGATAATGTATGGAAGAACCTGCCCGGCGTTGACGGCCAGCCTCCGGAGGCGGCCACAAAGAAGAAGATCAAGACTGTTTGGGGTCCTATCCGCCCTGCCGATGAAAATGATTGGTTTGAGCACGAAAAGGACCCGGTCCCACCGACGTCGTATGATACTGACCACTACCAATGGGGCGTTGGTGAGGAAGCAGACTTGATTACTCTGAATCCCATCTTCGATCCTGAAGGCACCACGTGGGGCTTGAAGGACGACATTACCGGCTTTAACCGATCACTTCCCTTCCCTCCTCGACGAGCCAGCATCATCACTACGTCTCGAATGTCAAGGCGACTTCTCATGACGATGCACAGGATGACGGCACACAAGAAGCAGTTTGCCTTCCCCGAGATGTGGCCCGCAACAGTTGCTCTTCAGCACGGATACAAGGCGGTTTACGCACCACACCCCGTGTATGTGGACCGCAACTGGCCTATTGATTACATGGCTCAGACATTCAATGGTGGCCGGGATTCAACTACTGGCGGATCAAGGACAAGCCTCTACGGCGAGCGAGAACACAACCTCAGGGGATTGACCTGGTTTTATAACTCTGGCTTCGGTCCCAACCTGTACAAACGCTGGCTGGGTTTGAAGGTGAACAACGACGGCGGAGAAGAATTTGAAAAGACAGAAGATAAGAGCCGAGCTGGTGCTGGAGTCGGCGCCATGACCGGAGGCGAGGGCCGTATGTGCCTTCCTCCCATGCTCCTCCACCCTGTTAAGGAGGTGGACATTCCCATTGAGGCTCCTCCACAAGAGGGAGAGACGGGGAATGAAGTGCCTGAATCAGATCCAGAGGCGTGATCATCCTCATGTGGAACTGATTTTCTAATGAGGTTTTCTTTTTGGGCGACTTATTGAGCATTAGGCGTCGCTGTTTGTTGGATATTCATTTTCCTTTCTTTTTCTTTAGACTATTGTTGGGTATATGACGCGAAAGTCGTGATGATAGAGATACCCATGTAATATGATGGGATGTATAATCCGTACGATACTATATACTCTTCCATTAGAGTTGGGAGATGATGAATTGAATGCTGTACATATTGATTGTTTCTGTCTAGCAACTCGTGAGCTCCCTGCTACTCCTTTCTTTGCGCAATCTGGTGGTATATTGTCAGAAAAAAGACTAGGTTTAACGAAAAGGCTTTCTCTTTGCATTGTAATTTCTCATGCGAACATAAAAACCATTATTATTTATGCCCTTGAACTTCCACATTTTTTTCGATGTCGTATCGTCCCTGTTACCCAGAACAAGTTCTTCCCCCAAGAGTCCTCCCCCCTTTTACGCCAATTGAATGTGTAATTGTCCGCCAGATGTTTTACCCAGCGCAGACAAAGCATGCAAAGCTTGTTCTCTCAAAACCCTCTTGTGGAGGTGAGCTCAAACCACTCGCTTGACCTCGAAGAAGCGACGCAGCCACCAGACCTGGAAGAGGGATTCACCAATGACGATGCCGATGACGAAGAGGTTCCACCACTTGACTCGGGAGTTTGTGCTCTCGGCGGTGTTGCGGTGGGTGCGCTCGCGGACGACGATGTACTGCTGCTCGTCCTTGATCTGGGCGAGAAGATCGGAGAGACGTCGGACTAAAGTTGCAAAAGAAGAGTTAGTGAAGCTTTCAAGGAGCAGGTTGACATGGTAAGGAGAGCTATTATGTACCTTCGGACTCGAGAGGATCACTGGGGCTGTCTGATTCGCTGACATAGACGATGCCGTGGACGTTGAAGGAAACCTCCTTGGTGTTGGCGACCCAGTGCTGGTTACCGAAGCAGTAGGTGTATTTGCCGTCGTGCATAGCGGTAAAGGAGTGGTCGCCGTTGGAAACTGTCCTCTCGTTGATCTGGTACTCGCCCGCGGGATTCATGATCTGTCCAAGTGACATGTGTTAGCTGACATCAAGCTCATTTCCCTGATTCCCTTCTGCCTACAAGGCATCCGTCTATTGCAAGCCGATTAAGATTGAAACGAGACACGGAGCTGAGTCATACCCAAAAGTCAATGTCGAGGTTGCCTGCACTGCCAAACTCGCGGTCGCCGACCTGGAAGGTGACGGTCATCTTGTCGTCCCGGTGGAGGCTCTCGTGGAAGCACTCGATGCCACGGGCTGGCAGCACGATGTTGTGCGCCACCACAGCCTGGAAGGCCATGGCGGCGGCGAGGAACGTCCTCGCTGCTGAAAGGAGATGCATGTCGAGCTGCGGGGGTTTTGGATTTGGGCGGGAGAGAATTGAATTGGCTGGTGGGAGAGACAAGATTGGAAGCTCTGTTCTGCCCTGCGCTGCTCTGCTACTATCACCAGTTTGGTCGCGAATCGAATTGACCACCTTGGCCTACAATTCCACCCACCAGCCGCCCTGCAGACCACGCCGCTGTCCTGGCTACAGGGCTCGCAGGGCCGCGGTTTTACCGACAAGGCCTCAGGGGCACGAGAGAATCGAGATACAGCCACGATACTTTGGCGAGAGATGACGAATAGTGGGCCGCGCGGGTGGAGATGGGCACTCTGGGGCTGATACGAATGTACCTTGCGAGTACCGTTTGGCCGCGATAAGGCACGAGGCGGCGCGGGCTGGTAGAGGCGAATCTGGGCAGCGACAAGTGGGCGGTACCCGGTACCTGCACCCTGTCCACGCCTGCGCTGCAGCACCCTTCAGCAGTAACGAGTACTCGCACAGGTGGCTTCGTACAGTGAGTACTCTTCTCGCAGTGGCCAGTCAACGCCTGGCGCCCCTTGCCCCTCTCCCTACTAAAAGCCTTAGTCGCTTGCGCCCCCCCAAAAGCCAGCCAGGCAAATCCGGTTCCCTTTCTCCCACTCCGATCTTCCAGCAGTCTCACCGACACAAAACCTTACGAAGACACGACCCTTTCGCTTCGTCCTCTCGTGTGCCCAACGCGAACGCCCCCAGGTGAGTTGCCAGCGTGTCTCGCGCCCTCTGTTTTCCTCTCCAGCCCTGCGGCCTGCGCTGCCTGATGCATTCGTCTTTTCCACGCTCTCCTCCTCCAGGGGGCGCTAGCCGGAGAAGACAGCTCAGCGAAAAGCAAAAATGCGGCAGCCTGCTTCAGCCCATCCCATGCCCATCGCAGCTTCATCCATGCCCGGATACTGTGTCCTCAAGCATCTCGCGAGCACGCATCTCTGTCCTTCTCGAGATAAATAGCTGTCGTCCAGGGCATCTTGGTCGCTGGAGAGCTGCCTGCCAATTGCGTCCTGCTCTGCACCACCCCAAATCCTGTTCACGCCATCGTCGCTCCATTTACACGTTTTGCACACCACCCTGAGAAAAATAAAAAAAAAATTGGCCTCCCCCTGCTCTTCTGATTCCGACTTGGCCTTGCCTGCTTACGCGTATCATCTAACAGGACTCTTTTTTTCTTCTTCTATTCACATATTCGACGTTTGTTAGGCCGCGTCGCCACCAGTCGCAATCATGGGTCTCGCCTTTTCTAAGATTTTCGACAAGCTGTGGGGGAAGAAGGAGATGAGAATTCTCATGGTCGGTCTTGATGCCGCTGGTAAAACCACCATTCTGTACAAGCTGAAGCTTGGTGAAATCGTCACCACCATCCCCACTATTGGTACGGAACTCCTCCATCCCCCCGCGCTCCGTCTTGCCCGCTCCTAGTGTCGCTAACACCCCGCTGATTAGGCTTCAACGTCGAGACTGTTGAGTACAAGAACATCCAGTTCACCGTGTGGGATGTCGGTGGTCAGGACAAGATCCGTCCTCTGTGGAGACACTACTTCCAGAACACCCAGGGCATCATCTTCGTCGTCGACAGCAACGATCGGGATCGTATCGTCGAGGCCCGAGAGGAACTTCAGCGTATGCTGAACGAGGATGAGCTGCGAGATGCCATCCTGCTCGTCTTCGCCAACAAGCAGGATCTGCCTGTATGTCATCTCTTCCCTCCATAATATGGCTTGAATAGCCGTGCTCCATCACCCTTCCGCGAGAACAAATATACTAACTCCGAATCCCCGACAGAACGCCATGAACGCTGCCGAGATCACCGACAAGCTCGGCCTTCACAGCCTGAGACAACGCGCCTGGGTAAGTAGAGTGCTTCTAGAGGACATCGGTCCAACCCGCTAACATGCTTCCTACAGTACATCCAGTCGACTTGTGCCACATCCGGAGATGGTCTGTACGAGGGTCTCGAATGGCTCGCCACCACTCTCCGAAAGGCTGGTCACCAGTAAACAGACTACCCCAGGACCCTCTACCGGTAGAGCCTCCCGCTCTCCATCCCGCTTCCCTACCGCAAACTCTCGCAAAGTTCTTGCCAAGCTCGAGAATTCGGTTGTAATTTGCAAAGTTATATCGATCATACCAATCAAAATTAATCCATAAATTGTGTCAACTCTTTTCTTTTTTTTCACAGTGCATTGCACCCATGCGCTCTCACATACCACCTGTCGTGAGCCTGTTGATATACATACCCTAACCATGTGTCTGAATTGGAGGGGGAGAGGATCTAGCTCTTGGAAAAGAAGGTTGTGTGGGCGTGTCCAGAAGACTTCGTTTGGAATTCGTTTCAAAGGGAAAAACTAGAGCTGTGGATGACCGGGCTGATCATTGCCACTTACACACATCACAGCCATTCTCAAGCGCTCAAATAACTTGGAACGGAAAAAGGAATACTTACAAAAAAGAAGAAAAAGAAAGAAGAAAAAAGAAGTGGCAAGATTGACAAAACCCGGGAGAGGAAAGTTTGGGGAGATGCGAGGGGGCTCCTTGTTATTACGACTGGTGCCTTGGGCTCATGCTTGATGACGGTTGTGTCTGTTTTTCATTGTCTCTCATGTCGTCGTGTCATTGCGCTAGATTGGCGGAGTTGGGTTGTTCGTTGAAGGCCTCCCGGCTGGGAATGATCGTAGCGGATTGAACGGATGGGTGTGAGGGAACAGGATTATCCGTGTTTCTACGCTTTTATTTTTTTATTTTTATTTTTACTTACTCTTCTCCTTATCTTGTTTTTCTTCTGTTGATGACATGAACGGGTGATTGGCTGTGTGGCATCGCCACGTCTTGACTATGGAGGGGTATGAGGCTGTATCGTGAAAATGAATCAATGAATGAATGGCTGCATTAATGGATGGACAATTGCATGCAGTTGAGGGAACAAAGACTCGATATCCTGCATGCATGAGGATGAATGGGTGTATTTGATGTTTATTCTTAGTTTATCTCATGATTCGTTCCTATTATTGCGTTTTTGCTGACGAGTCATTCTCGGCCGAGGCAAGTCATTGAGCACGTGTACTGTTCTGCCTCAATCAGCGTAGTCTGCCTTGCCAGAGCAAGAACAGGAACCAATCAAAAAAAGATTGCTGAATAAGTGCACTCTAAAAAAAATGCCAAACAAGGGAAATACCAAAAAAAGGTTCCAGAGGGAGTCGAACCCTCGCTGGCGGAATCAGAATCCGCAGTCATAACCGTTAGACCATGGAACCGTTTGAAGCGGTTAGCCGCTTCCCATGGTTGGTTGCTTAGCGGTCGAGCTAATTATTCTTATAGACTATGTTGAATGCAAGGGAGTTTTTTTTTTTTTTTTTTTCCCCTTTCACATAAGGCTGTGAGGGGACCGACATCGAAGTGCTTGATTTCATATGGAAATAGTTTCTTCAAAGGATTTTGAAATCTAATGTTTGATATTCAAAGCGGGGTATCAACTATTTTACAATTTCCGAGAGGAGTCTGTACACCTAGCATACATATGGTACATTCTTTTCATAACCAGACTCCAATGCCAACTAGTATTACATTACCAATAAACAAAAACAAATATGCAAATCATTAAACCTTTTAGATTTTTAAGCAGTCTGGGAAAGATTCACGACTTCCAGTCCTTCCTTGTCATCCTTCAGCCTGATTTCGGCCGTTTCTCCCATCTTGAGTTCGCCTCTGATGATCTTATCAGCAAGTCCGTTGCTAATCTCGTTTGTAATCAGTCTGTTCAAAGGACGGGCTCCGAATTTAGGGTCGTAGCCTCGCTCAGCCAGCCAATCCTTGACAGTGTCTGATATGGAGAGAGTGATGCGTCTGTCATCTAGACGCTGCTGAAGCTCCCTGAGGCGGATGTCGACGATTTCGCGAATGGCGCTCAAGGCTAGCCGCTTGAAGATAATGAATGAGTCGATACGGTTGAGGAACTCTGGCGGGTAAGCGGACGAGACCACGTCCATGACCGCCTGGCGAACAGATGGATCAATGTCGCCATTGGCGTCCTCTTTGTATGGGTGCAAGTGGTTTTGACCGACGAGAATATCTGCTCCTAGGTTGGACGTAAGGACGATGATGGTATTCTTGAAATCGACCTTGTGACCTTGGGCATCAGTGAGATATCCCTCGTCAAGAACCTGGAGAAGAAGAGCAGAGATGTCGCGGTGTGCCTTTTCGAATTCGTCAAATAAGAGCACAGCATATGGCTTGCGACGAACCGCTTCTGTAAGCTGCCCTGCGTCTTCGTAACCGACATAGCCGGATGGAGCACCGATAAGTCGAGAGATGGTGTGTTTCTCCTGAAACTCGGACATATCGAACCGAACGACGGCGGATTCAGTCGAAAAGAGGAAATTGGCCAGCTTCTTGCAAAGCTCAGTCTTGCCAACACCAGTCGGTCCTAGGAAGAAGAACGAGGCTAAGGGGCGGTTGTCGCCGCTTAGGCCCGCTCGCTGGAGCCGCACAGCATTAGAGACAGCCTTTATAGCATCCTCTTGTCCCTTGACAGATTCTCGTAGAATATCCTCCATGTGAACCAGTTTCTCAATGTGTCCCGAAGTGAGCTTCGAGACGGGGATGCCGGTGATGCGGGATACGACATTCCCAATGTCATCGGCTGTCACCGAGTCGTGTATGAGAGTTCCGTCGGCAGTGTCTTGCTGGTTCTCCTTTTCCGATGGCAACTTTTGCTCGAGGTCGGGTATGACACCAAATCGGAGCTCAGAGGCTCGAGCAAAGTTTCCGTCTCTCTGTGCTTGTTCGAGCTCGAATCTGGCCTTGTCGAGATCTTCCTGGACTTTCTTGACTGATTCGATTTCAGACTTTTCCTTGTCCCATCTTGCATTGAGCTCCGAAATCTCATCGTAATGCTTCTTTAAATCCTTTTCCAGTTTTTCTCTGCGCTCTTTACTTGCGACATCTGTTTCTTTACGTAAACTCTCCAGTTCGATCTGAATCGTCATGATTTTATGGTCCAGCCTCATGATGTCTTCGGGTTTGCTTTCATGCTGTAGTTTCAGGTGGCTTGCGGCCTCATCCATCAAATCGATGGCCTTATCCGGGAGGAATCGATCAGTGATGTACCGATTGGACAAGGCAGCGGCGGCCACCAGGGCACCATCGGTGATTCGCACGCCATGGTGGACTTCGTATTTGTCCTTGATACCTCGCAAGATGCTGATAGTGTCTTCTACGGTTGGCTCACTAACAAGGATGGGCTGGAAACGTCTGGCGAGCGCCACGTCCTTTTCAATAACACGATATTCGGCGAGGGTAGTCGCGCCGCAGCATTGTAGTTCACCACGGGCCAAGGCCGGCTTGAGCAGATTTGAGGCATCAATGGAGCCTTCGGCTTTGCCCAGTCCCAAGAGAGTGTGTAACTCATCAATGAAGAGTATCACCTGGCCTTCCGCCTTCTGAACTTCGTCCAACACCTTCTTCAGGCGCTCTTCAAAGTCGCCTCGAAACTTGGCTCCCGCAATTAGTGAACCCAGATCCAAAGAGATGACTCGCTTGTTCTTGACACTCTCAGGGACATCGCCCCGGACGATGCGCAATGCTAGACCCTCCAAGATGGCCGTCTTGCCAGTTCCGGCATTTCCGATGAGAACCGGGTTGTTTTTTGTCCGTCGTGATAGAATCTGAATTGTACGCTGGATCTCTGCATCTCGCCCAATTACAGGGTCGAGTTTGCCATCCCGGGCTTTGGCTGTCAAATCAATGCCAAACTGTTCCAGTGCGGGCTTCTCCGGTTCACCTCCCCCCATGTTCATCCGATGGGTTCCTCCTGGTGGATGTGGACGTCCATTGGCATATGTTCTTACTAATGAGACCGGAACTAGCCGTGATGATGGGGCTCCGAAGAGCAGAGGCCTAATGGCTGATCGTGCAATAGCTGGTCTCGTGAGCCTGGTAGAGACACCAGCAATGCGCTGGGCCGAGGACAACACCTGTCGCCTGGCTTGCATTGTGGCAGATAGAATGAATGAGAAAAGAGATAAAATAAATGTATGTACTCAGAATTGAAAGAGCGTCGAGAGAGTGGTTTGTATAAAGAAGAAGCAAAAGAGCATCGCCAGGGGCGTTGCCTCTCTCTTTATCCAATGCCGAGCTCTTATCGTAGCTTCACGATCTCGACAGCACGTTCGAGCATCTTCGGCCGCCATCGGCCCAGCACTAGCGCTTATCTTATCATCACGTGTGTTGAGCCCCATGTCCCACCAGCAAGCGGGAATGGCTGCTACGAATTGGCGCCGTAAGCGGTTTAGTGCCAGAGGGTTCACATTTTGCTTCCCACAAACTCGCTAGCGGCGCTCACAAAGAAATCCAACATTTCCGTTCGGGTGAACATCACGAACGTGTCTTCCTCATCCTCTCCACACCCCATATCAGACACCCGAGAGAGTCAATATGTCGGCCAAGCCCACGACCAAGCAGTTCGGGAAGTCGACCCGGGAGGTTCCCGCCTCCGCGGACCAGGCGAAGAAGTGGTACCCTGCCGACGACGAGAGCGAGCCGAAGAAGGTGAGTTTGTCTGGTCATGCGTCGCAATGAAGAAAAAGCCCCTGGTACACATGTCTGCATTCGCAATTTGGGACGACACGGCAATTGGGATTCAAGGGAACAAGTTGGGTTGCTTGGGAACGCCGGGATGCGGTTGGCAGCGCTTGGAGGATTTGGCGCTTGGTCAATTTCTTTTCTTCAATTTTCCTTTGGGGATGACCAAAGATGTATATCCAGCATCCTAAAAACGACAACTCGACGCCTCCCAAATTGCGAACAGACTCCGACACCTGGTGGCTTTTTTCCCCAATTCCCCTTACTTTGCGACGCTTCGATCGTCATCCATGGAAGAGAATCAAGGTCGCGCTGACACGCTTGGAAACAATAGGTTCGCAAGGCCGTCCGATCTTGGGCCCCCCGAAAGACCCTCCAGCCTGGTACCGTCCTGATCCTCCTCGCTGGCCGCTTCCGCGGTAAGCGTGTCGTCCTTCTCAAGACTCTCGACCAGGGTGTTCTCCTCGTCACTGGTCCCTTCAAGATCAACGGCGTTCCCCTGCGAAGAGTCAACGCCCGATACGTCATCGCCACCTCCTACAAGGTCGACATCTCCGGCCTCGACGCCGCCAAGATCGAGGAGATCTCTCAGCCCAAGTACTTCACCGCCGAGAAGGCCAAGGAGAAGGCTTCCGCTGAGGCTTTCTTCAAGCAGGGAGAGAAGCCCCAGGTACGTGCAAAAAACAAAAAAAGATGGAGATGAGAGGAGGAAGAAGCAAAATCGAAGGGAGCACGGATTTGCTAACAGTGCTTGAATTACAGAAGAAGGAGATCAACAGCAGCCGTGCTGCCGACCAGAAGGCCGTCGACAAGGCTCTGCTTGCTAGCATCAAGAAGGTGGATCTGTTGGCCAGCTACCTCGCCAGCACCTTCAGCCTGCGGAAGGGTGACAAGCCCCACGAGATGGCGTGGTAAATTTGATTAAAACACAAGATCTCTGGCGGCTTGAAAGCGTGGGGTGGAGTTCACTGGGGTGTTGGTCAAGATGCGGGTTGTAGAACGGAAAGGGTCTCCGAAATGGGCTGGTTTGGCCAATTGCATTTGGAAGTCGACGGCATCGGTCACATCTTGGCGTCTGTAATCAGGTTTTTACAGTCAAAAAAACAAAACGAGCATAAATGATTTTCTTCCACCAGGCTTCTGGTAAAAACAAAATACGTCTGTGAACGACACAAATCTTCCAACTTGCCACATCCATGTCCACTTCCAGAGCAAAAATGACGGCAGGGAAAGGCCAATAAACAAGCAAGACCACGCTATTCGAGGGATTGTGAAATAGAGTCCACCGATATAAAGAGCTACAAACAGGCTAAAGTGTTAATATTATTTCGTACTGTTGAATGGGCAGTTTTGGTAATGAATTTGTATATAAGTGAGCCCTACTTTTGAGACTTAAAGACCACAACGTCATAGCTGGTCAATCTTAGCGGTAAGTTGCATGGTAACACTAGTTCTACTCTTTTGAGAGGGTATCTGTATATTCTTGAGATTTTTACAAAACATTTTTCACAGACATATCGCTATTTTCGATACTCTTATCTATGCACTTCTCTTTCTTACAAGTCTCTGTCAGCCCAGCTCTGAATCATTCCCAGGAGCGTAGCATCGTAGTGCTTGATCGATACAGTGCCAGTGGCCTCATCCAGGGTAGTGTTGGCTTGGATGAAGACCTTGCGCGGCTGCTTGTTATCCAGAACCACCTGGCGAACCTTTGTTCCCCAGAAGTCCAAGCCAACGGTGCTCATTTGGGTGTAAAAGTTGGTACCAGTCTCCACGTCTGCGGTTGACTTATAAACGTGGAGCTTCTGAAGGTAGTTGGCCACAGCTGAAAAGTTGTTTAGTCAAAGAGTCAATCTGGGGGAGAATCACTAAACTTACCAGTTCGACCAGCTGTGAGAATCTTGGATCTATCCAACTTGATAGTCAAATCGGAAAGGTCATCCTTGGTGTAGTCCAGCTTGCAGAAGTCGTCGCCAGCCTCGAGGAAAGATTTGAGAATGGAGAAGCGAGCCTGGCTGTGTGCCTGTCCCCATTTCTGGCTCTTGGGATCCCACATCTCCAGAGAGGCAAGACCGGCACGAGCCATGGAGAGATAGGATGCGTAGAGAACATCTCCAGCAGGGCCGTTGATGTCTTCTGATCCGTCTCCAAAACCGAAGATTTTCAGGACAGGGAATTCGCAGCTCAGGTGCATAGCAACCAATTCTGCACGGCATTCCTCGTACGAGGCGGCAATGGGTCCAAAGACTGAGCTCCACGTCTGACCAGGCTTGTACCAAGTGGTGATGGGCTTCTGGGAAACAGGGCTAACAGGAGGATTCTCCTTGTCAAAGTTGTATACTCCAGGAGCGGTCTCCTGCAAGAGCTTGCCGCAGCCGTGGCCTGAATAGATGATTAGCAGAGGCGCTGGAGTAGATGAAGAGGAGAGAAATTCTTACCAGTCAGCTCGTGAAGACCGACTTGAACCTCAAAGGCAGCATCGCGGTTTGCCTGGTAGACGGCTAAGTCTTCTTGACGAATGAAGGGGATCTTTTCATTGGGAGCCTTGGCGCTAAGCACGTTTCCAAGGGATACGTTCTTGAACCCTTCAGTCTGACGAATATCGTCGTAGTTGGGACTAGTATATGTTAGTAAAAAGGAAAATTAATTCGAAAACAAAGTGAAGTTGATGCTTACATATTGATACCGGCGGGAATGCCAGAGTCTAGAAAGATTGTTAGCACAAATGAAAGGTAGTGGGAATGCAAAGACGTCATGATGTTACTGACTTGCAAAAGTCATCACTTCTAGTGAAGTAAAATCTGGAGAAAGAAATTTATCCTTCTCGAATTCCTTGCCCCAGGGGAGCAGGGGGATGAGAGAGGGTGAGGCCTCAACCAACTCTCCGAAAGCGCGAGTGCGCTCCTCTACCAGTTATGTTAGCTGAAATCCCCAGCATTACTCCATAAAATTGACAAAATAACATACGGTTAACCACTATAAACTAGTATTAGCAATGATATACAAGGGCGGAGTTGAAATGTGGGTATACTGACTGGATGCGAAACCCTCCCATTCACCACGGACTCCGGCAGGGTCACGATAAGTCTCAATAAAGCCGATGTTGCACTCGACGTTAGGGCCCTTATCCTTGATCCAAAAACGCTGGCTGTCCTTGAATGCCTCCAAAGATCCAGTCTCGAACGACTTCGCATATGCCAGGTGCATGTTCTTTTGGTTGTCGTTGTCGGCGTTGGCAGCAGCCTGCTTGATATTGGCAGTAATATTCTTCATCTCCTCAGCGTAATCACCATAGACAAGACTGATTGTCTTGCCCTTGAGAGGTCCATTCTCAACGGTGAATCGAGTTTCCTTTCCAATGTCACCTCCATCAGCGGGGACGCTGGTAAGGGCAGAAGCAATGAGAATATCAAAGCCATCAGCGGTCTTTCGCAGTCTGGTGTTCTCGGGCAACAGCCTCTTCTCCTCCATCCAGGCAGAGACAGCCTCAATCTCGCTCTTGGTGATGCCCTTTGAGTCGGGGTAGTAGGTGGTCATGTGGCCAGCATCGAGGAATCCAAGGTGCATAGAAGCGGGGTCCTCATGGCTGAAGATGGCGCCTTTGGTGGCATCATAGAACTTTTGTGCTTCAGGAGATGTGGCAGCCAGAGCAGAAACAGTCTTTTCACTGCATCTGGGGATAAATTTGGCATCTCCGAAGCTCTTATAGTTGCCCATGTTGCCAAGGAACATAGCGACATATTCGAGGAAAAGGGTCAGCTCGGACTCCTCAACACCCGCCTTTTGAGCCAGCGCATTCCAGTCGCCATTGACCGACTTGTGAAGAGTAATGATCAAGTCGTAGATGGGCTCTGACTCTGGGGAGAGCTGGCGCAGGACAATCCTGGAGCCGGCAAAAGCAGCCCTATAGAAGTGTGAATAACAGGCGCTCAGTTATACCCATGACACCATCATTGCTATAGTAAGCAGGGTGAAAGTATAAAGATGTAACATACTTGCTGATAAAGTGAGCATATCGCTTCTGCTGGTCGGTCAAAAGAGCAAAGTGCTTCTCAATCTCCAGGCGCACGACGGAAGGCGGCTGGTCCGCCAGGTAGTGCTTAAGCTCCTCGGGCTTCATGTTGGCGGTGGTTGAGGCAAACGACCTGAATACGGCGAAAGCTGCAAGGCGAGGAGCAAGGCTGTGTCTGCGAATTGGATGGTACTTCAGTGAAGCAACTTGGGATCTTATTGAGGGCGACCTCCGCGAGATGAGGGGCAATAAGAGGGAAGACATCAGGCCAGCAGGACGCCGCGTGGCTGGAGCTTAAGCAGCCAACTCTATAAGGAACCTCTGAGCGGCTGGCGGTTTCTGGCGGCACGCAGAATCTGCCAAAAGTTCTTGGGTGAAGCCACACAAGATGCCTAAAGCAGCTAGAGCGGGTACATCATCCAGCAGAACACGACGTGCAATTAAGGGCACACTGTGGCTTAGGCGGGCCGTTTTTACGCAAGGCTGTCTGCCTACAGGACTTTTGTTCAGCGAACATTATAGTGTTACTATCATATCCGAGGGTAACCTCTGCAAATTTACGAGTACCTATCTATTCATCGAGGTATCCCGAGATATTGTCAATGGTGGTAGGGACAACTTGATGAAAGTATTCGGTTTGCCCAAGAAGTCACAGTCTATGAGAAGACGCCATGTCTTGTAAGGAACCAGATACCTTTGGAACGCAATAGACCTCAACTTCGGTAAAGTCAATGCTTAAACCTCGTGCAGAGATTCAAGGTTTAGAATAGGTACAGGGAGTTGGAGGCATTGTGCCTGCGCCACAGGCGGGGTACCTGAGCGGCCCAGTGACCCGAGGTGGCATGGCGGGGTTGAGGGGTAACTTGCAGTAGACGAAAGGATCGAGGACCTTTTGACAGATGGCATTGCAATTGGGTAAGAGTGTAGGATGTTTGAGCTTGGCAGAGCTCGTAGCGGTGATGGCTCTCATTCAATTGATACCCAGGCGTTGGTTGTAATGTTGATGTTGAGTATTATATCTAGGGAGTGACTATTCAGCACCCCACGTTCACTATTCAACAATTGATCCCATACTTAAATTTGGAGCGGCCGGGTTAGTACTCCGTAATGATAGCAGATATTAGAGGAATATATGGATAGTAATAGATAGTAGCGATAGTTGCAGAAAGTAGCGAGAATGGCAGATACTCCAGGAACCGTGTATCTATTTGAGTAATGGTGATGAAAGATTTTCATTATGCGCTGTTACGACATTTGGAACTCTTCTTAGTTGCTGGTGCTGGAGAGCTAATTTGGGGTGTTGAATAGCCCTTTCCTATATCTAGGACTGACACCACAGGTAAGAGCATTGTTGTAGTGTTTTCATGAAATCGGAGAATTCGAATTCAACATTGTACCTATACATTAGCAGTGGCTGCCAAGGTAAACTTCAATGTCGTTTACCACTTTGCCAACACTGCGGAACAGGCCACACGACAACGCTTGCCATTCAGCCTTGTATCTAAAAAGCAAATTCTGGTGCTTGTAAAGAAGCATGCTCCAAGACATGAAAACCCCCTTCACGATTCAGGGGGCAGAATAGGAGAGCACAAGAGTGGCAAAATATCCACGTAAGCCGCGTGACGTGAAGAGCCAATGGGCAGAAAAGATTGGCCAAAGGCGGTTGATGTGGTCGTGTGGATAAATGGCCTTCATTTCCCTACAGCTGCCAATCAACCAGCCCGCTGTGCATTGCAATTGCTCTTGCCAACTCTATCTGAAACTTCAGTAATAGCTGCTTATGGCTGTCAATTGCGACGGCGTGGTTCTTCACCACGGCTTCACCACGGCTTCATCTCTTTTTGTTCTTGTATATGAAACTGCCAGTGACATTGTCACCTAACACTTAGCAGAAGAGTAATATTATTTACTTTAATCCGCCTTTCAATAGACTGTTTCGCTGTTTCCAGTTGTTCCCGCAAGTTGGAAGCAAAGCGCCTAAACGCCCGGAAGAGTTGGCACTAGGAGGGCTTAGTCCGCAGCCATCTGCGGAAGAGGACGCCGGCAGTTTTTCACACAGCTTCCCATTGTAACGGTATAGTACAGTACCTACCTAAGCTGGGTAACCAGTACGAGTGAGAGTATGAGTATGAGTAGCTCGTCGCCCCTGATGCCATCAGCCTAGTGTAACCCGATTGGTGGAGCCCAATTTTCCACACGAGTATTGATTTGATGAAGACTCGGAATCGACGACGCTGGAATCAGCTCAAAGATGATGCCTTTTTTTCCTGTCCCTCGCCCTGACGCAACGCCGTAGAAAAATTTTCTGATGCGGCCAGGGAAGCACA